TACTGTGTGTTATTATTTGCACTGGTGAATCACGCATTTCGGGCATTACCACCGCCCGGTGTGCATTTGTTTGGATAGCGGTGCTAATTAAATTATTAATCCGTGCGGTTCACATGTTCATTGATCTTTCTTGCTTAGCACGTGTCTCTGCATTCGTCAAAAGCAAATTGGGAACATATACACGCTTTAGCCATCTAGTCAGTTCTTGTTTGATTTGAGCAAATAAATTTTGAACAGTGGCAATTATTTAGGGATGTGAAAATTAGGTGGGAACCGAAGTAAATTTCTTATTAATAAGCATGATATTATTTCCTCTCGGCATTTGACTGTTAATATTTTTACTAAAATTATATTAATTTATTAAACGTGTTTATCTTTATTTTAACGTTACCAATAAATTAGCTAATTTATCAAGAATTATTACTTTTTATGCTAAATATTTACCCAAAATTTAATACTTTATTCATTTCTGTATTTTAGATTAATTTATTGATTGAACAATTATCATATCCTAGGAATATTATCCCGCTTGACGCTTAGAATTTTAATTGTTTTTAAATATTTTTTTTTATTAAATAAATGTTTACGCTAATTATGGAAATTTGAATTAACTTTTTTTAAGAAAAATATTTTGAACGTTGCTTACAAGAACAAAAATTGTATTAAAGCATTAAAATAATATAACCCAAAAATAGTAGAAAAAAAATGATGCAGTTTAGGAATTATGTAAAAGGTCCGTTTATGAATTTCGGTGCAACAAATAAAAAATCAACTGTACAGTCAAAATTTCCACCATTAAAGAGATCGATAAATTCCACTCGGCGCAAATTTCGGCCACATTCGTCACGCGTGCGGCGCGCCGACCAATTAGCTTTGCGGAATTTTTAATTAACGATCAACGGCAAAAAAAGAGCGGGCGCAAAATTTAAGCCCCGTTTTACTTTTCATCTTTTTTCGCGCGAGCAGTGTGCAAAGATAAAACGCGGTGGGCTGCGAATTACGTCTTGTGCTGGCGCGTGAGCGTGTGTTTGTTTTCGCCTGTAATTGCACGTGAGGATCCCGAAATAATTGGCGGCCGAAAGTGGGTAAACAAAGGCCGAGCGAACGCGGTTTCATTAGAAGAGATATCACAACCGCGAGTGTATATTTTGGTTTGCGTCTCCCGATTTAGAACTCCAGAATACTCCGCCGATTCGGAACAGACTTTGAACACGTGCACTTGTAATTTTTCGCACCAACTTGCTAAGTAAGGTCGTCGGCTGAAGAGGTTGCTTGCGCCAAAGCTGAGCGCTATGACTCACTTACACACTTTACAAGAAAAACACGACTTTGAAATTTGCCTCTTTGTTGAGGGTGACCACATGTACTACTATTTGCTTGTTTCATTCTAAATTCAAAGTCACTGTTTATTTTTTGCTAATGTTAAACAATGACTGAATTTCTTGAAGAATTCCAATGGAAAAATAATGATTTTTACGATAGAAATCTGCAAAATTTTTATGGCTTCTTTCAGAGGCCTTTTCTACGCATTTAAAACCATAATTTGAATTCTAATTAATCAATTTTCTTTATTTAAAAACAAACTTAATAAATAATTTGTTTTATTACTTCCTTGTTTTTATAAATATATATTTTTTAATATGCACCAGGAAAAATTGAATTAATGTAAACAACCTCTTCTGTGTCTTTCTAAAAAATAATAATAATTAATTAATACAAAATTATTTCCCTTCTGCAGCTTTAGTTCCAAATTCCCAAAGGCTTTAATGATTTTGCATGAACAGGTTACATAATCAAATATAAATGGCGTCTACCTCGTTAGTTCTGAACCAATTTTGATTTCTAAATAAATTATAGATAGATCATAATCAAGTGTGACGGATCCTTTAAAAAAGAACGTGCATACATGAATTTTTTATTGCGCAAGCTGAAGTATTCAACAGGAATTTTTATAACGGATTCCATTAATTAATTTGTCTGCAAAATCGTTAAATGCTCGACAGACTGTTCATAAATGAAACATTCCGCATTGAAGTCCTATACAGTCTGGTGGATGCTGTTCCGCCGGCATGGCAGCGTCGTTTTTTTATCCTCGCCACTACTTGTTCTGCAATCCAGCTCCAGCGGCTAATTATTCACTGTGTGTGTAGGGAAGACTGCAGAGACACCGAGATTTATCGTCTCGCTCACCAGCAGAAAACTGGATTATGCCGAGAAATTGAGCCGAAGAAGAGAGACACATGCATGCACCGTGAGCCAGCCATCCGGGCGTCTTTTCATTTGCTTAATGCGCGCGCTCTCGTCTCGCGAGCAGCGTCCCTGATTCAATTTTGTTTGAAAACGTAATTAGCCGCCTTTCAGTATGCACGTTCGCAAGAGAGCGATTCTGAGACTAATTACAATTTACACGTCTCTCATGGGGTGATTGTTACGAAATGCGAAATTAAGGGCTGTTTTTGCGCACGTGTTTGTGGAATTCCACTGCAAAAGGGTAGCTGATGAGTTGCCTTCCAAGTTTAAATAGCGATCAAAGTGAAGTTAGAATTTCATTAACGTGTGAACCAACACCAGTAGAGCCAAAATATATGTACTCGATTTTGTCAAATTGCAATTCAATTATATGTTTTTCCATAATAATAATAATAATGGTAGTTGCGAAAACTGATCAATTTTATAGCCATAAATTTTTTTTTTATTAAATTTAATATTTAAATGAACCTATAAAAAATGTTAAAATGAAAAACAATATATTTAAATTTATTGACGAATTGAAACCAGGCTTAACTTAATTTAAAAAAAAAAATGAAAGAAACTGCGATTTTTTCCAGAAATTGAAAGGGCCTAAATATGTTTCTGTGAAATTAAAAAATAGTCTTGATTGATCCTCTCTTGCAGGAGAGTCCGAGTGACTAATTCCTATACCATTCATAACAATTTTAACTTGAAAATAAAATTAAGCACAGTTTGTTCATTTGTGTTTTGAAGTAACGTGTTTGTTTTTTGCTAACATTTAAGACTTGCAAGCAGGTGGAGAACAGCTGCGCCTTTTGTAAATTCTCTTGCAGACTCGACGTCTGCCTAGTTAATCCTCTCAGCAACAATTACGTGAATCGGAAACCGGGGGCACCTGGAAAGCAGCCGTTCACCGCGATCGCCGCACAACGTGACAAAAGCTAACTGCGCAATTCGCAGCTCAGCATCCGCGCGCGCGAGCCAGCGACTTTCGTCCGTTTATCGGCCACGTCTGATAACACGACCCACACAAGAAATGGCAGCAATAATAATAATAAAGCAATTCAGCTAACGGTCGGCTCGCGGTGCATAGAGACAAAGAAGTGGGCCACTCGATGGTCGTAAAGAAAAAGCCCATTAAAAATGCAACTCCTTTTCTTATACAAAATTACTTTCAGTCGCTTGGCAAATGAATCGTTTTGTTGACACTCGAATTGTGCATCTCACTTAGAGTTTCAAGTAGTCTTGCAGCTGAACAAGATCAATATTTCATTTTGCATGAACCCCGAGTGGTGAAAAATCTATAATGGGGTTTCCGCGAACGCGTCCGTTCATTTCTCTTCCGCGAATCGCCCACGCCGCCCGTCCTGCGTCGCGCCCTGCGACTTGTGCACTTTTTCTGCACGCAGCCTTAACACTAAGTATTGATTGCCAGAGTGGCTTTCTCATTTCCAGTTGAATTCACACAATCATTTAGCAACTTCGTTTTTCAAAATGTTTATAATTTTTTTAAATATTTTTGCTATTAATTCTTATTTATCATAAAATGTTTAGTAAAAAATATTAAAATTATGTATATGGACGTTTCTTTTTTTAAATAACTTTTTTTTGATCAGAAAAATTAAAAAAAAAAAAAAAAAAAGGATAATTTTGAACTTAATTGAAAAATATTTAAATTTACTAAGGAGTAATCTTTCCAGAGTGCTATAGAACGACACTGAAATATGTTTATTTTGCTTTTAACAGCAGGTGAAGGGCGAGCTTGACAAAGTCAGCCTTTACAATTTTTATCAATTGCGTTATCTTTTATTACTAGGAAGTTCATTTTATAAGTGTGAAAAATGGCGGAAAATAAAAATAAGCCGTGTTTTTTTTATCAACAATTTACTAAAAAAAAAAAAAGAACGGCTCACAATTGAAAAATTAATTTTTAGCAATCTGCTTGCAACTGAAAGTTTCAACACCTGAATTAACTAATTACAACTAGCCATTTCTGTGCATTAAATATGTATTTTTAATTGGTAATTATTATAATTTATTTGATTATGTACTGTCTTGTATTATATAACGTACACAAAAATTTAACATTAAATATAAAAACAATTTATAATCATTACAATCTTGAGTCTCAAGTTTAGAGTTCCTTTTACCAATTTAATGTTACTATATTTAATTTAATTTACTATATTTAAGTAATTCAGTAATTTTGGAAAATAATTTCTATATAACCCCATCGCGTCATTCACATGCAATCGACAAATCCCTCTGCATCTTTTAAGGTTGTCAGGTCTCGTCAAAGACACACCAGAACTAGGACTTGCCGTAGTAACGAAACAAACAAAGCGCATCAAAATCTCCGAGACGTTCTATTAAGGCCCACTTTAAGATAAAACTTGCAATCGTCCGATAACCCCGCGGCCCCCAGTCGCAAATCCACCTCGAACAGACCCGCGGGCGCGCCAGAGACGGAGGATCCAGGTTGTCCGAGAGCTGCGGGGTCGGGTGAATGACCTAGAAAGCACAGCAGCAGCGGCAGCAGCAATCACAACAAAAACAAACGCGACGGCTGCCAAATGTCAGCGGGCTGGCCGAGTGCCGATTAGCCAGAGGTCACGATCCGACCTACGAGAGCGTCCGACCGGTGTCCGAGGCAGCAAAAGCGGGCCTAGGGAATTCATACACAAGATGGCAGGCAGGTTTCTGCCTTCGGTGCGAGCAGTCGACGACTTTCGGCGCCGTCAGTGGCGCCGTACGGGCTTAGCACTCACCTCTCTCCTGCCGAAGAGGTACATCGACCGTCCGGTGTGGCTGACAAGTGTCCAGGGCGCGTCGAGACCGAACCAGGGCCCCGCGACGGCGCTGCTTCGCGACCAAAACAATGCTAGGCTGAGCTTCGACTGACGGCGGCGACGTTCACAGAGTAACACGCAGTAGGGCCTCTGCCTGCCGCCTGCCTTCGATTTATTTTGCATTGGCAGCCCGTGTGTTGTTGAATGCTGCTCGCCTGCGCAGACGCCGACACCGCGGCCCATCTGTGCACACAGGATCTAGGCGCGGGGCGACCCAGAACCTGGCCAGCTGATCACCAGTGCGTCTCACTTGACTTGAAACGCACTAAGCCTTCACAGGCCAATAATAATTATTTATATTATTCGTATTATTATAATCGTTATAATAAAATAAAACCGTGATATTAGAGGACAAGCACAACAATTTCTCTAGCTAGAATTTAATCATTTATTTATGTCAGAATAAAATTAAATTCTAAAATTTATTAATAATAAAAATATTACAATCATCAAAATTGCCAAAATTGGTGTAAATAATATTTTTTTTAAATAATATTAAACCAAAATTTAATTTATAAAATAAATAATTGTTATTATTTGAAAATATATAAATTTAAAAAATAAAAATAAAATAGAATTATTTTAAATAAATTTTATAATTTGACCATCTTATTTATAAAATATTTTAAAATTTATATAAAAATTCATTGATATTTTTCATAGGAATTATAAAATAATGGTCTAGTTTGATAGAGTATAAATAATAAACCGTAATAAACTATCATTTTACTATTGGAATTTTCTGTAAATATATTTTTTTTAAATTCGTTTTATTTTTAATATTACAGATATGTATGAAAATCTTTGTTGTGCCAAGTCTACAGACCTTCCCGACCTTCCTTTTGGTGTCAAGTTAGTTATTAGTGGTCATAAGAAAAAGCGCTCAACAGCCAATGATTTATGATAATTTTACAGCATGGAGCTGTGTGAACTTGTTTTATTTATTATTTTTTTTTTTAATTTTTACTTTGTGTTACTGCACTGACCCCTAGCCTGGTTTTCTCCTGGTAAAAATGCTGCATATAACTGGCTCTAATTTATGCACGTTTAATTACAGACGAGCAAATAAAGTAATTATAAAATGCAGCTGAACTAGTGCTCATGACATGCGGCTAAGTGAGCACAAACGCAACCGTGCGCACTCCCCTTTATATAAATAGCATCGATCCTTTGAAAGTTTTCATCTTTGCTATATCGTGATTATATAAATTACGATAAATGACCACTCGCAGCTTCAGAAGTCTCCTCCTTTGATTAAAAAGCAAACCAGACTGCTTCTTATAGTCCAAGGTTGAAGTACACAATTATAAATGAAAAGAAATCAGTTAGAGAATCTCTATACTTTTTTATACGCTTCATTTATTTTTAAGGACTTCACTCAGCGCGCGCTCTCTCGCGCTTGCGAAACTCGATGAAAGACGAAGACAGTCGCGTGTTTATCTATGGGATAAGTGTGCGCTCTCCGAGTGACGAGCGCGTATAATAAAAACTTACGGCATTGCGCGGTGGTATGCATTTATGCAAATAAAGCTGCTCTTTGAATTTTCCAAGTTTCGTTTTTTTATTTTCTTTGCCGTGTCAACGAAAAGCTGTTTCAAAGAAATTACGTTTTTCTTGCCACAGTCCAGCAGCTCGGGAAAAAGTGAATGACGCACTTTCTCACCATCGGCAGTAAAGCGCCTGACACGTATACAGCCCCGCGCAATACCAACGTCCAACTCGCTGCATAAGCTCCAGGCGCTTAAAAAGTATTATTACCCAGAGAGCGTAGTGTTATTTTTGCTGCGGAATTTTCACGATCCTGTGAATTCACTGAATTCAGACATTTTCTGCGCGACATTCAGATTTATCTCCGACCTCCATAAGTAGGAGGCCCTGTTCTTAAGGGCTCTAAATAGGACGCCGGGATATAAATTGGATCTATAAATGAGCAGTGAGGAGCATTTGCATTGCGCTATGAGTTATAAATTGTTCTTGCGGCTGAGGGTTCATTTTACATGCATCAACTCTCGGAACTTAAGCACATTATGAACGGGCCGGTGCAGATAGGGAGTTCATTATAATTGGATTAGGTGTACGCCGTGGTGCTTTTAACTGGAAAGAGGGAGTTGTAAAAATAAAACTCGCTAAATTGGAGTTGACGATACGACGATGGTCTTTCAAGCAGCTCTCTAGCCATGAGATATTTTACAGCAATGCAGTGATATTAACATTATATATACATGTTCTTTCTCGAAGCGAAATGAATATTCTAAATCACACTCACTCTTTTCCAAATCAAGAGAGAAGGATCTATATCTTCGTTAAAAGTTTTGCAAGTAAAATTTAACCTTCGTAAAACCTTTTCTTCATTTTCCAATCTAGAAGCTTACTACATCAGCACTTTGGAAGACTATTCTGCAGTTAACAAAAATCAAAGATATTTAATATTGCTTATTTTTATTTCTCAGATATCTATGAATAATTCTCAACCTTGAAATAAAATGAAAGTAAATCAATAGGGGGCGCCGGCCGATTCATCTATTTTCGTGTGCGCCGCACAATTAAGGGGAGAAAGTAATTAAAACGGTAATTTCTGGATTTAGTGAAAAGCGAAGGTACTTATAATAGCCGTCGATTTACTTTTCCTAATTCATTTCTCTTCAGCCCGACGCTGAGGACTCACACCCAACATGTCCTCGTCGATCGCGTGGTGAGTGATTTATTTTATTTTCAACCTTGTAAATTTTGATTAGACAAGTCGCTCGTGCTTAAAGAGTAGAGACTGAAACTCATTTTTTCGTCCTTCGCTGCTGTGCCAGGACAAATATTGCTCCGTGCAATGCCATACATTCTTTTGCCGCTGTTTAATGTTCTACAGCACGAAAATGTTCATGCACGACTTTGCAGTAGTGGTCTTAATATCCAAGCTTTTTATTCTGCGCCCGCCCTGATATTAATCCAATCCACGTTAGAAGTTCATCGGAATTTTTTGGTGCATGTATATCATTTGGTTCAAGAGAAAATGAATTCGATCAGCGCTTTGAGTATGGGTGTTCAAATTTATATTCTCATATCCGGCGCGCTCTCTCAGCCTTAATGCAATTCGACTAAAACACTGGCGCGCGCCACAAAAAAAAATACACTTGGGCTGGATAGGCCGCTGCAAATGAAGCGAGATTGGTTATTGAGAAATAAATTTCCATTAATTTTCAGGCTCGTGCTTACAGCAGTTCTTGCTTTCTCAGGAACTGCGTCGTCTGCATGGGTACCAAAGCACAACGTCCACAGAAGGCAAATAGAGTTACCTGCACTAGGTATTTTTTATTTTATAATAATTCAAAAAAAAAGAACGTAAAATTGTAATAAGATTATTTAGCAACAAATTTATTTTTAGATACTATAATTAGCAACAAATTTATTTTTAGATACTAGTTCAAGTGTCTCTGAGATCGATGGCGTTACAACCCTCCTTACATCATCTGGAGGTAGTGAAACAGTAACCGCAACTGAAGTGGTGCTTACCCCAGTAGAGCCCCAAACAGTGGATAATTCACCTAACGTGGAGACAAGTGTGCTTATTCAGACTAAATCCTCTCAAATTCTCATTCCAGGTTTGAATCCCATATCTTTTATTATTTAATTTAGCAATATTTTAATCATCAAATTAAAGTTTATTAGTTATTTAAATGAAGAATATTAAAAAAAATTAATATGCCCTTTTTATTTCAGTTGAAAGAAATCCGTCGCTGTCCACTCTAAGAGAAGAGCGCGTTTTCCTAGTTTTTCCTGAAGCACCTACTTCTAGCACTCAAGCTGAGCCCTCCTTTACGACAGTTGCCCCTCAGACTGAAAATGGTGAACAAAATGATGAGGAGCAGGAGGAGGTCGTCACAGAGACGTTGGGAAACGGTTTATTGGCTTTGAGGCACGGCGAGGTGCACAACGATACATTGAATATAGAGAAGCAAAGTGAAGCGAAAATTATCTTCCCCGAAGACAATAGCTTAGCCGAGATCAGTTCCACATCCACTAGTACTACCACCACTGAGGAGCCATCTACTACAACTGCTTCCACCACCGTTACTACCGAAACAACAACCGTGACCACTAAAACCACTGAAGAGTCAACACTTGCGCCATCCACAACCACTGTTGCCCCATCAACAACTAGGAGGGGTTATCGGGGTACGCCGCGAGCTACAAAAAAGACCACAATCGTCTCTACTACTTCCACAACAGAAATTCCAACAACTTCATCAACTACAGAAGAAACCACGAACAACTTAACAAAATCAACTACCAAAGAAAATGATTCATCGGAATCTCAGGAAAGTGACGAAAATGATGAGCAGGAAACAGAATCCACCACCCACAAAGTTCCTCACTTTGAGGTGGCCAAAAAAGAGACAGTTCTTCGACCCGCTCCACGACCCTCGGCGCGTCTTGTTGAATTTTTGAAAAATAGGCCCGGCGGTGCTCCTAAAAGATTTAATTTGCACACGGAAACAACCTCTGAGCCCACTTCCTCTCCATCTGCGTCTACTACCACTACCACAACCACAAAAACTCCAGAAACAACAACCAAACCTCGCAGAAATAACCTTCTTTTTGGCGCAAGAAATAAACCCAAAATGTTGGACCGATCGGCCAGCGAACTGGAGGAAGTGACCATCGCCCCACCAGAAACCGCCCTGGAGATGCGCAAAGCCAGATTTTACTCCTCTGCGTCCAGCCTGCTGTCCGGCTTTGTTCCGTCCATCCCACTTCCCAGAGTTTCAACCGCCCAGATGTCGGAGCGAAATAGTCGAAAGGCATGCGCCAATCCAGCAGGCTGTGTATCTCCCCAGGACGCGGAAGCCTTGATGGCCTCCATCCAGGATATGATCAAGAATAGCACAGTTTCCACGTTGACTCAAACGCAGACGGCCGTCTCAGACACCACAAACACCATCAGAAATAAAATCAGAAGCCGGCGTCCTAACCTGACAAACCGACAAACCAGTGCTGCTCCCTCAACCACCACCGAATCAGCAATGAGGTCTATCGCCCAGAGGCTTGCTCACCGCAGAAGAACAACCACCACTAGCACTACAACATCCAGCACTACTACCTCGACAACCACAACCCCTGTTCCCAAAATTATTTCCATGAAGCAGATTCAAGATTTAGTAGTTAGTCCGGCGCCGATAATGGTCACTGGTGTGCAAAATGTTGACCCAAGAGTTGTTGTGTCAGAGACGACAACTGTGAAGCCCATCTTCCAAAGGTACAGAGGCTTCGAAAAGAGACCTACTCTATTTGTGCCCCACTCTGCAATGAACCATAACGTCCATAACACTCATCCTCATCGCCACCATGTTGTATCAGGAGCACCAGCTGTAATTTAAATAAATTTAATCTCCGCAATATAGCCTGTGATTCACAAATTTCAATAAAATATTATATAATATTAGTTTTAATACGAAAGTTCTAAAATTTATTAATTGATATACTCATGGAACACAGACAATATAGATTTGCACCAGAATAAGAAAAATTAAGTTTCAAATTAGGGTGACAATATATTAAAATCTTCATAGTTGGTCTATCAAACACCGACTAGAGACTTCCTACTACTTTCAGCAGAATTACGAAAGTTAAAGAGAGGAAACGCTGCCATTAAGGTTATTTACATTGCAAGTCATACAATCATATGAGTCATCAGTGCTAGGGGCTGTGATTTTTCTTATTCACTCATGGAGCAAACAGTTTACGAAACTGAATATTTTTGATATTTTTCATTATTGTTCTAGCAAACATTGGACTGTAGCAGAGAATAATAGATTGCATTACATTTAGACAAAAGTAAAAGATGCAATCTAATAAATTCAGGGAATGCAGAAATTAAATTAAGGTCTCAGTAATTTGGATTTCAAATATTTTTTAAGTAATTTAATGTTTTAAAGGAAAAAAATATATATGGTAATTTTAGCTTTGTTTTTGCAAGTTTAAATCCCAAATAAAATTAACAATTTTGCGATTAACTATTAGAGATAATAATAAATTAATAATCCATTTTCTGAACCCTATTTACTTTCAATTTTAATACTTCAATCAAAAATTTATTGTTAAATTTTATAGCAAGTCTCATTATTATGACGGATGAACCGAAATTCATAAAATTTAAAATAATTTATGTTAACAAACAAACAAATATCAGGAAATACTTAGCCAATTGCAACTAAAAATTAATCAGATCTTTTCATACCATTAAGTCAAATTTGAGATGTTTTACAGCATTTTGGCTCTGAGCTGCTCGCTGAGCACTTGGTTTTTAATCTGTTCCATGATGCCACTTGCACTAGGTCCGGGAAGCAGAACCGACTCATCCGGCATCTGGCTGACCATCGAGATGTCTTTGCTTTTGTGCTTCCGATTCACATGCTGGGAGAGACCATGCTTCTGGGCAAATCCTGTGCCGCATTCAGGACACACAAACTTTTTAGGGGGAACAGGTTTGGGGGGTGGAGGCTGCGGCAGGACAACGCGGCCGTGCTGCTGCAGGTGGACAATGAGCAGCTCGTGCGAGGGAAAGCCGCAACCACACTCTTTGCATGTGTAGCAAGTGTGGATCTTGGCGTGAGCGATCAAGTCGCCCATCTGTGCGAAGCACTCGTTGCAGTATTTGCAGATGTACGGCTTGGTGCCGTCGTGCAGCTTGCTGTGCTGCTGCAGGGTGCGCTTCTGTAGAAACTCCTTGCCACAAATGGTGCAGGCATAGGGAGAGTGGCCGTGTGTGCGTCTGTGATCAACCAGCTCAAACTTCCGGGCAAAAGCCTGTCCGCAGTCGGAGCAGGCAAAAGCGTTGTTGCCACCGTGGAATCTTGAGTGGGCCACCAGCTGCTCCTCTTGGGCGAAGCACTCGTCACAGACGGGGCACTGAAAGGGCCGCTCGCCACTGTGCAGTTTCATGTGCATGTTCAGCGTCCGCCGCTGGCCAAAATGTTTTCCGCAGCTCTCACATCGGTATGGCCGTTCTTTGGAATGCGTCCGTTGGTGGGTAACCAAGTGGTGTTTCAAGGTGAACGACTTCTTGCACTCCTCACAATGGTATGGTCGAAGACCCGAGTGCAGTCTCTGGTGTGTCGTCAGGCAGTGCTTGTGAGTGAAAGTTTTGCCACAGTCCATGCAGCCGTATGGTCTAATGCCAGTATGAACCTTGAAAAATTGAATGATTTAATTTAAAATACATATAAAAAAATTCATTTACTTTAATCAAAAACAGATTTAAAAATTAATTAAAAGTGATCTGAATTTATTATTTATGAAAAAAATATAGCAGACAATATCTATTTTTTTAAGTCTTATTAGGATTAATTTTTTATGTGGTGGTATCAAATTTTATTCCTTTAAATTCAAATAACAATTAGTCTGATTTATTTACACCCGAATTTTCCGAACACTTACTTTAGCATGAGTAACCAGGTGGTGTTTCAGCAAAAATGACTTCCCACACTCATCACAAGAAAATGGTCTCTCTTTGTTACTTCGAATGTTCTGTGGCCTCATAGATTTCTCTATGGCTCGTTCGATCGACCTGTCTATTGAGCCTACTGAACTGCCAGAGTCGCTCAACTTGGAGGAGTCGTTCATTGTATCAACCCTGGAGTTGTTGGGGCACAAGAAGTGGTGGCTGCCCTTTGGGTCACATCCACATTTGAATCCAGGAGCGGTTGCCAAAATGAATGGCTGGTACACAAAGGGTCCGCTGAGACCGCCCAAACTCATGTTCATCTGCTTGTTGAAACTTTCTGGCTCAGTTTCTCTCGGGGCCTTAAAATAGTTTAAATTCAAAATTAAAAATCACAATAAATTGAAGGTAATTTTTCCAATTTTAATTTGCATCAAACTAATATTTTTACCTGGTTACTGGCTGGTTTTTGGAAATTAGAATAACAGCCTAGATCTTGATTGCTCAAAAGGTTGCTGGTATTTGGTTTCCACTCAAAAAATTTTTTATCAACTGTCTCCAAGAACTGTAATTGATAACTTGTTCAGAATAATTTATATCACTTAAGTCTGTTAGAACGAACCTTATAATTATGATGCTGTCCACTGTTGGCTGAATTAACTGAATACTCTTGGTGCAATCTCTCTACTAAAAGCTCAGGAATCACCTGAAATTTGTAGGGAAAAAATATGTAAAAACTTAATATTAGTGGAAGGTTTATAAGAAACCTTAAATGAATCAAAGAAATATTCACTGTTGTGCGGGGCCTGCTTAAGAGCATGATTTCCTAAGTCGCCTAGTTTTGGTGGGGCACACGGTTTACAGTCCTTCAGCTCTTCGGTCGGGCCGCTGGGCGCAGCATGCGGGGGATATTCGGATTTGGGAAAGAAGTCTGCAAAGTTGATTTCGTTGGCAGGCCAGCCTTCACTCAACCAGGGATCGCTTTTAGAGCCTGAGCTCATAATACTTTCCTCCCTTGGCCGCCCACGAACGACGACATGCCATTCACGGTGATGCTGCAATAGAGAAGCGAAAAGGTCAATAAATTGGGTACCAAAAGTTGCGTCTCTATACTATCTTATTGCCAGAATCTAGTAAAAAATTGACAAGCAGCAATTCAAGAAAATAAAAAATTATCGAAAGTGCGACTTGACGCACTCCTCAAGCCTACACATATGTGATACGCACAGTGTGTGTTTGTTTTGGCCTCGAATCCAACGCAAAGGGGGTGTGGCTTATCTAAACAAGTAGTTCTGTGCTTGGACCACGAGAAGCGCTACCGTCGTCGTCGTCCATCCGGTCCATCGCAAATCTTGACGCAAATCAACAAGCAACAGCCATGGAAATATCCGGAATAAAACCTAGCAAAAGTATTGAAAATTTATGTAAACCAATTCAAAACGCGTTGCCATCAAAGATTTTTTGATTATAAATTCAATTTTTCATTTGAACATTTAAATCATTACTGTCATTTCAGTTTAATTTCATTTTTTGAAAAACTTTTTTATGATTTTAAATTTTGCCGCGCTCTTGCTTGGAGCGTTACCGCCAAAAACGGTTGACAACATCCGTATTTTGACTCTTATTTGCAATTTTAGACCTCATATTTTTATTTAAGGGACATTAAAATTTTAATTTAAATATAATAAGTTGATATAAATTGGGTTTTTACTCTAAGTAGGACCAGATTCGTAAATAACGTCTCTGAAAGGCACCATTTTGAACAACCGGAAGTGGTACTAGCCATTTTTCGTCTTTCGTCCGTTTGTTTTAAAGGTATTTGTTGTGAAACGTGGGTGTATGATAAACGAAACTGTCAAAATATTATGTGAAAATAATACGTCGTCGCTCGAAACTGTGCACTCATCCGCGATGGAGTCGGCTCAGAAGAAACTGGACTTCGACAGTCACGACGAATCTTACGAGGATCATCTCAAATTTATTGACAACAAGTTCTGTTTCCCTGAGGACGACATCGGCATCACCAGCAGTCCACTTTCACGCAGGCTGCAGTTGCAGAGCCCTCGAAAGATAAAACGCCACATGCACACGCGTTTTCAAGAATGGAAAGACGACGAAGAATTTGTGCACCCTATGCTTCCTCCGTCCCCTGTTTCGCAGAACTACCTAGACCATGAGAAGGGGCCCCAGCCAGGTCTGCTGGACAAACCGCCATTGACCTACTCACCGCCTTACAAGAGGGTGCGAGCTCTGAGGCTCTTCGACACTCCAATTACTCCAAAAACCATTATTGAGAAATCTAACCCTGGTCTTTTGAGCGGAGTCAATTTACCAGAAGACTTCCCAAGACCCATTCCTTCGTCCTTCAAGCCAACTGTGGAAAAGCCTGTTGCCAACACAAATCCCTTTACTCCAGACATTTTGCTCAGGTTCAGGAAAAGAACTAGGTCATTGAGGAATCTCAATTCTTTGCACTCGTGAGGATAATTTTTTATTTTAAGATTCATTCAAATCAATTAATGTAACTGTGTTAAAATTTTATTTAATATTTCCCTCTAAATCTTTAGGTCACCAAACTCTGTAAATTCGTCCATGCAGTCAATCGAAGACTCCCAAACTGCAATGCAGCAAGGCTCTATGCTAGAGGATGATGAAGACGAAGTTAGACAGCCTAGAAAGAGGATAGCCATCAATGAGTCAAATATCACCAGATACCACAAGGTTTGTAGTTTTTACTGTTATACTAATATTTGTGGCTCTGATGAATTATTTAAAAATATAATTCTTAATTTTATATTCTAGGAATTCCATGAAGTTGCTCTTATAGGGGCTGGTGAATTTGGAAGTGTTCACAAATGCATCAATCGTTTAGATGGGTGCATCTATGCCATAAAAAGAAGTATTCAGCCAATTGCAGGATCTGCAGATGAGTAAGTGAATTTTAAAATAAATGTTCCCCTTTTCCCCCTAAAATCCAGATAACAAACCTAATTTCTTTATTTAAATGAAAAATCTTGAATCTTTAACTTGATAAACTCATAAAATATGGTTTAATGATGTATGTTGTTAAACCTTAACTTATGCTGGCAGGAGACCCATACTTATTTTAATTATTAATTTCAGGCAAAGAGCGCTGAACGAGGTTTATGCTCACGCTGTCCTTGGAAGCCATCCACATGTAGTTCGTTACTACTCCGCTTGGGCAGAAGAAAACCACATGATCATACAGAATGAGTTCTGTGGTGGAGGCAGTTTAGCCGACCAGCTGAAGAAGCTGCGAGAGGCTAATGAGAAGCCCCCTGGTCTGCCTGAAAAGGAATTGCGGCGTATTTTGCTACACATCAGTCGAGGCCTCCACTTCATTCACCAGGCTGGCCTTGTCCACCTCGACATCAAGCCTGGCAACATTTTCATTGCTCATGAAGCAAGGGTTGTGCCGGTCTCTGCCCTCAACTCTTCTGGAGAGCTTAGCATGGAAGAAGAGGAGGCTGTCGCTGAGCCGGAGCGAGAGGAGAATGTTTACAAAATTGGTATATAGTCATCAAAATTAAATTATGAACTATTAATTAAATAAAACTTTATAAAAAGGTGATCTGGGTCATGTCACAAGTAGCGACATGCCTAAAGTTGAAGAAGGAGACTGTCGATATCTGCCTAGGGAACTGCTCCAGGATGATTTTTCACACCTGACAAAGGCAGACATTTTTTCATTAGGTAATTCAAATTAAATACTTATTTTGCCATTGATTCTAATTATTTTCATTTTAAGGTTTAACAATTTACGAAGCTGCTGGAGCTGGACCCCTTCCTAAAAATGGTGATTTATGGCATGCTTACAGAGATGGAAATCTTCCAGAACTGCCATATTTAAGCTCATCTTTGAATGAACTTATAAAGGTAAAATTTACAGTTCATATAATTTTTTTTAATCAACTTCAAAGATTAATAAATAGTAGACAAATATCAGTTTGTTGTATTCAAAATTTTATGATTTCTATTTAATTGCAGTCAATGGTGCACTCCAATCCTGCTGAGCGACCATCAGCTTCACAAATTGCTAGCCACCCACTACTGTCGGACGCACCACCCCGAGGCCTCACTGCCCGAGAGGTGGAGCTTCAAAGAGAGGTCAATGTGCAGAGACTGAAGTCTGAGATATTGGAGCGCCAGCTGCAGGATGCTAACCGTTTGCTCAAGATGTCGCAGGAAAAAGCTAAAACCCTGCACGAAACAAAGCGCATTCTGAAAGCTGGCCACGAGGAGTTTAAGTCCAGCCTTGACAGCAACTGCAATCTAAGACTGCCTGTCGACCGAGCCAAGAGTCGACTGGTAGGGTGCCGCACGAAGAGGAGCATGAGTGCCACAAACTTTTGAGATATTTGTGATGTGTCCAGTTTAAGAATTTATTATAGTTGTTTCGCTTGGCTTGTGTCTGGACCTGTCGTAGCTGAAAACAATTCATTGTTTCTTCCTTGTGCTTTACAATTTTTATACGTTGTCCCTGCAAGGTCCAGTTGTGTTACACTGTCCCTGCTTATTACGAATCTCCAGAATTACCTGCCTGTGTCAAATTGTTTTAGGTGGATAATATGCAAAGTAAGGGAAATTTATAATTGCTGGAGACACGAAATTTATTTTGTATCTTATCTCTTCTCATAGTTATTAATGCATTTCGTTTTGATATACGCATTCTTTATGAAATAAATTTATTAAACAGATGATACAAAAAATAATTTATACAGGAGGCCAATTAATTTGTCTTTCTCCTTATTTGTGGATGTGCAGGTGTAAATGGCCTGGGAGCCATGAACTCCATTATTTATTACCAAAAATTTTAATTCCTTTTTTTTTTCTTTTTTTAGCAAAGAAAATTAACTAAATCTTTCTCCTGAGGCTATCAACATAAGATTGCCTAACTGTTGAATATAAAAGATGAAAATTAAATATTTTGACAGATATGTGATAAATCAAAATCACAATTTTATTATCTTCAGTGGCATCTTGCAGCTTTGTAATGCGGTTTTTTTACTGACAAGAATTTAACGTCATTAAAATAATGCAAGTGCAGTGATCCCGTCTGCTTAATAATTTTAATTTTTCGTAAAATAGGATTAACCAAAATCAAGCAAATCCACAAGGAAGTAAAATCTTTTTCAAAATTATTTTATTAATTCTAAATTCTAACCATTTATTTATTATAACTCTTAATATGAAGTCAATTTTCTGAACTCTGATTTTGTTTACCAAAAATAGTCGAAATGATTAATAAATTAAATGTTTTATCGTCAAGTTGGCAGAAACAAAGTGGAGTTGTATTATTGTATTGTATTCTTTGAATTTAATGCCAAGTTTGTGTATGTATCTCCTTGAATTTGAATAAAGCAATATTAATTACAAATTGGAATTTATGAAAGGCAATTAACAATCCCTATAAAATATTTCTTTGATTTGTTAATTTTCTTGTGTTGGCTACATTGAATATTTCGCGCTAAATTCCCGGCTGCTCCCGCTCATTCTCGATTCTCGTGTGTTGGTTGCTGCATTGTTGCAGTTTGAGTTGAAATATTTGAGAATTTGCAGACTTTAACAGCACCAAAATGTCCATCAACCTCACAGCAGGTAGCTTGAAGAAGTTAATGGAAGGAAACCCGATGGAAAACCCGGCTGTCCAGATCGTGAACATTCGAAAGATGAACCAAAAGGGCACGACCGACAGATATCGCATGCACATTTCGGACGGTGTGAACAGCATTAACTTCGTCATGCTGGGCACCCAGTTGAACCCTAAGGTCGAGTCTGGAGACCTCGTCGAATACTCCATCATCGCTCTGAAGCACACCATTACGAGCAAGATCAAGTCTGGTGGAGGTAAATAAATTCTTTTCTCTGCGCTATTGTTGTTGCTTGTTTGTACAAGGCTGTACAAAAGTTACCCTGCACTCAGTACGCCCCTTGCATTTCTGACACTGTTACCATGCAGGTGCTCAAATGCCTTACAAAATTTTTTAGGTGATCGGAAGGTGATCATAATATTGGATTGCGAGCTTTTGGTTCCTGGTTCAGAAGTCAACGTAAAGATTGGAAATCCTGAGCTTTTAGTCCTCGAAGAAAACACCCAAGACGAGTCTTCGGCGGCTCCTGCTGCAGCTCCAGCCCCTACAGCTCCTGTCAGGGAGAACGGCGTTGCTCGCCACAACCCTCCAGTAGCCATGGAAAGGCCAGCACCTCCTGCTGTGTCGCCTCTGAATGGACATCAGCCCCCTAAAAGACCAAGGATGGATTCGAGCAGTGATGCAAACGTTCGTCCCATCAGCAGCATCAATCCGTTCCAGAACAAGTGGGTCATCAAGGCCAGGGTTACTAATAAAGGAGCAACAAGGGAATGGAAGAATGCGAGGGGAGAGGGCAAGCTTTTCAACATGGATCTGAAGGACGGCTCCGGAGAAATTAGAGCTGCTGCTTTCAATGATGAAGTATATTTTTCTACAAATTTTTCTAAAAATAAATTTTCAATGTGCCATTTTTTTTATTTGATTATAAAAAAATGGGGCGAATGATAATTTTTTCTTAGTGTTTCTAAGCGTTTGCTAATAGTTACATTTTCTTTTAGGTGGATAAATTTTTCGATGATATTAAACAAGGACATGTCTACTTGATTGGCAACTGTACTGTGAAACCAGCCAACAAGAAGTACAGCTCCCTGAACCACGACTACGAGCTCTCCTTTAACCGAGAAACGTTTGTCAATGAAGCCGATGACGATGCTAGTGTCCCTACAATTAATTACGAAATCACTCCCATTGAAAGCATCAAAGAAGTTGCTGTTGATGCCTTTGTTGACATTGTTGCTGTCTGCCACTCTTGCAGTGATGTCCAACATTTGGTCTCCAGAGCTACAAGCAGGGAGTTGAAAAAGAGGGACGTCGTTTTGGTTGACAAAACCATGCACTCCATCACTCTCACTTTGTGGGGAGAAGAGGCTGAGAAGTTTGACATCAGCAGCAACCCAATCATTGCCATTCGCAATGCCAGGGTCAACGAGTATCAGAACAATAAGAATCTCGGCACCACTTCGAATTCTAGTATCGAGGTTAGCATTTTTGAAGCATCTTCTTTGGCAGATTTTAACATATTTATTTACAGTATAATCCTGGTGATTTGCCAGCTGCTCATGAATTGAAATCCTGGTATGAAAATGAAGGGAATCAAGCACAATTCCAGGGAATATCTTCCTCTGGACAGCCCTCTGCAGGCGGTGAGTTTTTAATTTTCATTTTAAATTATGAGAACGCAATAGTCACTCATTGCCTTAAATTTAAAGCTGTTTTTGAAATTCGGATTTATGTTTTTGGAATATATTTCCTGACGTAAGTTTTGTGTTGCAGTCGGAGGATTTGATTCATGGACATACTTGGGAGCAGTTAAAGACGAGCAGCTTGGACAGAAAGATAAGCCAGACTACATTGGAGTGGTGGCCACTGTCCTGTCCATGAAGCGTGACAATTTCTTTTACATGTCTTGTCCTAACGATGAATGCAAGAAAAAGGTAAAACATTCCCTTTATTAGAATATTTCCAGCATTACAGCGTATTTAAAATTTCAGATTATGGACAACGGCAATGGAATTTTCCGTTGTGAGAAATGTGACAAAGACTACCAGGATTTCAACACTCGCTACATTTTGAATGCGAACATTGCTGACTGGTCTGGCAATGCTTGGGTTACTCTGTTTGATGATGAGGCAAAAAGACTGCTGAAGGTCGAGAGCCGAGAACTGTCAAGGCTCAAGGATGAAGAACCAGAAGAATACAATGCATACTTCGACGCAGCCCGATTCAAACCGATGCAGTTTAAGTTGCGAGTTAAAATGGAGAAGTACAATGATGAAAACCGTATAAAAACCTCAGTTGTGAAGATGGAAGAGCTCAACTTGGTTGAATACAACAAGAGGCTTGTGAAGGAAATCGAAGAGATGAGAGCCCAGTTGGGAGTTTAAAATGGGGTGTCCGTAATCATCCTATATTTTGGTGTTTATCAAAATGCACTTGAAACAATGAAGATTCTGGTTTAAAATTTGAATTATACTATTTAAAATTAGTAGATTTAACTCTCATCAGTCCTTATTTGATATTGTATTTAAATGCTTTTTTGTCACTAATTATTCATATTCAAAGTGGAATACAAAGTGAAGCAAAACCTCTTAAAATTTTCTCGGTAAACCTTTTTGTTTCAACAATTAAATATTATTAAGTTGAATTAAGTTATAAAGTGTTTAAATGAGATGCATATTAATTATTAATACCTTAATAAGTGCTTCAGAAAATATAGATAATGCAAAACCGACTGTGTGAATGTGAACAGGCAAATAATCTTAATGCCAAAATTTAAAAGGTTGAGATTTCTGGCCAGGTGAATAGAATTGATTTCTGCGTATTTTTCCTGTATTCTAAGCAAAACCATTTTTACTTTTTTTTCTGTACACTATATAAAAATAAAAAATTAAATAATTTCAAATAAGATTGGAAAACTTCGTTTCCTTTAATTTTTCCTCATTCTATTATTACATTTTTATCACGTTTATAGAAAAAAAAGATTGGAATAACTTAATTTTCACTGTTCAGACATACCCAGTCTTATAAACTGCACAAAACAATTTTTGTTCCAAATTTCACAAAGTGGGACTTGGTGCCAAGAATTATTAAAACCTCAGTGATATTCTTGATTTACACCATTTTTATTTGACATACAAAAAGTATTATTTTCATTTTTAGTAGTGGCCAAGGGTGTTAAAAAACCACGATTACTCTTAAATACAAAAAGATTACAATATATTGTCAACGGCAGCTGTCAATGAATTTATACTTTTTATTCCTATGCTCAAGATAACTGCTGCTCATAATTAAGTTTTCAAAGTCCAAATTCGGCCTGTAAATTTATACATGAGACTCAAGAAACAGTGTTTAATCAAGAAACTGACAGAAAAATGAATGCCAGCACACATTTTGCATAATTTTCACCGCCTTTGTAATCATGTGATAAACAATTTATATAAAAATCTTGAATCAATAATATTTCCACTGCGCCTTGTACGATTCATTTAATTTTTGAGAAATTGAAATAATAACAACAACAATGAGATAAAGATCTAAATTTTTCAAACGTTAAGGTACAACCTTGCAGAAAAATTAGAACCAAAGAACGCACGTGATCACGCCTTTTCGAGTCAAACATATCTTTTCCTCTGCGACGACCACGGAACATCCTTTTTCTATACTCATCGAAATGCTGCCTGTTTTGAACAATTATACCAACAGATATGTGTTCAAAAACTGCACGCGGCTTTATTCTGAATACAAGTATTTGGGGTGACGAGCGCGTCTAGGACGGGACGGTCCGGCGTCCTGCAACAACGGCAGGCGGGCGGGCGGCACCTTTAGCTTGAGTGAAGCCAGAGACGTCACTCAAGCCCTGAGCCTAAGGTGGGCGCCTGGAGAGAGCTCCCGGACCGCCCCGGCCAATGTCGCTGACCCCAGAGTAATAGTAATAATCAAAAATGGAAGCTGCAGCTTTACATTCTCCTCTTTGACTACAGTTAACACTTACAGGGGTCTCGTGTTTATTTTTTCTGCGTTTTCTTTTATTTAATTGGGTTCTTCTCTCTCGGTTTTTGTGTTGTGTGTGTGTATGTCATGGTGGATCTTTTGATTCGCTTGTAAATTAAAACACGGTCATTTTTAAAATTTGCAACTGCTTGAGTTAATTTGTGAACGCAATTCCAACATAATTATCCTATAGACTTTCATTGTGGTTTTCTTGAGTGGATCCACTCATATTTCCACATACATCATTTATCAATAAATTTTAAGTATTTCCTTCAAATAGTTTCTTTTTATAGCAAATGCTTGTAAAAGCAACCTTATCCCCTGGCAACAAAGAAAATTGAACTTTTTTTAAGTTGCATTTCTCTTATAAATTTTCTTTCCGTCTTCATAAAGACAACACTGAAATATATAAAGAACAACATTTTGTGTGTCTCTACTGAATGTTATTATTTTCTGTGTTGAGAATTAAATGCATTTCAGTGCTCTCCCGCTCATTATAATTTCAAGAAGACAATCTTTTGGGTTCTTCTTGTCTTGTTTAATCATACTCTTATGTGCGCTTATTTGGCAAACAAATAAATATTCTTCCTCCAACAAAGAAGTTCTTGGTCATTTTGTTGGGTTTTTTTTAAAGTCAAGTGGCGAGCGAGATTAATGAGACAATAAATAGTTTGATGGTCCACCCGCCACTTACTTTTTTTAACACTTCTCTAACCTGCAGAACAATAAAATCAACTTAGGAAAAACAAATAAAAATAAATATTTGTATGATCACAGTAAACATGACCGTAAATGGCCAGAATACTGACTAGAAACTATTCAGAAATTTAAAAACTAAAATCATAAAATATTTAACATTATAATCTGTCACAAAATTGTGCAATATTTTCTCTTTAAACCAGAAAATAATTATTATTTTGTATTTGCAAGATCATCAATTATATACTTTTCTCTGAGCCCTTAGAAAAGTATATTACTGAATTGCAGAGATCTTTTAATTAATCATTGACTTGAAACAATCACCATAGTCCTTGTAACATTTATCACCTCTTATTCTTTTTCAGCATTGCTGGTTACTGATTTGTACACATGCTCAAGAGTACGGAGGCCCTTTAGCAAGGCTCCAGTGGGCATTTGGGAACATGTTAGCTTCAATTTAAATGCACTTGTTAACAAAAATAACAGCAACTTAATAATCAAACTACTTTTTGATTTCACTTCTCCGAACTTAATTTGGCACAGAACATTTGCGAATTAATTTAAGCAGTTCTAGTGGCCCACTGGCAGCTCGCCACTTTGCCTCCGTCGTAATCAACAGAATTTTTTCTGAAACATAAACCGGCGTTTCTTCTTATTACATTAAACAGAAAATCTGCTTCCCTCTTCCGGTAAAAGTCTGTGTGTTATAGAGAGGAGTGACTAAAAACCAACTGCGCTAGTTGGCCTGGTAGGGCGCGTGCCGACCGCCGCAGAGGCCACACTTGACCCCACACCAGTGGCAGCAGTTGAGCGGCGGATAGAGACACAGGCAGGGCACCAGGATTGACAGAAGCCCCAGACCCATCCAACGCCGGCCGCAACCTTGACCCACACCAGTGCACTCACATGGTCGCTGCGCAAATTCGCCCTCCTGGTCAGACATGCAGTGGTACATCATGCACTGAGCGCCCGACATGCAGGACACTGAATCAATGCAGCCCTGCACCTGGTCGGGTGCGAGCTCACAAGCTCCGCGCTTATTTTGATCCTCTGAGAAATACTGAAAATAGAAAAAAGTTTTCTTAAATTTTAGGTATCATTTAATTCATTTTCAGTACAAGTGCAAGCATAGAAAAGTTTTAATTTCAGATTCCAACAATACACAAAGTTTGTTACTAAAATAATTTATTATCTACATTTTTAAAGCAACTTAAAAGTTGATAAATATCATAAAGAAATCTAGCTTTCTTACCTCTTGACAAAAGCGACATCGAATTTTCAAAACAGCACCACCACTCCTCTTGCGCACTTTCTCTGGGGCGGTGGGACCCTGTCCTGAGATTTCTTGCGAGCAGCTAGGTTGCTTCTTTGGGCTGTTTGACGTTTGGCGCAACAAGCCGGACTCCAAGTCTTTCTTTGTCTCGGAGTCACAGCCAAGGCCGCCAAGCATGGGGTAGTTGTACTCATGCATCGCAGAGAGCTGCACATACGAGTAATTGTCGATGTGGGCCATATCCAAATAATCTTTCGACGGGCTGGGGATTTTCCCCTCGGAAGTAGCCGCCGCCACGGCTGCCCGCAGCCAGGGGTCCGAACTCTTGGCCACGGTGCTGATTTTGCTGTCGCCCTCTATGCTGCTCTCTGTTTGGCGGGCGAGGTAGTTGAGCCGGTGTTTTTGTTCCATCAGCGAGTCATGTCGGTTGTTGAGCCCGCCGCGTGTCGATGAGTCCGATGAGGAGCGCGAGTCTCCTCTCTCCACCGGCAAATTAAGCGTCTGCAAGAAGTAAACAGAATTTATGAAAATTTAGTGTGAATCAGGATTAAATGAATTCTACAAAAACTATTTGGGGGAACTCCTTCATTATAGCATAAAATATAATTGGCAAATTAATTATTCAAAGAAAATAAATAGTTTGCATGCAAATTTACAACGCAGCGATCATTTGGACTTTGAACGGTAGTTTTAGTTTTGACTTTAATTCCATATTCAAAATAAACGAATAGGATTTTAAACTAGAATGTCCCTGGAGCCATAGGGTTTAATTGAAATAATACAAAGGCTTACCATAAAGACATCATCTTCTCCGGCATCTTGGTTGTAGGATTGAAAAGGAGGCGATGAAGTAGGCAAGCCTGCAACAAATTCAGAATTTCATTTTTTTCACTTGCCCACAAAACACAGTAGACGAGAAACAAGAATGATTAAGCGGAATATATGAAAGGCAACAAATAGTCATTCATTCAGCAGGTTTTTATAGAAATCCAGTTTATGATCGTCTCAGCACTGTGCAGATCAAGAGGGTTTGAATTAAATCAGCAAAGCTGAAGTCGCGGACTAAGTAAAGTATAGCATACTTTGATGATAAGGGCAAAACAAACGACTGGGGCAACACAGAGTAATGAGAAATGGATGAGAACATAGCAGCCATACACAAGAATTGGTATCATATATAGAGGTTGCACTTACCAGCAAGGAAATCAAGTCCCAGAGGGATCAGCAAAAAGACAGCAAGGCGATAAGTTTTTTAACAAAAACCGCCTTTTTCAATTAAAAAAATAAAATAACGCAAAATGCACATAAAAGGTTTATAAACTGGATTTTAATGAAAACCTTAGTTTTGAACACCAAAACTCGCAAACTATTGGATCTGTAAGTAAATTGTTGAAGCTCACCTTCAAGGAGCTCTTCCACAGCAGTGCAGACGCCTTTGTCAAAGGCGCGGGCGTCCGCAGCAGTCTGGAAGGTCAGGCCAAATTTGGAGTCTCGCGTGCGCCAGTGATGAAACGTGGGCATGACGCGGTTGTACTCGAAGTCCTTGTTGATGGAACAACTTAGTACAACCTGTAACATTAAACAAAAAATGGTTGAAATTTGAGTTAATAATTAAAAAAAAAACATCATTTTGTGAAAATAAACAAATATGTGTTCAGGATTACACTGGTTAGGAACAGAATCCTAGCCAATTCTTTAAACCTGAATTTTATTTCACCCAGGCGTATAGCTGTTAGTGCCAGAATCAGCATTACCAGTAAGTTATTGGGTATAAAAAATCCCACTTTATTAGCTATTTAGAGAATATAATAATATATAATTAAATAAATAATAGAAAATTAATATATAATATTAAATAAATAGGCACATACATCTCTCATAAGTTCATATTGAAATAAATTATTTTTAAGACAAAATATATTTTTCAATGTTCGTTTTCTCCAAGTAAATAAACACTCGAGGGGTATTGAAGAAATTTCTGAATTTTATGTGCAGATGAATATGAAAAAAAAATTATTTTAAAGAGACAGAAAATTAAAAATAGAAATACATAACTTAATGGCAAAGATTTGCTGCTTTAAATTATTTTCAAACCCACAATTTATTTCTGAGTTCAGCGGTTCTCATGTTATACAAAAAGAGAGAAAATTTGAAGAGTTGTGTGGTTTGAACTGTCGTTTTTGCGCTTTAGCTCAATGAATTCTTTGAGGATGCATTAAATTTGATGTATTTTTCTCATCATTTTGACTTAAAGTCCATATAGATGATTGATATAAGCTAATAACTTGCAAGTAAAAATTTCAAATATATTTATGCGTAAGAATTTGATAAAAAAAAGTTCAGGTCTTAAAGGCGCCAGAGGTGGCGGGAAATGCAACAAACGCGCGCGTTCATTCTGCTTGGTTCGGCCGTGATCGATAAGCTGGCGCAGAAGGCGGCAGGCAGCGTCGGCTCTCTCCAGGTCGAAATTTCAGCGGGGGTGCCGCCGTGCGAAAAGCGAGGGCGAAATTGGCGCAGCTTTAATGAAGGAAGAGGCAGGGGCAGCGCATAATGGGGTGCAGAGCGAGTGAATGGTTCTTTCATGAAAACACCGAGAGACCCCTCTGGCTCGGAGGGGCGCCGATCGATGTTGGCGCCGACACGTGTCGGGCCCTCCCCTCCGCTGGCCTCGCTCGCGCTGCACTCAGGCCATACACGTGTGGCGGCGGGGAAGTGGGTCACCCCTGGTGAATGAATTTTGAGCAGGGTGCAAACAGGCTTCCTTCTTCGTTCATGGGCCCGGCCTGAATGGATCCATCCGGCCGCTGAGAAAAAATAATGCACCACCGCCGACCGCCGCCGCACACGCGATCAATATGATTCGATTCGACTATTATTCTCGCCGTGCCATTGACACGCACACACTTCCCTCGCTTTGTCTTTCACATGGACAAAAAGTCTCCATTTCATAAATGAATCAATTATTTGGCTCAGAAAAAATTAAATTTATCTTAAAAATTTCCTTCTCTGAAAAATTTTAATTCTCAGTTAAAATCATAAACTTCTTAAAATTACCGCAGAATTAACCAATTTGCTCTAGTATGATGAAGAATACGAAAGGTAATTTTAACATCTGTATATTATCAATGTTTGATAAATTTTTTTGTTACTTAAAATTCAGACACTGAGTAAAATTTATTCTGCTTCAATTAATAAGTTTGTCAAAGTTGAGTCGCGTCATATTGTTTTTTGTCGATTTTGCTCTAATTTGGATCAGCAGAGAGATAAATAGAGAATAAACTGGGGTAAAAAGAGAAAAAGAGTGCCAATTTAGAATGACATTTTAACAACGTAGTACAGCAATAAAATATTTACTGGTAAAAGGAAGATAATTAAATTTTATAAAAAAGTGTGAATCAGCCAGATAAATTTTGATGATTTTCATAATTATACAAAATAATTATCAATCACTTGAAAATTATCAATAATTATATAAATTGTTAACTCTTAAATTTTTGATAGTTAACGTCGGAAAATTGCGGAAATTTCAAAAAATATCCACCCTGCCCAACCTTAAATTGTTTGGATTAAAATCAACAATACATCAGTAAAAACAATAAACAAAACAAAATTTAGATTAAGCTAATTGGAAGGATTTCGGTAAACATTTTACATTCCACTCAATTTACAACAAGCTCCTCATTACAACAAGGAAAGGAAGATTGAATGATTTAATTTGCTGTGCATCCTGTATTTTGTCGAAAGAGCCAAATATAATACAAGGCAATGGCATAAATTCTAATCAACGTTTTAGGAACATCAATCTGTTGCCAGGATACTGCGATTGGAATAAGGAAAATTAGATTTAATGGATTTAATATCATAAGTTAAAATCTCTTTTGTCACTATTTTTATACACATACACAGCAACAACAACCAGATGAAAATATTAATAAATTACACAATCTTATTTTCTGCTTTTAAAATATTGAAGAACTGATTTTGTCTGACTATACTTGGCCTTGATTATAAATAGATTGTTTCAATTTGGGCATGCTAAAAATACCCCTCTTATTCGTGCTTGTGGCAGGAGTGGGTCTCTTATTTATTAGGCTGCCCTTTGGGAATTCCACGAAAGGTTAACTTATGTTATTTACAAAATATATTTTTATACTTTATTCCAAAAGGAATTTTTCCAAATTAAGTTGCATGGAGCATTGCAGAGGGGGTATAATATTTAATTGTTCAGAGAAATGACTTTTTATGCTTTGAGTATTAAAAATTTGAATAATTATTTCATTATAATGTGTACAAGATATCATTCAATCAAACTGATTGGTTTACGTCTAAAAGGAAGAATAGCTCAAAGTAAAGCGATTCTCAATTTTATTTATGCCAAATAATTTTTTATGTTTGAAAAAAATTGGTTTAAAATTTTTTTGTAATCTTTTTGGAAAAATAGGTTTTTAAAACTTACCACGTCATCCGATATTCTCCTGGCAAAGATAAGGTACTCGTGGGCACTCTTGCCGCGTTCTGATGCGTTGCTGCTGCACGAGGGCAGCTGCATGGCCAGCAGGGTTCGTTTGTGCACCGAGACATCTGAGAGTCCTCCAACTCCCATTGGCACCCAACCCCCTGTGCTGTCATCACGAGTCATCACCTGAGCACGCACGCGGACCAAATGTTTGTCTCTGGAAAAAAATAAATACATTGTCACTATTTTATTTTAATATTTATATTTGATTTTTTTAACCAATATAAATATTTGTTATTTGTTATAACAAAATTTAGCTGGGGGGATTTTTTAACATGGGTACATACACATTTATAAAATTTAAATAATATTAAAAAAATTTAGTTAAAAAATGGTCCTTTTCTCAAAATTATAATGGTATAATTCACCTAAAATAAAAATAACCCTGTAGAGTAAAAATAATATTTGCTGATCACATCTATTGTGTGTATTGGTTAGAGATAAAAATATAAATTGCTGTTTATGAATGGACATAGGAGTTCCATTGAGTTGATGGGGAAGGATCCGGGGTCGCAAATTCAGCTCTCTATTTTGCACTTGCAAGGAATTCCAGGGTTGCCCCGAGCAGCCCAACGCAGTGTCTGGTAAGATTGCGTCAGAAACGAGGCCCGTTTCGGACGGAGGTGCCCAAATTCGACGTGCAGAGACCGAAACAAATGACAGGGAAAATGGAGGCGCGCCGAGAAAACTGGGGTGCGATTCGTATTTACGCCCCTCGCGAAAGGCCTACCCGGGCGAGAAAATAAAGCAGGAACATTCTACTTACTCTTCATGGCCTTCTTTCATGACTCGCAATGAAAAAAGGATTACTTTTCCCACATTTCCGCCCCGTTTTCCACATCTTCAGGGTGTGTTAGCCTCATCAGCCCTATCCTAGCAAGACAGGAAGTCGGAAGAAACATTCATGGAAATCTCTGAAATTGCGACTCAATGTAAAATAGTTCCCCTTTAAGTGAGCGAATTTCTCAATTTTTAAAGCGGTTAGCAGCTAAAATTGCAAATATTTCGACTAATTTTCTTGTTTTATTGTTTTTGAAAACGATTTGTAAGCAGCTTCCAACGCATTTAAAAAATTTAACTTGCATCCCTGGGCAAGGAGCAGAAGAAAATAGCGGAGGAATTTGGTGCGCGATCTATTTCGCACACGATTCTTGCACCCGCCAACAGATGTCAGGTCGCTCGGAGGATTTTGTGGCTCGGTATTTTACATAGGAGAGGAGAGCCTATGTATTGAATGACGAATTGTTGCAGCATCGCACTAAATACATAATGTACATAATATATCACCGATCTTATTACAAAAGTATGCAGTAAATACGTAAAATAGGAGAGGATTTTTAGCTGTTGCTGCTAGTCACCTACAGTTTTACTTGAGCTAGTGAACAGAACGGACTGAACAGAGAGTATGTTTGTCTCTCTCTCTGATTGTGACTTTTGTGCAAGAGCGGTACGAGGTTCAGCAATCAAGGTATGTATAATAGATAATGAGATAATTATTATAGATCATGATTAAAATTAATACATTTTAATTTTTGTATCACTAAATTTAATTCAGAAAATATATTTCATAAAAATACAGGTTTCAAATCGCAGTACCTTGCTGATAAAATTTTTCACATAAATATTATCCAAAATTCATGCTATTTGCTTAATTTAATTGATTACATATTAATCGCACGTGAATACAAATGCCTTCTTAGTTATTATGGAATTATTATGTAAATTTATGTAATCTGCACATTTTTTTATGCCAAATTTGGCATTAATGTTTGAGCTTTTCAGCTATTCATTTTTCGAGTACTCCAATAGAGTTGGGATTCAGTTTCTGTTCTGCTCAGATTTTGCAGGGGGTCAATTTGGTTTAAGAGGACGGCACAGTTAAAAAGATGTGCCCTGTCTTGCACATCTTGAATTTACGATGTGTTAGATGCATTTGTACACAATGCGATTTAGTATCTTCTGCTAAAATTGCAATATTAATTATTATATACTTATAACTTAAAAACCTTTAGCTGATTTGATCATTTTTATAGAAATTCCGAAGTAGAGCCGAAAACAACAAAGACAAAAACGGTCGAGCGAAACAAGGTTGAAAAGGATAGGGCCAAAAGGAACAAGGCCTATGGGCTTTAAGCTAACTTATTAACTGACCGATTTTTACATAGATTACTGAAACCAATGAAGAAAGCAAGAAAAATAATTTAATTATTCTAAACGAACAAAGTCCAATAAAGCTGACAGGCACATAAACTGTTTTTCAATCCAGCTGACATTGGTTTTTGAAAATAATCAACAAATTTTTGACAACGAGGACAAACCCCACCGTTTTTTACCATGAAAATCTCAAGAGCTACACTTATTCTCTAACTAACAATAAGAAGTCAACATGTTTTGTTCGTGTACATTTCTCACATTTAATAAATTGGGGGAAATCTGGAAAAATGCTTATACCACATTATTATACTAACATTTGTCCCGTTCTTTGTTTAGCCCTCATACAAAGGCTTATTTTTTTCAATTATAAAACTTTTGTCTTTTCTTATAAATCTTACAAAATTACTAAAATTAGTATGATTATAAATGAAATTAAATTGATTTTATCATAAGATTTAATCTGAAAATAAGTTGTATATTTTATTTATGCTACACTGTACGACACATAGATATATTTTGATTTTTGATTAAATTTTGGTCTAACTGACAGGTTTCGTGACTTTCATTTCCTTATGCATAAAAGAAATTTATAAAGAATTGAGTTTCATTTCATATTCTACTCCTACTTTCTTCTTATTGGAATAATATAGCAACAAAAAGTAAAATTTTGTATTAATGTCACGTTATATGCACTGATTTGTACTTTTGAAGCTTCTTTCTTAATTTTCTAAAAAGCAAAAAAAAAATCCCCCCGCCCATGCCTCACACCAGTTTTCTTCCTTCTAATTTTACAAATGCTTGTCAAGCATTTATTTTAAAAACTTTATACAACCTTTCCAGAATCCAGAAATCTGGTTTATCAAAATCATCACCAATCTTTAAATAACCTAAAAACCATCCTGATTTGCCATCAAGTTTATTTATCATCATAAAAGCTCTGCATGTGAGTTAAAAATTTAAAAAAGGCATTTTAAATATATTATTCCAGATACAGTTTATGATCATGCTCTTATAAGCACTGAATTATTAATGCACCATTTATAAATTAAAGAAAATTCTTTTATTGCAAGTTTTTTGTGCAAATTTCTAGAAATTATCCAAATGATAATTCTGCCAAAAAATTATAGTTATATTTTTATCATTATTGCTGCTGTGCAAAATCATAACCAACGTTTTTTTTGTGAACAATATTGCAGGACAAAAATGTTAAAAATAAACTTTTTACCGTCAAGCAATTTTTTTCAAGGAATATTGCTAAGTTCAAAAATTCGTCTAACAATGAAAATTACTGTTTTGACAAATACATACAGAACAAGACTAAAGATGAATAGGAAAACTCCACAAAATCAACTTATATGTGTGCATATGATTAAAAGTTATAATATACTTAAAGTAAATGTGTGGATGCTTTTAGATTTGCCATTTTTTAGGTTATTTAAAGATCGGTGATGATTTTGATAAGCCAGAATCCTTTCAGATTTTTGGAAGCATTTTCTAAAGATTTTGAAATAAATACTTGACAAGTATTTGAAAAATTTTAAAAATATAAAAAAAACCGATGTGAGGCATGGGAAGCTATTAAATTAGTATAATAAGTATACCAATTAACAGGTTTCTTAAGAAATTTAATAATTACTAAAAATTTATTTTTAATTTTAATAATTTTAAGATTAGTGCTATGCTTTTTAGCTTTGCTTTTATCTAAAAAAAAGATTTATAGATCGAGATAAGATATCTAGATTTGAGTGTGGATTTTAAATAGTTAAATAATTTAATTTTATTTGCCTATTCCAGCTTCAGCACAATATTATGCCAATTTCAATTTAATACGATTTTCCCATAGTAAATAAATGTGCTTTAAAAAAACACCAATAAATATTATGCGTTAAATGTCACCAAATTATATTTGGTAAAAATTCGATGCATTTTGCACACTGTCCTAGGGGCGCGGTTTCGCAAAGGTCCTACCCTAAGTTGGGCAAAGACACGCCCACAACATTGCCAATGTGCGAGAGCGCGGCGCCCAAAACGGCGATGGAATATAATGCACACGCACACACACCAACACAAACACCCAACGAGATCGAGAGAGCCAGGCAAATCCGTCTTTTCCCCACCTGCGTCGGTTTTTCGCAAACAAAACGCACGTTATTGAATTAAACAATTTGTGATTCAACCAAAAAGATTTATTTGATTTTAATTATAAAATAAAAAAATTCGAAAATAATAATTTTGAATGCTAAATAAATATTTGTGATCAATGGTAAAGTTGCATAATTTGTTTGAGTGATTATTTTCAATTAAACTGGGACAAAAAGTGGGACAAGTGGAAGTCTTTCGTCGGAGGCTTTTCAGTCGGTGATTTTTTTTTAAATAAAAAAAACAATATAAATTAAATCTGCACTTACGTGTCTTCTTCGACGTCTCCGTAAGCTTCGTTATTTTTCTCTTCATCTTGCATCTTTACAAAGTAAATCTTCATGGCTGTGGAGCACCCATTTGCGAAGGTGCCGGCGCTGTCGGTGCAGAAGAAGCGGCATCGGCTAGGGGGTTGTCAGCGGAGGCGCCGCGGCGACCTCGTGCGCTGGATCATCGCCACTGACTGTTTCTGTTTCGCGCCCTCCGCGGCTGCATGCATGTTGGACGCCCAGAGAGTCTGCTCGCTCCCCATTTCCCCTCGACCCCCGACCGCTGCAATTATTCGGTGCTCTCTCTCGTTCGTTCCTTCTCCGGCCAAGGACGGGCTTTGTGCAATCGGGGCCGATTTCCAGCCACGGGCTACGGCTTTCTGTCGAAACTCAAAATAATTCCTGTGAATCGCGCTCGGCAAGGCCACTTCAGCTCACACTGAAGTTGCAACAATATTTCCGCACGCGCTCAACAAAAAAATGCTATAAATGTATAAAAGAGCAAAAACTTGCAAAATTTAGATTTACATAATGGATTTGAAATTCTCATTTTATTATTCTATGTCATACATTCCTTTCAACCAGTTAAATAATAATACAATGTTTTTAAGAATACATCAAAATTTTTACACGAATTTTACAAGTAAAAAAAATGTAGTAGAATTTCACGATCGAGGGTTGATTCATGGTGATTTTAATTTTAAGTCGGCTTTACCTTGATGGGATTTGTGAGTTGTTTATTGTTCAAGAAAAACAATAAACCAAGAAAAAAATGGATTATGTATTTGAAAATGGAAAAAATGAAAGACAGTTTTACTCAAAAGGTGATTTGCGCGGTCAGCTGGTACTTAAATTGTTTCATAGAAAAAAGTAACAATTTTGTGAAATGAAATTCTAAATTTCTATGAAAAAATATATCACTATATATATCGAAATAGATACAAATAACTAATTTTTATATTGTATAATTTTTAATTCAATATCAGATTTGAATAAATATCCTATTATCAAGAAAGAAAATTTAAGTTTTCGATGGCACAATTTGAGAGAAATTATTTAAAATGCCTGAATCCTGCTGTCGCATCCTGGATTCCCAGACCTTACACTTACCGGTACATTGATATGGTTTCAGAGATTCGGCGGTCCCGTTGACCTACTTCGAGCTGGGAAATTCCGCCTGCGCTCATGGGAATCATCAAAATGTGAGTACACAAACACACCGTTTTGCAAAAGCAGCTCACTGTTAACAACCACCTTACGATGTTTATAACCACGAACTTAAAAGAAATAATCGCTTCTTAAGCAAAAATAAAAAGTGCAAAAAAAAAAACGAATAATGCGCATCATATTCATCCTCTATTAAGTTCAGGCTCGCCTATCTTTCAAGGAGAAAAAATTATTAGTGGTTCCTACGAGTTTTAGTTTTATAGAATTAATCAAGGAAAAAGCTACAGTACTTGCATGATTAAATCAAGTACACAATTTTTGTTAGAAATAAATTCAAAAATAACTTATATAGTTGGGGGACAAATAAGTGGCATAGGGAGGGGGTGTTTTAGGAGCGATATCGGGCACCCCCGGATTTCTCTTGCTCAGCTAGAGGCACTGGTGGATGTGCAAAGCGATTTATTTATTTTGATTATGCATGCAAAAGCAGGCGGTGGATATGGCATAGGAGCGCGGCGCGTCATTCATGAAACTGCACAGCCGACTGGTGAAGAGCAGAGGAGCTGTGGCGCGGCGGGCAGGGGAGGCGGAGGGTTGCTATCGATCGGTGCTCGGCAGCCACTCTTGAATGGAGGTCTTGCCCCCTCTGCATACTGGGCAGGATCCTGCATCGCTGACGTCTCCATTGACGTCATCGCCAGCCTTTTATCCGACACACGACTTTCGCCGCTTTTTTGCAGCACCGCCGCCGGGCCGCGGCTGCACCGACTTGGGTGCACCAACTAACCACCCCGGGCCCCAAATGAGCCGAGCACACAGATATATAACCCGCGGCACGAGCTAAAACTAAAATAAACATTGTCCAGTTTTAGTTGGAGGCTATTTTTAGCCCCTGCCTGAGTGAGAGAGAGAGAAAGAGAGCAAGGGAGGCGCGCCGTGAAGAGTGGATGAATGAAATGGGTTTGCTTTGCGTCTGTTCGCACCCCGTTTTTCTCGAGCGTCTCGCGGTGCCCCCCGCCCCCAATTTGCACCCCGATCGGCCGCTGCTAGGGTGCCGGGCGTTTATTTTGTGGGGCCGGGGAGCAAAGGCGTTCGGAACGGCGCCTCTAGGCCAAACAAGATCGATTGTTCCAACAGTGACGTCATAGGGTTGATCAAATGACGTCACAACTCGATGGGCCATGCATTTTAACGCGAGCTTCAGAACTTGGAGAGCGACCCTTCATAGATTGGAATTCTTTACATAGTTTTTCCCGTTCTCGCGCTGTTGCTGCTGCTGCTCGAGTGCTGCGATTGTTTGTTTTGTTAATGGGGAAGTGCCAAGGGGAAAGTTTCCCAAGCATCAAATAGAAATACCTAGCTAAAAGGAAAGTTCAGACCAAAATGTTAAATGCAAATATACGTACTTGATGATGCGTGGATTTTATAAAATTGAAAGCGAAGGAAGGAAAGATATTATAATTAGATTTTCTATTAATGAGCAATCTATTTTAACAATGATTTTTGCGGATTTTGTTAATCCTAAATAACTCAACAATCGAATGGGAATTCCAAGTTGTTAGTATAGATCATAAAATTTAAGTAACTAATATTTTATTTCACTAGCTCTGCGCGAGTATAATAATTAGTCGCAATGCCAGAAATTTTGATGTGTGTAATAATGCGATATAAAAAGGTCATAATAATGATAAAACAATATATTGAATTTTATTTTCTATAACTTATAAAAATTACGGGACCTTTAATAGATAGTTATTTATGCTATGCAGCACAAGCTACAGTAGTGTCGTGCAGGTTGCATACTTGAAATAAATAAGGGGCTTATTATAATCCAATTATATCCACTCCCACTTACGACTTTTTTGGTGATATTTTAGAGTAGAAACAGATTAGAAATATAAAATATATTGATTTTCAGCCTAACTGCCCGAGCCAATTAATTATCCATCATTCAGTCACATCGTAAAATTTGCATTAATTAAATTTTAATATACATGATGGAATTTCTTTGTGTATGTTATGTTCGATAAATGTCAATTTTGTTACGTATAAATGAAACGCCTGATAAATTTATGTTTTTCATACACATTTATTGATTTATTTTCAAATATAATTTAAGACAAAGCTGCACAAGTCATTAAAAAAAATCACCTATGACTACGAAATAATGACATGTATTTTTATGTAACATCAAACAGAAATGCTGACAAAAGTAATCAAGGGTTACAAAATTGTTCTCTCAATGCAAAATGAAATATTATATATTTGTCCTTTTGAGAAAAACATCAACGCATAATAAATATTTTTTTTATCTTCAGTGATTTTGATATACACGATTTTTTATGTATATATTTTAAAATTCTCTTAGCCCAAAATAGTCCTATGGCAAAAAAATGACAGGTTCATCCGCCAATCTGAACAAAAAGTGATAGCGGCCTGTGTGCTCACAACCTGTGTGACCAACGCCTACACCTCTTTAAATATATGCAGGTTAATATAATAATTATTTTCTTATATCCACCCATCAATTTTCATTTTTAAGTTTTTTAAAATTTCATCATGTTTTATACAGACAACATTCAATTCTTAAGAAACTATACTTCAATAAGTAAATTATCCTTGTATCTACGTTGAATCTCTTCTTGTATTCTTTTGAGCAAACCAAATGCTAAGATTATACATAGCAGAGAAAATTATTCAGATTTATTGACCTGAGGAACAAAAAAACCTTTGTGTTGCATTTTTGTAACGTTTTGTCGCTGAAACTGCAATCATTCATTTTCCGCGTTAAATACATGCGAGCTCTGATGCGTGAAATCATTCATAAGAGTGTTTGCCGAAGTAAGTGTACTTTTTTATGGAAGGGAGAACAAGAGAATTAGAGGCTCGTTCAAAAATAAGCTTCATGAATGCTGATGTTTAGGAGTTATGAATTTTAAAGGTTTTCCAAAACTTAGTATGTGTATCGTTTTGATTTATTTCACGATTTATTATCAAACGGAAGAAATCACATTTTTACGCTTCAAATATCAATTTGGTAACAAAAATTGTATGGTTATTGATTGTATTTATCATTTTAATCATAATATATGTTTAATCAAAGTTTTACAAACGTCTATTTTGGTTGAAATATCTGCACTTAATTGAATTTATTTTGCTTTTAAATCACCAGTTTCATTCTAAATTTTGAAAAGCCTTTAATATGTGTTAGTGATTGAGGGATAAAATATAGCGAGATACGCTATGATAATTTTGTACTGTATCAATTTCAATGGTAACTGAAATTGGTCTCATATGATTTTGGCAATCAACTGAAATATGTGTTTACAAGTTTATGTGTTGCGTCTCATACATTTGTGTTCGTGTGCGTGTGTAGGACATAATATTGTATAGCCCACAGCCCATCAATCGTTACTTGTAGTTAATATTCTTGAATCAAATGAGCAAATGCATCAACCACGTAATTGGATATACTTATCATTGAGTGTGAGGGTGTGATGTGATTTGGAATTCCGAAATTTGAGTTAAATAAAATAATAAAGATCAAACGATTTTTGTCAAGTGATGGAAGAAAAATCTAACAAAAATGATCGCGACTGCAGTTCGGTTAGATTTACGGAACGCGAATTATCAATGGGCAGTTCCTCAGCAGCGTATTTTTTTCTTACATTTCTAAAACAGCCTCATCAGAAAATAAATAGATCTGTGTTTTTTTCCAAACACACCCCCTTGGATTATCAGCACACACTCTCGAACTCGCCGCAGTGAGGAAATTCGTCGCTCCCACAAGTCTAACCGTCCTCATTGTTTTTACATAAATTACCCCGCAAACATAGTTTTAAAAATTTGAGTTTGTTTACAACATTTTTACCCACAAAACGGTTCGTTTTAGAGTCGGTCGGTGGCTTTTTACGATCTACCTCTAAACCATTCACCAAAGAATAGCATTATTATCGTCTTAGCGCTATGGCACTTGTTGACAAAACGCACTTTTTCATATTTTGTGTCGCTTGAGCTGCTCGTTCGTATTTTCGTTTTCTTTGGATGAGATTTTATTGCCCCTCCTCAGGTGTTGTCAACAGGTGCGATATCACCGTTACTTAAAGTTATTATGCAACACAGATAAGGGGGCAGAGCGAGGAGCCCCTTGTAGTCCGGCAAGGGGCTTCGATCTGCGCACATATTTCAATACAATTCATCGTGTGTGTCTGTTTATGTTTGTTCGTGTGGTGGTTTTTTGTTTGTTTGTGCACCAGTGGAGACAATTGTTGATTCACTAGAGATGCACACTTGACTGCGGGTGGGAGGAATAAAATTAAAGTTATACATGAGATCATTAGTTGCACTGGTTTTCATCCAACTAGAGTGGTTTTCAATTGATATAACTAGCCGTGGCCTTGCTCGTTTTTATACAGCTTAAAAGTTTTACAAAGTCGCGGGTGACTAGAAAATGTACTGGCGGTGGTGATTCGTGATAATTTCCAAGTCATAGCAGCCATCAAACTTTCCCTGTACATTTTCCATTACATCTCTGGCAAAACATTGTAAATATTCAAAACAAACAAAATGCAAAATCCGTTTCAAATAATGTGTTATAAATTGTGCTCCAACGAGGTTTGGCTCGTTGAATAGCATTTAACATAAAAAAGTTGGCGAATCTGTTATTAAAATAATAATAATCTCAGTTGTGAAAGTAATTAACCAAGAAAACTTTGTAAATATACAAACTCGGGTAATTTCTTAGAAGTTAAGCACAAATCAAAATCATGTTTCTGTATATTGATTCAGGCATCTCATTGGTGTCTGAACTGAATTAGAAATCAATTGAAAAAATCCGCGAGCTTTCCTAAAGTTTATTTGGCTTGAATTAATTTTGTTTTGAACTGTTCAAATGTAAATTAAATATTTTTTTGTTAGGGGGATTGTATATGTTAGTGTGTTTTTTGTGTGTTCACGTGTGAGCCATTCATTCAGGTAAGCCCTTACTTAATATAGTTAAATAACTGTTTTGCTCTCTTTTTAAATATATATGTATACAATACCAGTCTCAGTGCCTGCACTCACAGTACAAGAAAATTCATATTTTTAAATCAACCTCGCTCTCGCGCGCGTGTCTCGTCACCTTCTTCGAGCCGGATTAGCAGCTGATTTCATTATCCTTAAGCAGCCTTCTCGGTTTGGGGGTGGTTTGCACCGAGTAAGGTTTCCGGTGCTCGGGGGTGACCTGCAGCTGCTCGGAGCTGCTGCCGCCGCTGTTGGGGGACACGTTGGCGTACTGGATGGGCGGCGGTAATACTATGTGGCTGTGCGTCCGCGACAGCGTCGACGGGTCCAGCGACAGGGAACCCTGCAGAGGCAGTTTGGACTTGACGTACAGGTCCATGGCGGCCTCGTGCATCGAGCCGCACGACGACAGGTTGTTGTTCTGCGCGTTGTCCAGGCTGTCCAGACTGCTGGACATGGACGGGATTCCGACGGGCACCTCGGCGTCCGACGAGGGCGGCGGCGGCGCCGCCGAAAGGGGCGGCAGCTCATTGTGGATGTGGTGCCGCGACGACAGCAGGCTGCGGTTGCTTGACTTGATGGCCTCCTCGTAGTCCATCTCGCCCTCGTCCTCGCTGTAGTTTGTCGCGTCCCGCGAAAAGCTCGTCTCGAAGCTGTTGCTGTTTGTGAGGCCATAGGCGCCTGATCCTGCGGCAAAACCACGCCAGTCAGCAACTGTTTTTTCCCCAAAATTATCCTCCAAAATAATTAGAAATATAAATCAAATTATACAAATAATATTTAATTAAATGTTTTTATTTTTACATTTTAAAGTAAGATTTTACTTAAAATTATTAAAAATAAAAGAGAAACTTACACTTATCAAATGCATGCATTTTAATACAATTTTACAAAAGATAAAGATTTTTAAATTACAATATCATTTTGTAAACGATCAAATTCTTTGGCACCTTAAATAAAACGTACACTATACACTTTTAAAGATCATTGTGAATTCTAGTCACTTGTAGACGGTTTCTATTTCCTGCAAATTTTTCATCATTTCAAACTAAAAAAAACAAATCCCCCTTTTTAATCTCACTCAGGCTCATGTACTCACCAAGTAAGTGCTCGGCACTGCCTCCAGAGGGAGATGCGTGCATCTCAACAGAGTCCGATGGCAACAAGAATTCACCGCCAGGTCCTTTCTGGAGGTGAAGTAATGTGGCGTCATGCGCAGGTGGTCGCATCACCGTCGTGTCCCTTTCGGTGGACGGTGGTCTGTGGAACACGGGCAGTGGCGCATTCACCACGTCTGGGTCCTGAAGATGAAATAGAGATAAAAATAATTAATCAAGTAAATTGTAGCCGTACCTGTATGCAATAACCAATCCTTTCAAGGATTGTTGAGAAATTAGGCCTGTCGTCAGGAATGGGGTGCCAGCACTGGGTCATCAGACCATAAACAGGGGCTGGGCACCCGTTGGGTGGCTCGAGACGTCCACCATCAGTCACTAGCTGCATGACCTCCTGGTTTCCTCGGCCTGTGTATGGCATGTATCCGAGGGACATCACTTCCCACAGCAGCACCCCAAAAGACCTGGATTTTAAATTAGAACGTCGATTTAAAACATTTCACAGTTAATTAAATTTCTCACCAAACGTCTGTTTTCGAGGTGAAAATACCATCGAGGAATGCTTCCGGAGGCATCCACTTCACAGGCAGCATCGCCTTGCCGCCTTTTCTATAGTAATCAGCCCTGAAAGATAAAAATAAATTAATTTCCATTTTTGAGAAAATATTTTTTCTTATTTATTTGCCTGTAAATATCACGCGCCATGCCGAAATCTGCAATTTTCACAACACGACCAGGGCCTTTGGAAGTCAGCAAGCAATTCCGGGAAGCAATGTCTCGGTGGATAAAGTGGTTGTCCTCCATGTACTTGCAACCTTTTGCTACGTCAATCGCGCACATTAAAAGGTCTTTCATGGTTAGTATGCTGGGGCGTTCCTAAAGACGAGACGAAGCCAATTAGAAATCTGTTTCCTAATTGAATTTTCATCATTACCGGTTTGGGTCGCGACTCCCGCAGGAAATTTTTTAGGTCGCCGCCCGCCAGCAGTTCGAGAATGATGAAACGAGGGTGGCTGTCGAAGCAGACGCCGATGAAATGCACGATATTGGGGTGATTGAATTTGCTCATGATCAAAGCCTCCATCAGGAAATCCATTTCCGATTGACTTGTTGACAGCTCCGGCAGAGTCTGTGTGCAAAATATCAGAGTTATTATATACGAGAGCTGTGAGGCAAATAAAGCTGCACTCACTTTCACGGCCACAGGCATTTCCACTGCGTCGTTGGCTCTGGTTTTGTAGAAGCCTTTGTACACCTCGCCAAAAGCTCCCTGACCGAGAGGCCTTTGGATCGAAAAGCATACATTTATTATTGATAAAAACAAAATATTGGTTGACCCAAAGCGTATTGTCAGGCCAGCCAGAGAAATAAAATCAATACTGGGAATTTATAAAAATTTTCATTGCATTGCAAAAAAGAATTTTTTTTCTCTTTTTCTTTCTTTATATTGAATGTTAATTAAAATTGTTTTTAAATTTTTGATAATTTTATTTGAAAAGATAATAAATTTGAATTTCACTCACGTGACCAGTCGCAGATGTTCCCGAGGGATTTCCTTGAGATCCTGGATGGTGTAGGTGCCGCCACCAAACTCGTAATTCGGGTTGTACTCGGTCATCATGCCGCCCGAGGCTGCCCTAAGCCGGTTTAATTGGAAGTCTGGTCCGCTGAGCAATTTCCTCCTTCTCATGGCGGTCTTTTTCTTCTGGTACCGTGCATCTGCCGCCGTGCAAAATCAATTAACCGGCGTTCCTCTGACAAACTAATTGCTCTCAACTTACACATGATCATGCAGCCTACACCAACGAACAGCAATATCCCGCAGGCCACGACGAGAAAAGTTGCCAAGTAGCTTGTTGAAAGATAGCTCTGAGCTTCGTTCATAGCTTCTCAATGGAAAAAGAAAGAATTACCTATTGACGATAATGGCTATAAAAAATTTTGCTCCTTACGAAAGCAAGAAAAGCTGTCGTTGCCCAAGAACCAGTTTGAGGGGCAGAGACATTTCGTCTCGTGGCGAAACTCGTCCATGGCAACGCATCTGTAGTCGCAGTGGCACGCGTTGGACAGGGAAGGAATTATGATGACAGACCCGTCGCCATCTGAAGTCGTAATTCCAGCCCTGGCCAGGAGCAAACCCTGACGAACCATCGAGCTGCCGCCCCTTCCACTGCGACGTCTATCAGACCAAGTATCTCCGCCTGTAAATATTTAATTAAATATTTAAAATTTTGCTCACTGAAGTTTTATATGTATGTATTTTGCGTGTTATTTCTTAACGAATTATTAGACAATTTTTGTTAAATAAATTTCGTTAATCGTCATGTGACAAAATGCAACAGTCAGGAATTTATTTTAATTTTTTATTCACATCAGGCTTTATGCAATCAAATCGAATTTTCCAGGAAAATTATAAATTATTTTTACATCACGATAAAAAAATTAAATTAAATTTTAAGTCCATGAAATTTATATTGAAAGTGGGTAAATCTCATACAAAAATGCAAATTATTTAAATTAAATTTAGATTCAATATTAAATTTACCTGCGAATCCACCTCCACCGCCTCCAGCAGTGCATCCGCCTCCGCCGCCACCAAATCCTCCGGCGCCAACAGGCATTGTACTCGAGCAAGGGTCGCCTCCAAAGGCACCGTCCAAGAAAGCAGCGCCCCTGACCACAGAGTGGCTGTCAGAATGACTTTGCCACCCGCCTCCAGCTCCTGTTTGATTATTTTATTTTAGTAATAATGCAAATTTTTCCAAATATAATCACTAACCCGCAGGATGCAATCCATACTCCATGCCGCTCGAGTTACCCATAGAAAGGTTAAAACCCTGACCATGCTGCAGCTGGGCGGTCATCAGGTCTTGACCGTGGCTAATGCCACCTCCGCCCCCGGCCACAATGAGAGGCATTTTCTGCCTGTTCTTCCGGCCAATCTGATTATTTATTTTGATTTATTTTCCAAAACTTTTTAATTAAGGAAAATTAGGTTACTGTAAAAATATATGTAGCTCCTCCGCCTCCTCCACCACCCCCAATGACGGTCATATTTCTGACTTCTCTCACCGCATCTCTTGCTATCCCTGTGGTTTTTGATGGGAGCCGTGGTGGGGCACAACTTCCACCGTGTGCGGGACGGCCCTAATTTTAAATTTTTAAATGAAGGATTAACGAATTTATAAATTTTCTCACATCTTTGCAAGTTGCTCTGCTTCCTTGCTGGCCCACTAAAATGTACAAAGGTTCTCCCTTTCGAAGCTCAACAACGGCCCGAACGACAGCACCCCTGCTGATCCCTTGGCCTGAGCTTCCACGTCCTCCACTTGCTCCTTTGGCAATTATTCTAAAATTTTTTCCCAAAATCAAAATTAAAACTCAATTCCATTTCAAAGCGGGTTTACGTGTAAAATCCCTCGTGAGGTGCAATCCACTTCTGCACTCCTGATAGGGGAGGTTCTGTGAGCACCGTGATGTTGGTGCTTGAGCCATTATAGGCGAGTGTACATTGCTCGGGAGAAGGGCCTAAGCGGCCTGAACTGCCACATGAACCAAAATGATAGTCTGGAAAATTTTTAATTTAATTTTTTAAAATTTCGCGATTTTTCTGAGACTTACAAGTTTGGTTTGAAAAGTCTTCATGCTCAGTTGTAGGTTGTGTTGGTTCTGGAAAAAAATAACAAATTTCCTGAATAAATGATGAAAATCAGAAATAATCTTGGTTCAGAATCAAATAATTTATTATTTCTTTTTACTTTCAGGCGCATATAGTTTCTTATTTTGCTCAAATTTATCTTTCGACTGGCCGGCCAAGTTAATGAAGAAAAACAGAGTGTATAAATGTCGCTGCCGATTGTACAAAACCAGCGGTCTGGTGTGGCTTATTTTATCGCCGCGGCACACAGCCTAATTATATTTTTGTTCGGCACGGATTCGCCGCTCCGTCGAGTGGTGCCAAAATCTGAGAATATTATAAAATGAAACAAACGCGCGAAAAAAAGAGAGGCCTCGCGATGTGTGTTCCTTGACAATGAATTTGCTCTTTGCGTCATTAAGTGCGCACAAACAGCAGGTTAGGCCGGCCGGCCGGCGCGTGTTCTCTCTCCGCCGACTTATTAAACGCGCGCCGTCATGAGACGAGTGTAAATTTATTTATAGATTCGCCGCGCGCGCGGCCCGGTTAACAGAGAATGGAAGAGACGCTGTCGCGCGCACATGCTTTGTACTGTGCTACTTTTTTGGCCACGCGCTTCAATTGGTGTGATTTAATAGCGCCAGATTTATCGCGTGCGCCGCGAGCCTCCGTCGGCTATAATGCTTCATTTTCGGACGACTCGGATTTCTTCTTTCTGATGCTCAATTCGTAACAGTCCGTTCTCGAGCAGGCCAGCTTAAATCTTTTCCGAGGCAATTAAGCTCATTGCTTTTTGTTGCTTGCAAATTCCAGCGGCGAAAGTTAATTTGTCTACTCACCCAAGTAGTTTTCATCCCAATAATTGTAGTTTTCTGTCTCGTTTGGCGGAACACCTGTTTTGAAAAATAATATTTTTTACTAAAAGAATGCATAATTTTAATTGCTTTTTAAAAGCTAAAATATTACAGAATATTATACAAATATTATGGATTAAAAGAACTTAAACTATCCAAACTATTTATTTTATCAGTTCCAAGTTCCAAATTAAAAAATAAATGACCAAGATAATTGTGGAAGTTTTTACATTGATTATAATTGTACTCACCTAGACCGAAGCATTCTGGGCTCATTGAAATGTCGTCAATGGCAATATCACCTTTTGAAGAGTAGCCCCTCCTCGCTTCAAACTGAATCGCATATCTGAAATTATAATATTTTATGCGGGATTTTGTTTTTGAGCCTTTGAGGATTCCAATTTTAGTGTGTGTGTTTGTACTGTGATACATTTAGTTGCATTTATTTGATTAGTTTGGTATTGCGTGTGTGATTTTGGCCGCACACGTGTGATTTTCTCACCTTTTCTCCACGTTGAGGCTGAGGTTGTAGATGGCCCGCACCCACTTGTCGCCGCGGTCTCCGTACGAATACCATCTTGCTTCGTGGATTCTTTGGCCACTTTGCACGTCAACCAAAAACAAGGCTAATGCGCCACTGTGCGGACCGTACATGTGGAAGTGGAATCGGATCTGCAATTTGCAGGGGTGGTGCTCATTGCATGGGTTATTCAAACTAGACTAGCACAGCAAGCATTACATAATTATTAAAATATTTTCATCCAAATTTAAGCCTCCATTTTAATGAAATCTTATTTTAGTTTGATTGACATTGAACTCTGAGAAAAAGTTTTATTTGATATGATTTGATACTTCTTCCTGTTAATTACTGATTAAATAACGACTATTTTGGGAATTATATTTAAGAATAGAAGAATTTAATGTATAAGAAGGGTTTAAAGTATCCAATAAATGAAAGACGATGAACATGTGGACACAACAGGTGCAAATATCTATCTAAGCTAATCTGGCTCGAGTGCCTTCGCTTGCAAGAAGTGTATTTCGTGTGATCGCGTCCGCGACTGAAAGCGGCCAGATCAAAAGAGCAGCTCACCTGACACGAGTTGAAGTACGGAGAGTGAATGTTGGAGTGGTACTTGGGCGGTGCGCGGAAAACGTCGCTCTCCAGGATGGCTGTTGCGCCCAGGTGCTTTACCTTGGACATGTCCACGAAAAGGTAGTTTCCTGTAATCAAAATTTTGAAAGATCGTCAGTTATTAAGAAATTGATTCGAAATTATTCCAAGATTACCTGACGAGTTGTTGTACGTGTGGTCGACACTTGGCCCAGTCAAATTGGTCGGCGTTTTGCCGCTGTGTCTGGTCCAGTTGAGCTCTTTGTTGCCCACGTTCCGCCATCCGCACAAGCCGCTTTCAAAGTTGCAACGGCTGTTTACAGGTAACTTGTCTGGAACAAAAGATTTTCAATTAAAAAAAAAAAAAAAATGATAATACAAAATTAGCAGTAAAAATGATAAAAAATATAAATAAAATTTCAATGTTTTTCAATTAGAGTCAAATTCTCACCACATTCAAATTCTTCGTCCTCGCCCTCCAAGCAGTCCTTGACAAGGTCACAGATGCGGCTTCGATCAATGCACGCCTCATTGGAGCATCTGAACTCCATCCCCGTGCACTCTTTTCGCTCGCCAAATGCTGAAAAAATAAATTGTATTATTTTAGCTAAATAAAATTTTGCTGAATATCACTTACTTCTAAAACAATCCACAAACTTCAGGTTGTCGATTGCAAAGTATGCGGGTGTCTTCTTGCCTGGCGTCACTTCGATAAGAACGTGAAATTCCTGGCTGATGCGGCCAAGGTTGATACTAAAATGCTTCCACCTACAACCCAAATTTTCAAAATTTAATTCCGCACACACTAAGTATTTTAATTTTCTATTAATGAAACCAAATTATAATTATATCTTTTTTTTAATTAAGCAGAAAGGTAGGCGATTTGGAATTTATTTGAACTCACAAGTTCAAATCGTCGCACTGCTTTTCGGAAACGACCCATGAAGTGCGGTTGACCGTCTCGACCACGACTTTGAGGTTGCCGCCCAACATTCGAGCCATCGAGGCGTCGAACTCGAGTTTGCACTGGTCGCCTGATCCAAAGAACTTTGGACTCATGAGGTGCACTTCTCGTTGGCTTGCAGGATGCGCTTCCGTTATCAGCACGAACAGGAAGTGCCCTGGAACACAATCACACAACAATTATTATTTTTCAAATCTGCCATTAAAGAACTGGGCCGTTTTTTTTATTTTTCCATTTCCGTTTTGAAAAATTTTATCTTAAAATGTACGTCAGCAGGTACAAAAACGTGTGCTTGATTCTCGTCTCATTGTTAGCGATAATTACAAGCTTTCAACTTAAAAACAGGGGCATGGAAAATAAATTTTAAATCATAATTTTTATCCAGACTAGTATTTATGCTTGGATTTTTCGCAGTTGATAAGCTAGTCCCGCAACCAAATATTGGCAATTTTTTTTTTCAAATAATTTTTGCAGAGTTTTAGTAATTTGCTTGACAGTTTTCTCCACATTATTAAAAACTGCTTATCTACTTTTTAAACCTTTCGATAAAAGAAAAAAGAAACATTGATTTAAGAGCCTTAATCGAAAGGAGAAAGGATAAGCGGCCTACTACCTGCTGCACTTTTGTGCTACGCAGGTTGCCTATCTTTATCAAATAATTCATGCCACAACTTCATTTATTAATGAGATGAATAATTAATTTTTCAAATAGTTCTACCAAAAATTGAAATTTTTAATTTTTCACTGTCATTTTGCACGAAAATATTCTTTTTAAAAATTGCAATAAATAATGAAGTATATTTTTTTTTTATTATTAAATAATGAAAAAAATTATTTTTGGTTTTTTTATATTTAAAGTTTTAACTCGCTTTTGCGAGTAAAAACGGTCGCGTCCATCGCACGTTTGACTCCATGCACCTGATAAAATGGAAGCTGTGTGCGTTCGCCGGTTGCGCGAACTCTGGCATTTCTCTTGAATTTCATTCGTGGATAAAGAATTTTGCAGCTAACGCGTCTGATTTTTTTGTCTAGCCAATTTTTATGAATTTAAATAATCCCAGATTCGATTGCTACGCATTTTTTTGTACTCAAGGTCGAATTAGATAATAATGGCCACTTGTAGCAAGGGTAAGAGATACGGGGGCGCAATAGTGCCGAGGAGAGCGTGGGATGCGGGAAGAGGGTGCGCTCGCCGGGATCAATATCTCTGGGTCGCGACGGGCGGGTAAGCGCCATGCACGCACCGCTCGGGCAATATGTTTGTGCCGAATTACAACAAAGAAAGAATGGGCTTAATGGCAAAATACTCGCCACCGATGGAGCGACGCAGACGAGATGAGAAAGCACAATGGTCCAATTTAAGAATTACAAAATGAGGGACACGCGAATTTGCGATCAAAGAGGATCGTTTCGTGATCCCCGAAAGACGATGGACTCTTCTAGCCGCGAAATTTCTTAAATTAATTTGTTCTCAGCAAAAAAATCTTTCAAATCCTTCCGGTTGCGTGTGTATGAAAAACGATCTTCCTTGCTGGCTCCCCCGCTCGGCCAACCCGGGCCGAAAATAAATTTTTATCAAAGAGCGCGCAGGTCAAGCCGTCGTCGTCCTAAATTCATCTATAATTGCAAACGTGCGTCCAGCAGAGATAAAATATTGGCGTGACATCTTTCTCATGACGCACTCTGCACCGAGATTTGTGTGCCAGTCGGACAGAATTACGCCAAGGCCAAAGCGGGCGAGCTACGCGGCCAGCACCACTTTCCTCCGGCGAGGTGTGACCTGGCATGTCGTGAATATGTCAAAGGTCATTCGAAAGGTGCCAGGTCGCGAAGGGATGCGAAAATGGATGCCATTCAAATGGCTTTTCCTCATTACGGGTGGAAAAAGCGGCTGCGCAAAAAGCAAAAAGTGACGGAATTCAAGTGAAAAACGTTTATAAAATGGTTTATTTAATTTTGAAAAACTATTAATTCGGGATTAAATTGTATTATCTGCAAAAGTGCATGAATTTAAAGAAGTAAAAATAAAATAAATGATCACTCACCTTCGGAACTGTTGGCGGAATCTTTGAGGGGCCCCGTGAAGTTGCCCACGGGCGCGCTGAGGAGCGAGTTGTTGACCAGCTTGCCCGAGACGACGTTGAATCCTGGCGGGGTGGTGTTGTTCTTCCACTGCCACGAACAGGATCGCTCGAAGTCGCACGAGGTACCTGAGTTGGAGGAAGGTTGAGCCTGCGGCGCCGTCCTGAGGGCGACGCTGCCGGCCGCGTTGCGGTGCTGCGGCCCGCCGACGGCGGCCAGCGAGGCCCCGGCCGCCGCCAACAGAATCGCCAGCACCGACGTCAACTGGTATCGGCGCATTTTCGGTCGCCTAGCTGAGGTTCGGCCCGGGTAGAGGAGTCGCGGCACGCACCGCTGGCCACGCACCGGACGCCCAAGTCGGCGCCATCGAACGCGAGAGACGAGTTTGGCGCCGCCGCCGCGGCTCGCGGACCGTTCTGAGCGACTTTTCGGCGAGTCGGGGCCGCGTTCGGCCTGTCAAAATGCCAACTTGCTACACACACTCCAGCTCTATCGCTCTTACACACGACCGAGCAGAGAGCAGAGCACAGAGATGCAGCACTAGAGAGGTCTGGCGGGAGGCTGCAGAACTTGCCCGTGCGCCGTTCTACGCGTTCGCTCTGCTTTACGGGCCCGATTCATGCGACGCTCTTTCCTCGTATGACACACACCGCCCTCCCGCCCCGACCCAACCGACTCCGTGCCCCCGCAATCCACTCCCCCTCACCAATTTCCAAAATTTTTAGATCACGAAGTAATTATTTCTAAATTAGTCTTTTGCGTATATTACAAGAGAGACATATTTAAATTTATGTTTTTAAATTTATTTTTAAATTTTAATAAAATTTAAATGCGCAAATTTCGTTTATTGTATAATCAGTGATTTTTGTTTTTCGTCTAAACTATTGTGTAGATTGCAATAATTTCCCTTTTTCTATTATTAGCCTCAATTAAATCGATCAACGCACGCATCGCAATTTGGTCGCTGGCAAAGGTGCGCCCGCTGAATTTCTGCAGGGGCGAAAAATTGAATGATCAAAAGACGTGGGTGGAGGCTGAGAGTATTGATTTGAGCGGCTCCAGAGCGTAGATGCTGCGCGCCACCGCGAGCACCGAGTTTCGGTCGCGGCTCGGAGTGGCGCTCCAGCTCAGTGGGCGCCAATCGTCACCCCAGACGAGCACCAGATGCCACCAACATCCACATGCAACCCCGGTCGCGTAATTGAGATCATTTGGCATGCACCTCACGTTGAGGAAAATTGATTAATCAATTCTGGATACCTTTTCATTTGAAAAAAGCGTATTTTTCTTTTCTCCGACTTTCTGAGCAAATAATTCTTGGTCCGTGAAGTTACTCTTATGAATGACAAATATTCAGCTTGATTTTATTTCTCTCTTCGTGATTGCATTTTCGTTTCAATCTGGAAACTTTATTAAACTTTGAATCTAATCGAATTTATTATTAAGTCAGGATTAGATTTTATAAAAAAATGATTCTATCATTAGTTTACAGAACGGGAAAATTGGAAAGGGTAAATGGTATCCAATATTTTAGCAAGAATAATAAGAATTTATGATTTTACTAAAATTGGTTGATATTATGGAAGAATTGCTTTCATTAGTATCACATGGTATTAATTTAATAAAAGGTATTCCGCGATGGATTAGTATTTATTGTTTTATGGAAAAACAATGACCAGCTGTGATTTTACCCTTCGGGCCGCAGGGACAATTAAGCTTCAGTTTTTTTAAACAATGAAAACCAAAATCGCAAAAGAAAATTTATGAGGAAAAGCTTGCTGAAAACTCAGTATATTAACGTGCGCGCCCACATCATCTATGATCACGTGCTGCGAGGCGGCAACACACCCGCCTCCAGCCCCGGCCCAAGTTGGTGATTTCATATTTTCATTCTGCTTGATCAAGGCCTGGAACAACATGCCACTGACCCTCCAATACTGCCTTGCCAAAAAATTTCCTCCATCTCCGCAAGCAGCAATTTTAGTGTTGTGATTTTTTTTTTGCGGCGGTCATATTTTATTTGATGCCAGAATTTTTAGCTGCTAATTGTGACATTTTTGCTTCTCTTTTCTCAATTTTATAATAAAATGTAGGATATCAGTTAAAAATTTTTATTTTATTGCAGAAATAGAGAAAAAATTATATAATGATAATTTTTTCGTTATATCATATTATTATGCTCAGATTGAGACCAATTGCATTTTTCTTCCTCTCTCCATTGCAAAGCATTAAATCTCCATAAATTCAAAATATTTTGCATGTTTTAGACAGCGCGGGAGGGGGTTTGTTTTTTGCCGTCACGATTAATTATGATTTATTCGTTAAAGCGTATTCCAGTCCATTATGCATTTCTTGCCTGCTAAACTTTGTAAACATATCAACCAAATGTCGGGACACAATTAGATTGTACTGCTCCAAATGAAAACGTGACCGGAATGTCAAGGTCTGCTGGAGCCAAAATTAAATTTAATCAAGCTCTCCAGCACAAAGCTTGGCTCAACCAGCCCGTAAAACCGTAAATTTTCCATGCAGACGGAAAAGTGCCGTCGGTATAACGCAAACAATAATAAAAACACATGCGCTGAATGTGTTTTTTTACTCTTGCTCTCATAATCTGCGCGTGGACGTACGGTCGCTGCTTTTGCTGTTGGCTAATATTCCTATTCTCGCCACGGGAAAGACGCGCGGAATTATGTTAGGCTGATGAGAAATTGTTACGAAGCGCACTCATTATCCCGCTTTGCCGGGCACGTCCCCGCTTGGTTGCTTCACGTTCCATTTGTAAGTATTAAACCCGCGTGGGAAGGGCTAACAAATGCACAAATGGTCTGATATATTAATTAAACAGAAGAGTTGTTATGATAAAAGAGAGAACGGACAATGTTATTAAAATTTTTCCTTAAAATTTAAATATTAATCGCGAGTAAAAAATTACATAAAAAAATTCTCTCAGAGAGGAGTTTGTTTGGCTGTTTGATCGTTGATAAAAATCAAAAAAATGATGCCGCAGTGAATAATGAGGAAAGAGTCCGTTTAGACTTTTGAAAGTTTAACTGATTAGCTAAAGTCCCTTGAGCTTCATGCGCAAGGAAAGTTAAATTTTCCATTTACATTGAGGAAAAAGGAAAAATTTTATATTTAACATGCCATATCATCGGCAAACTTAAACATTACTGATGTGTTTTTGGCTTGGCATTCATATTGTGGGATGAAACAGGATGAAATTGTAAAACTAATGTAACTCATGGAGATTTAAAGAGAATTCACGTTTTTTGCAATGTTTTCATGTTGTTTAAATTTGTCGCAAGCAAGCATTTAAAATTATTACTAAATTAATATAATATATTTTCTGTGAGTAGAGCAAGCAAATGTTTGTTTCTAATAAAATAATTTAAAAACTAAATCTGTTACATCATTCACCAGTGTGGCGAGGCTGGAGATAAAAAAAACTCATGCTTGCTACCTCCTCACGCGAGCCAATTTTTGTCAGCAAACCTTGCAAACAAATCAATGTTATTTTTTTATGCAAATTGTTCTGACTTGCATTTTATAAATATACAAAAAATTCATCGAACCAAAGTTCAAAAGTCGGGCTTAATCCGCATTATTAATTTTTGTAATACCTTTTAACAACACAAACGCATTATTCATCTCTGCTCTTTGGAGAATTTTTGTCACGTTTAAAAAAATGACATAAATAGCAGCTAAAAGACTTTCTACTCAATTTTTCATCGTCAGAAGGGAGAGAAATTTCTGTCGTTGCCTTGAATAAATTTTGCTCATTTCTCCAGTAAGCATAATTGGATTCTCTCTCGCCTGCCGTCGCTGGCAAACTGGCAAAAACAGGAGTGTTTCGTATTTTCCTCTCTAACTCGGTTGCAAGGCGTGAGGCGTCATTTCGTCTGAAGCCAATTTCCGACTCTCTGCAAGCTCGAACCTCAGCTTGTCAAATTAAAAAAGGGCATACTCACTGCAAGGAGGTCTTCCCTCGCACTCGGGCAATTGCCGGAACCTGCAAATAACGAAATCGTCGCAATCGTTGCAGAGAGGCGAGCCATAAAACGCAGCTTCTTCCTTCCCACTTAGGGTGCATCGCTCTGAAATATATATTTTGTGAGCTGTGTTAGCAGCAGTATTTTTTTTCTTATATAGAAAAGTTTATTTTCAAATTGTATTTTTGTACATTAGCAAAACTACTGCTCAAATTTTAATCAAGCTTCCTCTACATCTCGACACACTCGGCAGCTCAAAGTTGTCAATGGAGCGTATAAATGTGATTGCTTCTTTTTCTACTTCAGTTTTTTTTATAAAAATATTATGAATTAGTTATTTTCAGTACATCGTAAATGCAATTGCAATGCGCGCGCGCCTTTTAACTGAATTGCATTACTTAGAAAATCAGGTAGAAAATGGCATTTCTATTCTCCACGCAACACGGTTAATATCCCCTCAGCGGAGATTGCTTGCCGTCGATCTCATTCCATTCTGTACTTTAAAATTAGAATTCAATCAACTGCGGAAATTAATATCTGAACAGAAAATCTCGTCCAAAAATAGGTATACGTAGTACTCAAATCAGCACTATCCTCTGTCCTGACTTGCTTAAAATAGAAACATATTTGGATCCTATATTTGACCTGTGTGGTTAATCAAAAATATTGCATGAACAAAAATAAATTTTACTGACTGGAGGGATTAATTTAAAAAAAAAATGGAGGACCAAAATTAATTTGAAACAAACAATAATTATAATGAAAGTTTTATCGCAATTTTTCTTGGAAATTTGTTTCTTCGATTAATCTATTTAATTTTCAATCATTGAGTGTTGATTCAATTGTATAGCTTCCTTTCAAAATCACTCAATTGTTTAACAAAAATTACTGTCACGAAAAACTTTTGGAAAATTGGAATTTTTGAACTTTTCATATTTCCATCAACATTGCAACGACGAGCATAGCCAAAATCCAAAGCATTTGACAAAATCTTCTTGCTATACTTGAAATTTTTAGAGGGATTGAAATCTTATATGCTATTAATGGAGGCATTGCTTGGTTGTCCCGTCAGAGTCGGTGAAGAGAATTTATGTCCCAGTTTCCCTCATTAATTAATCAGCCCTAGAGGCAGTTTCAGAGGAATGTTTTGCTTCTAGAAGAGTTTGTTACCTTTTACTGTTTGTATATACTTAGCTAAATCAATGTACATAGTACGCGTCAACTATTTTCTCTGCTGTCACTGTGTATGTAGCTTGAAATGAATAATATGTAATTATATTATAGCTATAATAATTTATGTCGGCTTAACTGTGTTTTTTTTTTAATCGCTTATTTTTCACGTTTCGGTTGCAGTCATAATTCAGGAGCTTTCTCGTCTGTGGTGTTGACAGAGCGCGCAATATTTATTTTTTTTTCTATAAAACAATAAAGGATTTAAAAAATTACCCATCAAGGAAAAGCCGAATAAATTTATACATCATGACACAACCCTTGATCGTGAAATTTTTTACATAAAGCTTTTCTTAAATGTCACTTTAGAAGCTCAATGGAAAAGTTGGATGCCGGTTAGATTCAGGTGGTCTGGTATATTTACATATTCTTATCCTGAAAAATTGAAACCGGGATTCCTCGTTTCAAAGGGGCTGATCGCCGCACTTGATTTTACCGTGCTGCTGCTTATGGACAGTAAAGCAGTTGCGGCAACCTGCCTCAATAGAGAAAAATGAAAAAAATAATAATAATAAAGAAGAACTGACCCCAAAAGGTGGTCATTTAAATAACCTAGGGTTTCTAATGTCCATGCTAAAATACCAGAGGTCCTATTTGGTGTCAGTTGTCCTTTATTATAAATATTAGTATTGTTTTAATTTTTCACTTTGCAATGAGTGGGCCAGGATTCAATTTTTCATCTCTCGTGAAATCCACAATAGGTTTAAGCTTTAAATTTTTATCTTCGTTTGCATATTAAGAATTTAATTTTTATTAATTTGAAATTTAATATTTCAACTCATCTCACGCAGACACATGAAACTGATTAATAAAAATGTTTGTTTAATTTTCGTCTTACAAGAAATATAAATACAAAATGAGGTATCCAGAGGAAAGCTCAAGTGCAAACAAAAACCTCCTTTCGCTCCCGACGTCAATCTTTAAATTGCTTGTCGTGTTTTCTGTCCATATATTTGCATCCAAGCTCCAAGGGTTTGCAGAATCAATCTCACGTCTTGCGAAAATACAACGAAGCAGGGGGCCACGGTGGCAGTGAATGTCTTCTGGCTCTTCCTTTTCTTTATTCGCAACACAAAGCTGAAGAATGCTGTACTTTTCCCGGTTGCTGATGCATCTACATCACGTGCCTTTTCCTTTTTGCGTCGCCCGCGAGAGCGAAATGAGGAAGGAAGACTGCGAAAGTCTCATCCTGTCTCAATTTGTTTGCTCCTTCGCTCTCGTTTTCTTTTTTCTTAGCACTAGTTTTGCTCTTTTATGAGCTGGTTCAAGATAAAGTGGAGCTGCGGAGATTTTAATTATGCAGAAGTTTAGAACCCTCTTGGCGCTACATTGTGTATCGGCCGACGAGCCGGCTTTCAATTATGTAGTCCTGGCTTCCCTCAAAATAGCACATTTTATTTCGTACGCCGATATGGCCAGGATTTCAATAACGTCGTTCAGCAGAGCCAAAAAACGGAACAGGCAAATATTGGCGTGCTCTGTCTCGTTCACCACAAAAATCAATCGTTTTCTTTTCATTACAACTACGCACGGTTGGTAAATGATTGAAAAAATCTGATTAGATTCCCCAATGTGAAAAAATAATTACGGCCGTTCAGACTAAACGGGCTCTTGCATTCAATTACACCATCGTGTAAATCAAATGTGACGAGTGTTTCGACCTTGTACGCGAGCGAGAAAAACAAACATGCAAGACCTTTCTATCTCAAACTGCGCTCGGCAAAGTGATGTAGCCGAATGCGCGTTTATATACAGTTTACTCATGCATAATACAGAAGTACATAAATAAATAGTGTTGTTCGTTGCTTCCAATCCAACCAAGCAGATATTTTAAATAAAATTCCGTTAATAATTATAATTAATTGTAACAGGTTTCATTCAAATCGTAAATATGGCTGGCACTTGTAACAGCGATCAAGTGCTTGTTTTGTTGTCATTTTTACTTTGTCATCATCCAATACAAAGAGATTTGCATTATTCAAAGTTGATAGGCTGAAGCTTATCTGATGTGGCATAGTCCCAAAGAACTTTGCTAATTTTAATATTTATGAAACGCAAAAATTTCATAACATTCATACATTGAAAGTTATAATTTGCCAGCGTCGTACACATAAATAAATGAGAAATACTCATGCATATTTGTACTTACATTTGAGCGTTTTTACTAAAACCAGCAAGAAAGTGGTGTTTAAAATTTGCAATACATTTAAGCTTTGAGCTAAAGATGGGCAATTCTAGTTAAATTTGATGCTATGGGTTTTCATTGAGTGGTTTTTATGATTAAAATTAAAAATTAAATTTAAAGAAAGATAAACTAAGATGTCTCAAAAATATTTGATAAAAATTGTCGCATACCAAAGCAGTAGTTCATAAATTTCCGGGACAGCGCAAACATTTTACCTACTAGAAGCAAATGATTGCATAGAGCAAAACGAACTTTAACTTCGGAAAATTTGGATCTAATAACTTTTTTTTATATTATAAGCATAAAAAAATTTAAAACCTTAAATAAATTGTTACACAAAATTGCATCAGGATATCTAAACAGGAATTTCAAGGGGATTTGGCAAGTGAGAAACAAAAGCCCGAAATTAGAATAATGCATCTTTTAGGTGAAGACTTTTTGCTGCTGCTTCGATCCAAAGCATAAAGTTATAAATGCGACTCCTGCCTGTTTATAACCAAGTAGTAAAATAGGTAGCCGTAAAACGCAAGTCTGGGCGTTGCGTCGCAAAGCATGTGAAATTTATTGCCAGGACATTTTCTTGGATCTCGCGTGTCACTTGCTGGTTGAAGCTTTAAAGGTTAGCATTACACCTTTTTCATTGAAGATTATTTTCCCTCTTTTTTTCCTCTCTACATTTAAAATAATTTTTATAATTTTGAAGTGATAATTTCATTTATTTCGATGAGTTCATGTATGGGGCATAGTTGCCCAATAAACATTTCTTGAAAGTAATTTTGTTTATTTTGGAAATTGGCAATCGACGATTGATTCATGGTGATTCATTTTAACTTAAATTAACTAAAAATAGTTTCAGGGCTAGAAGCTAGGTTTAGCAGAAGACGCAACCAAACAAAAACTTTTTCGAATCTCTGATTGTGAAGCACAAATTTAAAATTTGTTACTGTGTGGTTGCTCAAATTAAAAACGGCACTTTTATTCCCTTCTGTATGTAACAAAACACAGAAACAAGCTAACATTTAATTTTCTTGTTTGAGAGCTATTGTTTCTTTTTGTATGTGTATTATCCAGTTTCAGATTCAAAGATTCAGACGATTCATGTTCAGCCCAAGAGGTTTACAGAGGTGCTTATAAATATCCTTACAAGAGCAAAGTAGAATATATATTTATTACAGTCTTCATCAGTAAACTGAAAATAATTGCCTTTCTGTGATATATCAATAAAATTTAGTATTATTTGCAACTAATAACTGGGCTGGATTCCACTCAAATTAATAAAATATGGCCATAATATGAGGAAAAACATTTTTTTATAATAATTTGTTCTTCTTCGGTGTGCAACAAGTAAAGTGATAATAATCCCACTTAAGTCACTTCAAAAAATTACTATTGCCACTATTTGCATGCACATGCAATTGTCATTTTCTAAATTCCTAAAATCACCAGCAACGAAAAAATTTCAATATTCGATCTTGTCACGTAAGACACACCGGTTCTAACATTGAGTATAGTCTCAGTACTTGAATTGCTCAAAGACCATTGTGTGTAACTCGCTACTTGCAGGTCCACCTTCCCTGAATGTGTGAATTGATGGGCTTTAGGGCAAATGCCTAAACATGATGATTTCAATAGCTATGGGCGCAGTGACGCACTGGTTACGTCTACCAATACGAAGATACAGGCAGGGTTCAAAATGCTTTGATGTTGTTGGCACGTCAAAAAGTGCTCTGTATATATTTTTTCGTTATGCAGGAGGTGCCGCAAGCGCGAATTTATGTGCTTGGTGCCGTTTTCTCGAGTTTTTGGAATTCCTGCACCAAATGGGGGCATTTCATGAAGCCCAGCTGGCACCTGGCTAATTTTGCAAATGGGGCTTGGCAGGATAATCCAGATGAATAAAAAAATTCCTTGGTGAGGAGGCGAACGTGGCTCTCATTGTCAAAGCTGGGCTCCGATGGGGCGCTGGTGCACCCATACTATTCGTTTGCCAGTTTTATTGGGTTTCCTGGTTTCAGCAGAACCTGCTAATTAATTTCAGCCCTTCCTACCCCCTGGGCAAGGTTAAAAAATGAGGAAAAAGTGTTGCGAAACAGAGGATTTTTATTAAAAATTGGTATTTCAAACAGTTTTTTCTAGTTCAAAACGCATTTATAAATTATCTTCACCGGCAGGCAGCACATGTTAAACCCAAACAATTAATTTTGTTTAAAAAAAAAATTCCTTTTTTGAGAAAACCTCATAATATTGATTTTGTCATATTTTTAAATAAGTGTTCAAAAAATCACCAACATTCAAAAACTTTTTAATATCGCAATTCAATAACGACAATTTTTGAAGTAGCATTGGATTTGCTTTCATGTTCAAAAAAATTTTCTATTTGAATTTCCTCTTCACAAGCGCATAAGAAATAATTACCCAGCCAGATTCAATTTGAAAAAATATTTTTTATTTTTACAAAACCTTCCACATTCTTCTTTTTTTTTTTAATTCAATATTCCGAGAATATCAAGCAATCAAAAACTGACGAAGTATGGTTTAAAGAGGATTAATTTTTATTTAGAATTCGAATTGCAAACGGCCTCACCATGACGAGTTTTTGTGAGAGGTTTTTATAATTCTAAAAGAAAATAATTACCAAAGAACTACTTCGCAATTTCAGGATTCAATTGCAATACAGCACGTCAGACCGCATTGAAATCAATTTCCTGCTGATACCATTTTTTGGCTTTGATACACATTCTTAATTTATGTACGTCAAGTTAATTTAAAACCTGGTAAAAAAAAACCTCGAAGTGAAACAACGATTTATTGAAGATCCTCATAGAGGTTTGCTGAGATTAGATAAAAGTATAATTTATTTCCAAAGGTTCTTGAAAGGGGTCGCCTCAAATGGCCCGAAAAGAAATTGCCCGAACGCATCTCGCGGAAATTGCCCGAACCGGAAATAGCCCGAAAGAACTTCCCCGAAGGAAGTTGCCCGAAGACTTTGAAAGCAGGAAGGAAAATGCCCGAATTTTTTGCGGAAATAGCCCGAAATGAGACTGAAACTAGACTTAGCTTTTCAATGCGTGAACAAAAATTGGTTCTTTAATGAACAAGTAGCAAATGAGTACATAGTTGGGAGTTGGGATTAGGATTTAAACAGAGTCTGAATCTATCTGCTGAGCGCGTGGTTGGGGTGCTCCTCTACGCCTCCTTGCAGTCATTGTTGGGCGCTGAACAGCAGGTGCTGTTGCTGATGCAACATGTCGCTGAGGGTTGTAAGACATGTTGCAAGCTATAAGAAGAAATTCTCCAATAGAGATCGTTTTGTTCTCCAGTCTACTGGTAGCCCTGTGGATCCTCGCGTCCATTATCAAGTATTTTAACTTTCTGCTCCGGGTGGTTTTGTTTCCCATCCTAACAGTAGCGAGATCTGTTGCAGACGCGGCTGAGAGCAGCTTGAGCTTCTCTGTGAAAGCAACAGCGAACTTAATTGGAAATACAAGGGGAAAAATGAAATTTTACCTATAAAGACAAATATATTTGGATGGGAACATTGGATATATCTCATGAGAGCAGAGTGAAAGGATTCAATTGAATTATTAGTCCTGTGACGACGATCATGAACTGAGAAGTTTTCAGGACCCTCTTCGCGCAACCAGTATCTAATGGGGTTACAAGTACAACTAGTGGCGCTACGACTCGAAAACTATAATATATAGAAAAACCGTCATTAAATAATGATAAGTGAATTAACAAAAAATATATTAACTTACTCAGCACTCTGGGACACTTCGTTGTAAATGTCTTTCAAAGACATTGTGCTGTTCATGGCACACTCCTTCAAACGCTCCACAAAAAGGCTTTTCAACTCTTCTTCGGCGCAAGGCTGGTGTCCATTGTGGGCTTGGGTTTGTCGAAAATCTCCTCCAGCTTTCTTGACTCCCGTGGCATGGCAATTCTTCAAGCGACACGTATAATACACTGTTCCAGTTTTTTGCACTTCTTTGTTACGATGGAACACATAATTATTATAAATGAGAACTCGCGACTTGAAATGCTTCCCGGGAATCGCACTCATGTTTCTCAATCGCCTCGACAGGCCGGACTGAATGCTGATGATAGAAAAAGTAGAGAGAAGAGTGTGACTCCGAAGAATTTGGAGGAATTCGAAAAATGAGAAACGCCAACCGAAAAAGTAGAGAGAGAGATAGAGAGTGTGTGCCTCCGAAGAATTTACAGGAATTCGAAAAATGAGAAATGCCAACCGAAAAATTAGAGACAGAGAGAGAGAGTGTGTGCCTCGGAAGAATTTGGAGGAATTCGAAAAATGAGAATTTCCGATCGAATTCGGGTACCTTCCGATTCGGGCAATTTCTGCGCAGATTCGGGCATATTGCTCTCGAGAATTCGGGCAGATTCCGTTCTGCAGACATTCGGGTGAATTCCGATTCGGGCAATTTCCGAGCAAAAACGTTCGGGCAATTTCTTTTCGGGCCATTTGGGGTTCACCCTTGAAAGAACCTTAGTCCTATGGTTGCCACTTATTTGACTGAAAATTATTAATTTCGTACTTTCCTAAAATTTGCTTTAAATGTCACTCAAAGAAGTATCAGAATCTCACTCAAACTACTTTAGAATATGGATCAAGTTTTCAGACTTAAAAAAAATTGTTACGAATTTTAACGAAATAATTATTTAAAAATCAATCTCGACACACTGCAGAAGCATTTAATTAATGTTTTGTTAATCATATTGAATGAGCATAATTTTTTTCTCTCATTGTGTGGTAAACTCTATATTTTTGTTAGCTTGATGTGAGAGAACAAAAGAGTTTGATTAGAGAGTTTTTTTCCCTCAAATTAAAATTTATTTATTTTAATTTTCGCGACCGAGAATTTTTCTTCGTTTTTTGTTTTGTTCAAGTATTCAGTTTCATTGCCAACAATGAATTGTTTTTCGTAAAATATTTTTAAATAAATAAAATAAGTAAATAAACGTACAAAAATTTAATCTCGTTTTCCGTTATTTTGTCGCTTTTCCTTTTCTTAATCCCATTTTGCATGTACGTGATCGTCAACTGCTCTTTACTGCAGATTTGATGTAAAAGGTTTCTGTTGTGTGCAGAATAAATTTTCAACGCCGACAAGCTAAAATGCTTTTTGACACACGGCGCTTGTTGAATTTGTCCCGCTCTTTGCTCGCGACGCGAATCAACAGAGCTTACAATCTCTGGGATCAAAAAGCCCTTTGCAGCTATTGTGTGACGATAAAAAAAAACCTGCCGAACTTCCCTGTTGCCTCCACTCCACGCAGTTAAACTAATCGGCAAACTCTATTGACGAACACAGCAGTGGTAAACAGGGGTTGACTGTTGACTGCCTTTTTTCCAAATCGGAATGGGGTGACGGAGATTGCAGAGAAAATCTCATTTTCCAGCTCTGAAATAAGATTCGGCCTGCCAATCTTGTAAAACCTGATTATCACACACGCCTTTGAACGCTCTTAAAACATTTCCTCCTCACACTCCGACGATTTTTGTTGCTTCGAATTACTTCAGATGTTTATTGAAAAACTGATCGAAGCAAAGATAAAATTGTTATATTGGCAATTTTCTTTAGATATCACAACAAAACACATAAGCATAGTGTGTCAGGTTCAAATATTGTGCCTTTTCAGCACTTTTTTTTTATTGTTTTTTTTTTCATTTCTACACATATTGTTTACAATAATTATTGAAAAACAATTATGTCTGAAACTAATTGGAACAATTTGTAATGTAAAATATATAACTCTGTTGATTTTTTTATGTTTATTCTTTATAATGTTAACTGAAGTGAATGTTATTAAACTTGGTTGCCTATATAGTAATTAATTTGAGTTCCAAAAATAACCCTCGCTTGTTTTTATTATATTAATTGTAACTTGACATGTTAATTGGGCAGAGAATGCCTGGTGAGACATTAATAAACACAATTTGCAACTAAATTGAATTTACATTTGCCTATCTGATGCTAATTGATGCTCAAAATACTTCTCAGCCCTCTACAAGGGGAATCAATTCTGTGGTACCAATTTTACAAGAAAACGTAACAGTCCATCAATCTAGGCTCACTGCTACAGATTTGAAAGTTATAGCAAAAGTCTTTTCAGCGGTATTGCCGTTTTTTACAACAACTTTCTTTCTATTTTCAAAACAAATTGCTTTTCATTAATTTAATGTAAACATAAACAAAGTGGACAAGTAAATAACAATTTGATAAATATAATTATATATTATAATGCATACTTTATTTTATTTGTTTTATGAAAATTGACCCCTGAGGCAAAATCATATTTATTTTACTCCAACAAATTTGGAACACGCTTCCGCAACCACACACTACGACTCGCATATTTCCGGTCTAATCAAATGGGCACCGCTGCGCGCTCCAACTTTTGGTCTCCACTAGTTACTTTTACAATTTGTAAATGTAGTACATGTATTGCTTCGATGATAAATTTCATGTGCCATTTTTCTTTCTTTTCCATGATTAGCGATACAAATACGGCTTAACATCGAGATACGCTGCACATAAATATCGTAAGTTCGAAAATCATTTTCCGTGCTCGAGTAACTCAGATTATTTTCATAATATATTCACAACCCCCCCCCCCCCTCATTTCGCCTTTCCTCTATAACTCCCCATCCCAGTAGCATAGTTGACCGTTGAATTGTATTCGGAAAGCAAAATAAACGCTGGAAAAATTAAATTGCCTGATGCCAGTAGAATAAAATCTTTTCCTTTTGCTTTCTGTACAAAAAAAATATATACATAACAATGTTGAAGCTCTAAGAGCATTTTGGGAAATTGTCCTGGCAATTAATCCAGCGTGTTTTGTTTTATAATAATAACCATGGCATTAAAGCAAAAAGTTCTCATTCAAAAAGAATTTTCAAGGAAATTTCAGTTTTATTAATACCCGAATTACTTTGGAAAAATAAAATCAAATTGTTTATTGTTCTTGTTGTTTAAAGAAGTCAAGAAGCTGAATTCATAATTGGCGCAAACCTGTTAATCAGTTTTAAATTCTTAAACTTAATTACATAATGTAAGATACAGTGGCATAAGAGTGCCAGACATGTTTTTAGCTCTTTGCTCTTTGCAACATAAAACAATAGGCCGTTTGTAAATTTATATAGTTAACTGATCACAATCATAATAAAATGTAATGGTTGAATATGTTGTTGTGATTTATTGACAATTGCAATCTTCTAATTAATTGATTTCGTCTGAAGCGTGATTTAAGATGGAAACAAAAGAGGCCGAGTGCGGTGGAGTTTGGCGTGTTCATGTTTTATTGATGCGCGTGACCCGTTGATTTTGGCGAGATGGAAATAAGAATAAATCAACGCGGTAGCCACTTGCAGTTTATTCTGCACTGTTGCTGCGAGCAGAAAGTTTCATGCCGGCGGTCTTTCAGCTGAATTTATCGGCGAGCGTTCCCTCGCGGCTATCAAGCCATGCGGGCGAGTAAACGATTACAATCGAGGCCTCTGGGCCTGTCAGCTAAATGACCGGCACTCTTTTTATTTTGTCGAAGTTTTCGCCACTCCAAAGATAACACTTGCAAGATTATTGCCATTTTATGCAAAAACGGCGGATTTTGGTAAAGCGGCTCAGCGGGTCCTCTTTATTCATATCATCGTTTTTTATCCCCGCGTGCTGGGCAAATTGTTCCCTCGTTGAAACTGCCTGGTTGTTTTGGACAAAGGCAAACGCAGCAGGATCGGAGCCAAGCGTGTAGCGCGCCACGCCAACGTCAGCACGCAATTTATTATGCGCATACTTTTGGCACACGGTCGCGCCGAAAATCGGCATTCGATGCAATGGCCGCATCTCTTTTGTAACGGAAATGTTTCCAATCCTTTCTATATTGTTGGTGACTTTGTAAACGGAGGACGCTTTAAAATTCAAATGAAGCGTGGTCGTGACAATCCCCTCGTCATGAGATGCTATCGCGATTATTTAGCAATACAGAATGGACCTTTGTTTGACTTCTTTGGTGAATAAAAATCGTGAGTTGAAAAAATAACATAGAGTTTGCAAAAATAATAATAACGATACAGGCAGGTAAAAGCTTCCAGAAAAATTTATTAGCACATTATTGTGTATTCGATTATGTAAATTATCATGATGGTTATTTAATCATGTGTTTTTTAACGATAGCTTTTAAGAAGGATATGAGGTATACAGGTGGAGTCAATAACTGTATCAAAAAATTAAATTTTTTACTGGAATTGCAAACAAGAGTAATTTAAAATGGTATATAGCAATAAACCACAATAAATTATAGAAAACCGCAAAATTACACTGAAATTTGGAAAGTTAAATTTTTCTCTTTTTATAATACTGAGGGCAGTGAGCCAAACAAAAAGAGAGAGAAAAATTTGATCGGCCAGTAAGCAAGAAAATTTTACGAGCTTGGAAATAAAATGCTGCTGGTAGCCTTTAATTAGGAGGCATCGCCGAATTATTAGACTAGCAGTATTGCAAAAATTGAAATAAAAATTTCTATACTTCAGAATCAATTATTAAAACTGATACATACATTAAATTCGTTCAAGCTATAATATGTTACTTAAATTTTCAAAACAATAGCATAAAACAATAGTTCACTGCATTGCATGTTTTCAGTTTGCGTTATTAATTATTTTAAATGACATAATATTTTTTTGCATACAATAGTAGCAAATTACCCCTACCTTGAAATTCTGACATTTTTTGATGATATTTCTCAAAGATTTGCACTTACTCTATTTTGCTCTATTTCTTTTTTTTACAAATAATTGTTTTTGGGTGCAATAAAAGCAAAACAATGCCTTCTTTGTTATTTTGATTGTGAATTTGAGACCCTCAATGCAGCGCGATAGTTTCAACGCTTTTAACGAATCGTGAAGATTGACTGCCCGATTATATTCAGCAGCGGGCGCCGCTCGCGCTTTTCATTTTCAGTCGGCTAGCAGAAAAAAAGGAGTTGAGATGTCTCGCAAATTCACTAATCCTTCCACAACTTGAGCATGGTTATCAATTACAGAGACCAACAGAGCCAAAAATTGCTATGCACTGTCAAAATCACTCGTACGAACTATCAAATTACCCTGTAATCATCTCCCCTGCTGCATCTACGTGAGAAAAAAGGGGCGGGCAAAATTTATGGAGCGAATAATAATTGCTTTGCTGTTGAGTGGCGTAATTGCCATTATGGAGGAGTAAAGATTTGAAAAACCTTGATATTTTAAATGTTTTGAGCGTGCTAAGTAGAGAATGGAAATGTATGCAAAAAATAATACTCTTCTATTTCTTTGTCTTCTTTTCTAACAAACAGATTGAACCATTATATTTTTAAGCCTTGCAGATTCAAAGATTTTTTACTGGTACGGACAAATTTCTCACGAAGCAATTAACGTGAAATCCTGTTTGCAATTCAAATCCGCCATATAAATAGAATTTCCAAAGATAATAAGTCACCATTGTTTAGATAATTTCTGCTGCTGAAATTTTCAGCGGTGAAGCAATTAATAAATTAATAAAACGAAACTTTACTTACGCATATAACTTATTAATGATTACCAAAAATTTTTTTATGTACGCAATAGTTGAAGAGAATGTAATTAATTAACAATTTTAAATACATATATTTTGCCGCCAGCAAATCAAAATTGGTTAAATTTATTGTATTGATAAAAATTTAGAAAATTCAAGTATACAAAAACTTCATTTTTTAATTAAACTAAATGAGGAAAATTTGAAACTTTCCACATTCATTATCAGTTTAGGTGATCAACTCACCATCCATCTCATACTGAACAACAATCTGCGGCGGCTGCACCACCTGTTGAGGTTGGCGAAACGCGAGAACGGCCACCAAGGATGTCCTGGCCCTGAACCAGGGCAGGTGCTGCAGCATCCAGTGGCGGAGCATGAGCGTGAGGTCGGCGAACGCATTCTTAGGTTTGACGAGTCGCACCAAGTCTTCCAAGAGCCACCGCTTGCTGGTGCCGTTGGCTGAAGAAATCTGCTGCAACTGCTCGGCCTCGATCCAAGCCGCGAACTTCACCTCGGCTCCCCCCACTAGAAGAGCTTCGGAAACTCGGACGTCGTCGGACACGAGTTCGTACGGCACCGGCAGCCGGGCCACCAGCACGTGGGTAAAGTCGTGGGGGCGCACGTGGATGTCATCGGTGCCGTTGACGAAGAGAAAGTGCTGATCGGAGACGAGCGTGGCCAACAAGTGTGGTGTTGACCTTTTGACGGCCGCCAAAAGTGTAAACAAGACCACGACCTGCCACACAAGCGTCCGACGTGTCATCGCGGCCGGCGGAGAACGGGCGGCCGGGACGCGCGCGTGCTGCCGGTGCGAACGAGCACCGACCACTGAGGTGGAACTCGGCCGCGGCGATGACGGCGACGGAAGCCAACAGCAGCGGCGCGCACGCCGCCGCGTTTCGCTCGCCGCTGATAAGCTGCATCTGATGGAAGGTCGCTTCGCTCGCTCGCTCGCGCTTTATCAGCCAACGAGTGCTCCCTTTTCGTGAATGCCGCCTTTATTATTTTTTTTTCGGAACACGGTCGGCCGCTTCCTATTGTCTTCCTTCCGTACCCAAACAGGGCTGCATTTTTTTTTTCTTGGTGCAGCATCTATAATGAGATGCTGAGTGTGTTTTGTTTAGGAGGGTCTATTTATTTGCAAATATTTGTGTTATTTATTCAGGGTTAATTAATTTTCTTTTGCAAATGAAAGAATAATACCGTCTTCTTTGTTACCTTTTGCTTTCATAAAATTTCAGAGCTAATTTTAGATCATCTGCAGTGGGCGACGTGTATTGAAACGTGGGTGGATTTTATTTTGGTATTTATTTTCTTGATGGTATTGGAAAAAAATTCCAACGAAAAATAAGAATTCATTTTATTAATCCGCAACCCACACGTTTCGTCTCGCTCAAAAATAAATTTGAGGTTCTTCTATCGCAATTTTTTTTCATAATTCTTGAAGTAAAGATTTCAGATTATAAAAAAAAAAAAAAAAATAGCATTTTTATCTATCGTATCTGGAGCTGATTAAAACTTAAAAAGGAAAAAAGAAAAATACTCTAATATACCAAAGGAATTAAATTCTGCATCTTAAATAACTTAATTGCCAGATTTTACCATTAACAAATAATTAACGACGATTTTTCTAGATAGAAAAATATTCAAGCCGTACGCAATCAGCGATTTAAAAAAGTATTAAAAAAGGGAATAGCTTGAAACTATTTTTGGTTGATGTTTTTAAGCCCTTTAAATATGACTGGATTTAATACAGAGAAAATCCTTTGTTGGCGTTGTAGTTGCCTGTTTTGATTTTCTTTTATAAATATCTCCAATAAAGTGCATTTTGACGCTCGCATTTTTTTTTTTAAATTTATTATGTAAATCCATTTTTAATTCTTTTAAAAATATGTAAATATTGTAATTCTCTTCTTACAATTTTTTTTTATTAATATCTACTTTATTTTTTGTCTATTCGATGCATCTAAAAACAGAATTTTTTGAAACTATATTTCTGAAAATGACAATTGTAAATAAAAAAAAAACTCATCGAGGAAAAGTAATTTACATTATTACTTCAATAAATTACAAGTCTTTTCGCAACATGAGAGACCAACAAACAAACAAAAGTTTTTTAACAGTGCAGGAATGGCTTATTTTGTTATTTTCCATGACCTGATTTAAGTGGAGCAAATTTATAGAAAACATTTTCCTTCTGGAAATTCCAAAGTTTCTAATCACATTCTGTTTACGCAAAGTTCTAATTTTGAAATGCATCTGAGTTATCAAAAACAATAATCTAACTGTGGAAAATCAAGACTCCAGCGAGTTGTGAAGAGATGAACTTGCGCGCAGACTAATTATGAAATCCAGTGAGTAAATTGATTGCGCTCACACGTCATGTGCTCTCTTGGCAAAACTACACGCATGCAAAGACATACTAAGCTTATCAAGTGAGACGAGCCAACGTGATGCACCATCGTTCGATGAGCACTTTGATTTTTAAAATAGATGCCGCTCGCAACTCCTCTTATTTACTTGGGTTGGCGAGTGCTCAAGTAAAAGGGCACCCGAAGCCACTTTTTAACCGCAGCTGCAAAAGCAAATCGCATCACGTGCGAATTCCAATAGCAATTTTTTTATGCCTGCAATCAAATTTTCTTCTTGCCATCAATTCATCCTATCAAACGTGCGTGGAATAAGCAAAAAAAATTAACGTTTTATTATTTAAACGAATTTTTACTTATTACAAAAAAATTCATATATATATATAAATTAAATTTTATTTTACTATCACAATCGAATTTGGAGTGGAAAAGTGTTACGGGAAATAAATCATGCGTCGGTATCCCTCCAGCTCACAACCGAGTCGATGCGTCGGTTGAGACCCACCTCGGGTATAGAATCTCTGCCCATGTCCATGCTCCCCATTCGCAGGGACTTGCGTCTCTCGGCCAGCACGGAGCTTCGCCTGTGAGTAAAAGCTTCCATTGTGCCTCTCCTTGCTGAAATGCGCCTCAATATGGGATTTGCTGAAAAAAATTGACATAAAAACATTTTCCCTCGGATTTTTTGCAAATAACTAATAAATTGCATTTTTGGGTGGGGGGGGGGGATGTAAACTTATTACAATTCCAATGAAATCAGTAAACAACTTGACCAAAATTTAATAACAAAAACTGTTAATAACTATATAAATGAAAAATAAGTTTAAAAGAACGCCGGCGAAATTTTTGACGATCACCAAAATGTTTGTTTACTTCTGATATTTCTCAATTTCCAAACAAATCGAAAAACGTGTTTTCCGATGTTTTCCGTTGCGTTTTTATTATCCGCTGCCAGGATTAGTTTGCTCCATCAACATTAAATGTGGAGCTACACCAAACGAATCCATTTTTTCATAGTAAAATGTATAAACTTGCCTTGAGAACCAAAGTCCATGGACGTGAATCTCGTTTCGAAATTCGTGGGAAGCGAGCCTTCCTGCTGCTTCTTCTTACTTTCGTGCTCCAAGTTTACGATGGAGAAAAGCCGTTCCTTCTGTTCCTTCTTCGTGTCATTTTCGCTACTGCCCGTGAGTCGCGACAAATCCTTAGCAAACTCTATGCCGTATTTGGCCATCAAAGCGTCTTCCGTTATGTCCTCGACCTGTTCCGATTCCGAGGGGAATAAAAGTATGAGGAATTTTACAAATGGAGAAGGTTCGAAACGAGTGGTGGAAAATGAAAAAGACGTTTCTTGTGTTACAAGTAGTAATCTGAGACGACATGAGACGAAGAAAAGATTCAGAAGAATAAAATAACACACAATTTAAAATTTTATATACAATATTTACAAATCCACCTGTAAAGACTGTATTTAACACAACACGATTTTTCCAAATAAAAATCCTATGAAAGCGCATGATGTATATCTACAAATGTGGAAATGTTCCAGAGGGATAAAGCGAGAACGGAAAAAGTACCGCCCTCTCCAAATTGATTTTGGCAAAAGCGGAGAGCTTTTTAATTTTGGTAAAAAAAGAAGGATTTTCCGCTGAAGGGTGGAACTTTCATTTGTAAGCTTGGAAATAAAAGTTCCATCCATAAGTGGATCAGATGAATTTATCAAGCAATCTGAGATGGAAGTTGATGTTACGGGAATCCCTGATTAAACAAAAACATCGCCTCAGCCTATACACTAGGTGTATCAGATACACTTCAAAGAGTAAGCTCATCTTATTCATTTCGAGCTCACAGATAACCAATCGAGATTTTTCCCATACCTCAATTCATTACTTGTTTTCTGTCTCGCGTAAACCCCTCGTGGAACTGAAGAAATTGTTTTTCTTTTGTGAGTGTATGATTTCTTATGTACAATTTGATGAGCTTTTTATGTGTCAAAGTTAGAAGAAAAAAGTGGTAATAGTTACCGTAAAGCTATTAACAAGCGCTCTAATACGAACCTTAACCATACGAACCTTTTTCGTGCAATACCACTCCAGTTCGGTCGAAGCCAAAATGTGCGACAGGGTGCCGAAGCGGTGGAAGAGCATGGCGAAGAACTGAATGAAAAGCAGCGCCGCGAAAGAGAACAAAAAGACGATGCCAATCGGCTCCAGCTCCAGGTATTCGTTGTTGATCCAAATCTGAGCAAGAAACATTTAAAATACATGCCAAAAATTTTTGAAAATGAAATGAGCTTTTGTGAGCGCTGATTTTTCCACCGATAAATTACTGATAACATTAAGGCAATTTATTCTTGACATGAAAAGCGCTTCTACTTTTAAATGCCCTATAATAAGGCGCTTGAAAGACGCTTCAATTTTACCTCCTTTGAATTGTAATCGAATGTGATATTGGTTTTCACTCCAAGAGGCCAGTTGAAGTGGAGCAAATCCTTATTCAGTTGAATTAGGAAAAGGATCATGACGAACATGGCGTTGAGCATGAAAAAGCCAAACACCATCTTATCCCTCAGCATTTTCAGATCGCTTGCGATTTTTTCCTGCCGATTGGTTACACAGAATTAGAGCCGTTCACTCGACTCCTTTTTTTATTCGAACCCACCTTCTGCTTTTTGTTCTCTTCAAGGGGGTACAAGTACTTATCGATCAGGTCCCTCCAGAAATGCTCCTCCTCTCCAGACAAAAAATCAACGTCGCCCTTTTTCAGTTCCGCGTCCTCCATCCAGAAAGGGTTGGTCAGGTCGTCTCGCTTGATAATAGGAACTGTTGAAAAGGGCCAATTAGAGGAAATTATTTCTATCATTTTTGAAATCGGTGCCTTCGGTGGCGTAGCGTCCCTCGCTGTCATCGCTCATTTGCTCGTCGGTCTCTGCCGCCTCTGCAAGCGTTCCCAAAGTTTCGTTGTTTGCTGCGCTTCGAAGCAGGGCGAAAGAACGCCTACGGCTGCCCAGTGCTGGTGCTGGACCGTCAATCGACCTGCGAGGGTTCAATTCAATAAGACATTTACAGAGGCATCAAAATTATATATAAAGCACAGGCAACATTAATGGTGGCCGCTGTTCTTCAGTGGGCACTGCATGGGTTGAAATGCTATTTTGGCTTAATGTCCAAGCAGTAACTCGTTGCAATGACGGTTTTTTTAATTACAGGAACAGAGAATATACACTTCTTTCAGACACAAAAATAAACCCGCAAACGCGGTACGAAAGTCATTTTTGTAATAGTTATAAATTAATTGTTTCAACAAGAACAAGCCGTTTTACACATCTTTAATATTTAATTTTTTTTCAATGCATTTTATTTCTCAAAGCAATTTCCATTGTCCCCTTTTTTTTATTTTAATGCGTCATTGTTTTTCTTATAAACCTTAAGGTTAGACCTTTTTCATCGATATAATATGATCATTTTAATCTCCCAACAGAATATTCCGTTTTTATTTAATTTTTTGTTTTGTTTTCCAGGTAGCAAATAATTATAACTATAATAAAATGCACATATCTAAACCAAATAAATGGTAATGTTTAAGAATATCTGTAAATATTTAACTTAAACATTGAGGAAATTTACAGCTGCTTCACAGTTTTGAATGGCATTATATATAGAAACGACGAACCTTTCAATGGAGTCCATTCTACGGTTGAGAGCTTCAAGTGAATCGGCGATCCTCATCAGTTGCTGCTTTTCATCAACCACTTTTGGATAAGTACACAGCATGCATTTGAACAGGCCCGTGAGGGAGAATTCGATCGCGCCGTCCTCTGGCTCGCTGGAGTCCGGTTTTGACCTGAAGCTGTCCAGTAATCCAGAAAATGCTCCCTTTTTCTGACCTTTTTTTGCTTCTTCCGCCGCCATAGCCTATAATTAATGAGCAATCATATTCACAATGACATATTTTTAACGTTTCTTTTTCTTCATGAAATGATAAATGAAGTAAATAAAATTCACGAAACATCAAGATAACTGTTTTGTGTAACAGGACAGTTTTTTTTTATAATTGCGCAACACGGCAACCTTTTGTTCTCAAGGAATTCAAATTTTGTATAAAAATTCATTTTGCAACTGGCAGGTTTGCAGCCATGTCTTACTTCAAAAAATTTACTTCAAAAAATCAGTTCTGTAATTATGCTCAGATTTTTTTTAATTTTATTGTAAGGCCTTCATTTTGATATCTTGCGCACTTATGTAAACAATTCCATCATTTTAAGGAACCTGGAAATTTATTGTTGCAAGGCTACCCTTTAACGAAACAAATTATATTTGAGTTCAACTTGAGTGCAAAAAGCAAAAAGAGTATGCGGAAAAAGGTGTCACTCTTTCCCTTGATTGATTTTGTCGCGACGCACTTTCGTTTCAATTAATGGTGCGCACTTTGTCTTAGGGCGTTTCGAGTTTCGGGGGTATGTGTTTCATTAGTGTGAACGAACCTGCTGGCTGAGGGGCACGGCCACCTCTCGAGTTCCCCAGCTGACATTGTTCAGGTTGAATAGCGAGTAGATGATTAGCAGCATGTACATGCTGGGTACGGTTATGTAGTAAACGACCCCGAACGGCAGGCAGCCCACCTGTTAACATCAAAGCAAATTCGGTGCTGAAATGGAAAAGGGGTTCGCTCTCACCTCTCGAGGGTGTAAAAGCCCAGTCACAATTAATTGCCCTGACACAACGAAGAAAAAGAGCGACGATGGCGCCAAAGGCCCGTCCTCGGAAATCTGCATCATGATGCCGACCAAAACCGCAATCATCACCATGGCGTATAATGTACTTATTATCATTGCCGCTGTCAACTGAAATTTTTTGATAAATTAATAATTAATAGTTTTTTTTATTATTTTATAAGAATTGTCATTAATTAATTCCAATAGGGGAATTGCGCAGCTATCCGCAACCCACACAACAATAACACTTTAATTGACTTAAAAAAAAATACTTCTACTTTGATCTAAATAATGAGGCAGTAATGTATTCTGCACTTAATTATCTTGCCAAATTTTAATTTACTAGGTGCAGCAGGGGGATGCAGAAATCAAAATTTTTTAGAAGAACTAAAAATGGGGGAACGGAAATGGTTGAATTTTAAACATTGTTTGATGTCTAAAATTTAAAAATAAAATGTAGAGCTAAATCTCAAATCTGACAGTGATTGATAAAAGCGATAAATGCCCATATTATGAGGAAAGAGGAAATCAATTACTTGATGGAGAGTTTCAAACTAATTTCAACAACAACAAAATTGAACCTATGCAAAACACTCTATTAAAAATAAATATTATGATGGATTCTCACTTCAATTTAACTGTCTGGTGTTTATTAATTTATTTATTTATTTATTCTCCATTCAGATAGAATATATGTAAAAACACAACATCTTAATTACATCAAGTCAATACACAAAATAGAATAGAAAACATAATAAATAAAATAAATAAATAAATGTTTTTTTAAAAAGCGCGCTAGTGGTATGCAAGTGATTTGAAGATTGTTTTTAAGAAATAATTGACTCTGATGATTTGCTTTTTGTGTTTAATTAATGGAAAATATCTACGTCAGATGTAAAATTAAAATAATTCATCATGAAAGTGAATAACATCGCAATTGCATTATTTATTAATGTTGACAACTCGGACGCCTTGTCATATTTTTTAAGTAACATAAAAATGAAAATAATGTATGTTAATGAATTTAAATTCATTAATTTGCAACTAAATTTGAATATTTGCTTTGTAATTTGTTTTCAATTGAAATAATGTAATTTAAACGTGGCTGACAAGCACTAGAAGGTATTTATCAAAATTTTTAACGCCCGTTGTAGATTTTAGCTATAATAAGCTATTATCGCTGCACAGAATTAAAAAAAAGAGCTTGGTGTTCATTGAGGTGAAAGAATAAACATAAATCCACGCCATCATTATAAATTATATAATATTTAACAACCAGGTTAATTTAAAAAAAAGAGGAGTACAGTCAAACATGAAATGTTGGCAAACTTCAAACAGTATCTTAATTAAGCCCTTTATGAAAATCATGTCAACCCAATTTCCAACTGTTTTCCTTATTTGAATTAAACTTTGAAATGATGAAAATCGTCTCTAAAAAGGGTGCACCACAAAGCGTTTGAATTTATACTGTTTGTTCTTGGTACAGCATATATCAAGTTGGAATTTGCTTGGAAAAATAAATAAACATTGAAATGTATAATTATGTAAAAGCACATTATTTAAATCTTGAACAATTGAAAAATGTCTACAACATGGGTAAAATATTTAGCTATAATTTAAAAAAAAAAGAAACAAATAAAATCAAATCGTCATATCACGTTTATATGTTGTTCATCATGCGATGGAACAATGCTGTCATTGCTCCCGAGAAATATTTTTAGGGACGAGCTTTCCGGGCGCATAAAATTTGTATATCTTAGGCAAGGGGTATAATTCGTATTCCTTCATAATTTATTCAAACGCTTCCTCTCTCCAAAATACTCTACTTTTAATGTTCCACTCTGAATTTTCCAACCTCTGTTCCAACATTTATTCCACCAAAAGTACGGTCAAACGCCAAAACAACTGGAAAATAATACAGAGAGCATAAAGCTTACCTGCGTTTTCTCTTTTGCAAAATAGCAAATAACCATGAATATCGTCACTGGGATGAGGTTGTAGGAGAAACTCAACCATTGATTTATTTGAAAAGCAGCCACAAAAGCACCCACCAGCATGAGGAATATGGTTCCGGGGCCCAAAACTGAGCCGACCAAGAGGAAACCCTGCGGGAATGCAAATAATGATATTATTTAAACAAGCAAAAAGGCATAAGAAGAAAATGGTTTTGTTTAACCCTTAACATAAAGTTTGAATATTTGGAATATTTATAAAATTAAAAAACAAAATCGAGTTTTATTAAGAAATCTATTTATTATTATTTTTACCATTTACTTTTTAGTTGGTGTATGCAAAATACTAAAAGTGAATTTCTACACTGATATTTCACTATGTAAAAAATCGATTTATCATAAAATTTGGAAGATTTTTTTTCTTTAATGAAATAACAATTATAAATATCATTTTATCTGTTTGAAAAGTAACAGTCTAAAAGTATTTTAAATGTTTGAAAGTAACTTATGAATAAGCTGCATGGAAATGTTTATAATGTTTTTGACTCATAAACGAACGGCTTGTTAATTGATTTTTTCTAGTTGATAAATATATTATATTACCTGGTAAATCATGTAGAGGAAGGAGAGGTTGTCGTTCATTTTGACGGTGCGTTTGTAGTCTCCGAGCAGATCCATGATATTGGCCATGGTCGAGGGCACCCATCGGCGTCTCTGGTTGTAAAATTCGTTGAACCCTTCAGGACAGTGTGTGAAGGCGTCACTCGCCGCCGAGTACTCCACCCTGTAACCGCGCTGCAGCAGCAGGGTGCACAGCCATCGATCTTCACCTGTGAGCAAAAAGTAAAACACGCGTTAACTCTTATTTACGATTGGTTTTACTTGAAACTCCGAGCTCATCGGTTTTTGTTCATAACATGATGTTGACACATTTTGTCAAAACTTGTGGTGTTTGCAACTCAACATGACGCATTTAAACAGTGTGCGCAGTTTTGGCGTTATGCAAAAAGAAAATGTGTCCTTGTTGGTAAATTTTCAACTGTGATATTACTAGCGCGCTAAAGATTTTTTTTTTTTCATTTTCAAGCTTATTAGATTTATATTTAATCCTTTATTATTGAATTAATAATTTACGCTAAGTTATTCTAGGCAATATTTGTTGCTGACTTTTTCATCATTTTTATTTTTTATTGTATGTGATTCAACAACAATTAAAAATGTAGCTTTGCACAATATAAAACATTAAATTATTTCAAAATCGATATTCATTAATAATATTTGTTTCAAGTTATTATTAATTTATTTAATTTATTTGATTTGTTAGAGTTAATATTTGCAAATTAAAATGTTAATTAATTTTAAACCCACTTAAAAGACAATCAATGCTACTTAAAAGTCGTATTTTAAATTTAATTTTATTAAAATTTAATAAATTTTGTCTATCTCACCCTAAGCAGCATTTTATCAGTTCAAACATCCTTAAACGGCTTGAGAAAAAAATTCTCCAAAATTTTGCATTTTGAAAGTTTATTCCCACAACTCACCTTGATCGTACTGAACATAATGCCTGGCCTCGTCGGAGCGGGTGGTATATTTCCGCATCACGTTGTCGTCCATGAGCGCCTTTCCCCTGAAGAGCGAGAAGCAACCCGGTGAACAGAGCACGCAGCCGATCATGTGTTCCGTGGCCTTTTGCAGCCAATGTCCGACGGCGTACTCAAACTTCTGGTACCAGACCATCGCGCCGGAGCCGATGGGGTGAATTCTTCCGCAGGCGGCGCCCAACTGTTTGTTCTTCTTCATCAGGTCGACCAGCAGTTGAACAGAATTGGGCTGGAAGTCGATGTCGCCGTCCAAGGCAAGCAGGTATGTGTTTTCGGCAATCACCTCTTTGCGTTCGGCAGGAATTCTCTTCTCCATCAACCGGTGACCCAACAAGTAGTACATGTACATGACCTTAAATAACGTTGAATCAAATAATTATACAATTAAGCAATTTTTTTTAATTTTGTTGCGTGATTGATATTATTTTGGCAAAGTAAAGCGTTGATGTCATAAATAAAAAGAAAAAAGAATATACAATTGATTCAGTTTTTTTTATATTTTATTATTAAAAATCAAATCATTCAATTATTTTGAGGTAAAAAAATTCAGGGAAACCCCAGAACTAAACTATACCTGGTAAAGATAAAGAACGTCGGCATTTGGTGCAGGGTTAGCGTTTGATCAGTATAAAAATGTTGCGTGAGTGTTTCTGAGAATCCCTTGAGAACAAAAATTGGTATTGTGCAGTAATCATAGAATTGTGCAAGCCATGCGATTATTGACCTTCTCTGCAAGTCCACAATTTAGATCATAAAAAAATGGCTGCGAGATGAAGTTTTGAAAAGCGAAATCGTCAGCTATTTTTAGAGATTTTCGACAGTATATTTATGTAGTTTTTTTCTTTAACAAAATCAACCAAAAAATAAATTTTTAAATTCTCAGTTTTCAAGTTGAAGAAATTTTCCACTGATTTTTGTAATTTGCAACATGCATTCAGAGCTGTTTTCTGTTAAAGAAAAGTTCTTTTCTGAAACTCGATGCAACTCTGCTTTTAAAATTATTTAAAATGCTTTAATGAGATAATGTACATAAAAGTAGATTGAATGTCCAACAAGAAGTTTCCTAATCTAGTAGCAACTTAATCGTGTAATAATGTTTTTTAATCCAATTAAAAATAATTTCAAAGCTTGTACAAAAAACTTAACAAAGTTCTTCCACTTTGAGATTGCGCTACCCCCACAGTGTTCTTTTAATTCCGTTTCTTACATTATTTTCAGGGAGAGATGATGAATAATGTTTTCCTTCCAATTATTTATTTTCTTCTGAAGAAAAAAGCATAATCAATTACCACCAGAGCAAAATTCTTGTCAACAACAACAAATCAAGACCTGAGTAAAATTTTTTATCATCGTTTGAAGGGAGGTTCATAATTGAGAGAAATGGAAAATTAATAAATCCATTAATGAAAGTGGCCCGGACATACCTGACTCCATCGCTTCTTGTGTCTGATTTTATTTTTATCCTTCAGGTGGGTGATGAGCTTCGTTTTTCCAGGCAGCGTCCAAATCAATTTGCCGCCATATGGGGTGGGCACTTTTTTGGGCGCCCGCAGGCGGACATGTGTGTTGTGCACGTGACTGGCTGCTTCGTCAATAGTGCTCACCAGGGTTTTGACCCACGCGTTGACCAAAGGGCCCTCTCTGTTTGCATACTCGTATTCCGGTAGGAAGGCGTCGTCAAAAAATATGTGCGCTGAAAATCGCCCTTGCGTTATTATTGTCCTCATGGAAAATTGGCATTTCTGACTCAAGTTTTTCCTTGCAGGAAAATCAAATCAAATTATTGTAAATTGCTCAGAGCTCCATATTAGCTGCATTCCACCTTTTACAACACGAATTACACGTGGCACTTAGTCTGTCTATAAATTTCAGCTTTTCTCAAATTAAGCTTAACGATAAGTGCAAGAATTTTTTTATGTGCAAGGTGCATCATCCTTTTTGGTGCATTTGCAAACTATAAAATGCACAAGATAATTTAAGAATTTATAAGAGACGTCTTTCCTTTGTGTTCTGCACTTGTGCTGCAAGTTTGCCCTCGGCTTATGCATTTGCAAAATGTTATATTATTATTAACTGGATGATTGAATATGAGAAAAATGTTGAGACCGACTTAAGTGTGGTACTCACTTTCAAATTCGTAATAGTCGGGATCAACAATCTGTAACCACTGTTGAGCCATCCTTCTCGCTGACTGGTCTTCGTCCATGCGGAAGATGGACTTGAGTATCTCCATCATCTCTTCTTTGGTCTCGTGCCACATGGTGGCGCAAGCATAAATTCGAGTGACGTGGTCATTCGAAGGCGATCCGTGGGCAAAGATGTCCGACGCGTTGGACGAGACAGATCCATTATCTGCGAATTCTTCAATAGGCGGCTTCTTGCTTTTTTCTGGTATAATGTGCTGGTAATTTATTAAAATTACGGTTAATTTAGGAGTTTAATTTTTAGTCAGTATGGAAAGAAAGTGTTAATATAATTATTTTATTAAATCAGAAGATATTAAATTTTTGCCTCTCAAAAGGTATATTATTTGTTTGCCAAAATTTATTGTGTTTCAAAAATGTCTGGAATGATTTTGACCTTAATAACATCCTAGAAGAACGATATATCGTGAAAATTATTTCAAAGAGATATAATTGGCCTCCGCATGAATGCCCGTTACCTTGGTGAGCGCCTCTTCAGAGTCGTCGATCCTCCTGTTGAGGGCTAAAGACTGGTCAATAAGGAGAGCACTGTACATCGGAGTGACGAACAACTTCTCGGTGCGGGCCAACCTTTCGCATTTTGGCCACCATATGTGTGCGGTGAACCACGCTTGCGATGCGAGCCAGATTAACCAAATCCAAGCGTGCTGCAACAATTAATTGTCCATTAATTTCAAAAGCGATTAAACGCAGATACTGCGTCCATTAACTTGCATGCGTTGCGTGTCTGAGCATAGATTTATTAAGTCTCGTTCTTTTCATTTCACAAAAAGATTGGCAGCATTAGTGATTTAATTAAGGAGAAAAAACGCATAAAAAACAACTGCTTTATTAAGTCCATTTAGTTTTAATTTTTTTTTATCATTCTTCACCATTTTACAGTAAAAATTCAATGTTAAATTTTTCAGCCCATTATTTATTAATTTTCAATTTTTTTTATCGTTCACATAAAAAATAAATATAGAGCAAAATAATATAAAATTAAAGCTAATTGGTTGTAGCTCAAATTCATGGAAAGCAAATTACTTTTAAAATGTTGATTGGTCAGAAGCCAGAAATTCTAAAATTAATTAATCAGTCAATTTATTCAAACCTGGTTAGAAAGAAATTCTCCAAGATAGTACACCGGTGGCAGTCGGAAGAACAGGTAGTCGGGGATAACATTGTGGAAATAGCACGGGTCGATGGTTTTCAGTCCGCAGAGCACAACGGCCACTGATAGGGTCATGGGCACAGTGATGGACACGGCCAGTGCAAAACTGAAACCCTGAATCATGATGCGGCACGCGTACTTGGCCGAAATGTAGCAAATGTGTGCGGAAAGGGCCTGGATCAGCAGAAGCCACAAAGGCGAGACGTAAGTTGAGTCCACCTCAAAAAACTCAATGTTGGGCTGCGGCTGCTCTGTTAAGTTACGAACCTGCGGCAAAAAGATAAGTTTTATGTCCCTACTTTTTATCAATTACGTGAGACTTGGCCAAAATACAGGATAGGATTAAGTATTTATTTAAAAAAATATTTATGTCATTTATGTTATTATTTAATAATCTCACTTTACACCAAAGTCACCAAATATATTTTTGTTATGGACATTAAATTAAATAAACCCCCCTACTAAAATATATGAATTTCATTGTTCTTATTACAACAAAGCAATGATTTTAAGATGCATTAAGAATTGAAGTTAGTATAAAAAAATTTAAATGACGGAAAAAAAAGTAAAGCCATAAACCGAAGCCTGACTTTTTTTACTTTTTTCATTCATTATATTGTTTGACATAAACTTAAAAGAACTTCCTGAGAAATTGATTTAATAATGCTTTCCAAAGTCTTCATTATTGAAATTTTCCTACTCTCTTGCAATGCAAGTATCTTTGAACTCGTCATTAGTTTTGTAAGTTGTAAGTCACAGAAAGGAACGCACAAGTTGATCTGTTAGAGGTATTAGTGATACTTTGCTTGGTTGCCAAACATCAAATTGTAACTTAAAGTGAAAAGCGCAATATTTTCCAAATATCAATAATAATGAATCTTTCCTATAAAAAATGATGCACTCAAATTCTTTAAAATGTATAAAAAGGCAAATAAATATACAAAACGATAAATTTCACGTGATAAATTAAAAAAATCCTACTAAATGTTTTTCGAGTCATTAATGATATTTTTTAATGAATCAGCCCTTACCTTATGAAATTACTTAAGACGGAGAAAATATAATAAAAATGATAATTTGAACAAATCCTACCTCCATGACTTGTATTTTGTGCTCGTAGAAGGCAGGTCCAAAATAGGAGAAGAGATCATTAGCAGACGCCTCCTTAACGGCCCAAACCACTATCATTGTCACAAAGAGGACGATCATTTTCCACGCGGAGGCGAACAAGTACGTAAAGTAGCGCCACTTTTTAGCACGTTCTTTTATTTCGGCAATATAGCGGACGAAACCTATAATGATCAAAGGATTGTCAACTAAACTTAAACTTCTTGGTAACACAGTGGCTTCTTTTAGAATTCAGTAGAAGCAGTGCAAACTTGAGCTTACCCAAGGCAGAGTTCTGGCTGACAAAGTTTTCCCACCAGCCGAACGAGACTAAAAACAGCGCCAATGGAATGAACCATAGCGAGCCTCTTTTTTCGTTTTCGACCAGGGGCCAAATTATGAAACCAGTGACCTGAGCTGCCAATGCCACGATGTCGATGGCCACCCTGATCATGGTTCTGTTCACTGAACCGTGCTCTGATAACAAACCTAGAAATTTGGAAGCAAAATTTTTAGCAACACCAACAATATTGGCTTTATAATTTTTGATTATTCAAATTCAAAGGTAAATTCTAATCAAAGTCTTTATGATAATAACAATTATTTTAACGGGTTCTTATAATTATTCAAAAGTTAGAAAAAATCCAAAGAGAGAAAGATTTTACATTTATGCAACCTGTGCGGCATGAATGCTGCACAGGTTGCTTTGAAAAATTAGGAAGGCTCTCTTATCTTCATTTTTGCATAATAATGTTATGCATGGGAACGTGTTCCTGAGAGCGGAAATCAAAACAAAGGCAAAAGGGAAAATTCTGCCACAACTGGGAGCTTGTAGTGTTTGCATACCTAGGATGCCTGGCACTACACACACGCAGTTCGTCAGCATGGCCGCTTTCAAGATATCAAGTTCTGGGAAAACAACAAACGCAAGGATGCCTATGCCGATCGCATGAAGAGTTTCTGCAGACATCACAAGTAGAAAATCGCCCAGGGGTGGTTTTTTGAAACTCTTGAAGACGCACATGCGAATTGATCGCATAAGCGACAGCACCTCAGGAACAATTAGGGCGAAAAAGAGCGCCCAAGTCCATCCTACTCTCTCTACCAGGGGTAATTTCGCCACATATCTTTTTTCCGCAGCTGAAAATGAGAAATTTATTTTTCATACAAAATGAGGAAAAATAATAATTTGATTATTTTATAACATTAAATTCAAGTGACAAATAATGCAAATGAAGTTATCACCTGCTTTTGTATTTTAAATTACAGAGTTATATATTATGTTCTAGACAAGGAATAAATTGAAGAAAATTTAATAAAAAAATAGCATTTATGAATCGTCATTTTATTTTTTATCATAAAAAGTTTATAAATCCTAGGAAATTGAAAATGTAAATATTATTTAAATTTTTTTCTATTGAAAATTTGGAATTTTACACCCGGAAATTTGCTATTTAGCCATTAAATTGACTATTAAATTGGAACATTATTATTAATTGAATAAAAGAAATCACAGAGGAAATGATAGCCCAGATTTAAAGCTATAATAACAAATTTCATTACATTTTTCACTTGCTACGAGAAACCCGGTTTCAATTTTTTCATTATTAAAAAACATTTATTTGTAAAATAAAAAAAAAATAAAAAAATGGAACTACTCTACCATACTAAATCCCCCATTTTTTGTGGCCACAATCAAAAAAATAAAATGAGTGAAAACTTGGAGACGTAAAATATAGAGTCGCAAAAGTTCAATCTCAATTTTACCGGAGCTTTGCATTTCACGCTTGGTTTACCAAGTTAATGCAGCGCCCCAGCCGAGGGAGGATTTTTATTCTTGGTCGTGGCAACTTAATTTAGCTTGGCAGCTCCCGGCTTTTTCACCTTTATAATATGCAAATTTTTTAGCGGATGCCTCAAACGAGCGGGGATATATTATTGAAAGCTCTCTAGCGTGCGCCACAGATGGGAGAAAGTGCAAGCAATTTGTTATTTACTCACTGTTGCTAATCTGCTTGTAGCAAAAATCGACCTGCTGCGTTCCGCTGGTTTGCGCCGCCATGAAAAGGATGGTCCCTTTGGCAAGGACACCGCATCCGAGCACCACCAAAAACACAATTATGCAGATAAGCAGTTTGACCCAGCGAAGGATGAGGTTCATCGTGGCCTCGCTTTCGGCCGCGCTCAGGTCTTTCTGAGGCGGCAACACGCGGAACAGGTCCCATGCTTTCAACTCCGGCGTCGGCCTGACCAAAATATTTATTAAAAAATTAATGAGCGATTTAGTAAAACTCACGAATTGGCTGTATGACCGTTTAGTGAATCGGTCTCCTCGTCCGAGTAATTGTTGTGCTCATCGTCAGACTCAACGGGGGCCATCATTGCAGCCATTTCACGCCTATCGTTATCAAAATAATCAAGTTTAATTGAAAAAAAAAACAATCCTCTCCATTTAATGATTTATTTTGTGTAAAGTAAATTTTTGAATGATTAAACATTGAATGAATTTTTAAATAGTAGTTTTGCAAACATGAAAGCTTACTGACATTTTTTTTTTATTATTTCTATTTGTTTTTAATTAAAGGCTAAATCAATCTAACCATTTGATAAAAATAAACATACAAGAAACCTTCAGCCACCGATTTTAAGCAAATTTGCACGCACATACTGACATAATATAATATAATATAATTAGTATAGCGAATCAAATATTATTCAATTTAGTTTGATGTATCTCATTATGGACAGTGATTGCCTCTGTGATAGATCGGTAAACATTATTATAATTATTTATTTTATTTATTTATTTATTTTTGCTCTTCGATCAAGGGTTTATTGATTGTGTTTGAATTCAAATTTCGCTTTTTCGGCTGAAATACGAAACAAAAGAGAAAAATAATTTAGACTTCTGTCAATTTCCGCCAAGAATGGATTAAGGAACGTTCAAAAACATGCGAGACGTATTTTCTTTCTGACCTAAATTGTTGTATAATATATATTTTTTTCATTTCAATTAAAATAAAAAATTAATTAATATAAATGTTGGAAACTGTTTATTTTTTACAACAAAATTTGGATAATGTTTTTTTTTTTCTTTTTTTTGCGAGAAAGTTTAATGTTTAATAATTTATAATGCATAATGATGTATTGCGGAATTTAAATTGATCAAACATGCATGATTGAATCGCACAATTATTTAAGTAGAGCTTTATGTGATCGTTATTGGATTCGTGATTGCAAATTCATTGAAATCAGAAATAATTAATCAGAACTGTTCATTGCATTGGTACTGAAAAGGGAAAAGGGTTGGGTTTCAACCAGAGGAAAGTTTATTGAAAAAAGGTGAAATGCCGTTTTTAATTAACCTCTCAATTTTCCGTGTTTTTAATGCATTTCCGATGAGCCTAAAAAGCCCAAGGCACAGTCGAATTCAAACTCATTCCATTTAAGCGCAAATTGGCTGCTCTTTATCGGCCCGCTTTCAGCGTTATCAGCGCGCATTTGCTCATTTGAGAGTGGAATTATGTCGTTATCGCTTGAAATAATGCACAAAAACCATATCAAGTAGAAGCTTTCAGCCTGTTGTTTGACGTCAAAATAACTCAATTGAAAATTTTTGTGTCGCTGTCAGAATAACCTTTCACAAATTTGTCACTTTTTCCTTCTTCATTGACTGCAAAGGTGTGATTTTGACAGCAGCAAATGGCAGCAAATAATTTTATTTGTTACACGCGTCCGTCACAAACGTTTTTGCAACACACACTCAAAAATATGTGGGTGCGTCCATCCCATCATAATTGGCCTAAACAATTCCTGTAATTGGAGTTTGAAGTGTGATATCATTTTTATCGCTTGTTCGTTTACGATGCATAAGGCCCTGTAAAACTAGTAAAACATTTTTACTAACAGGCTGAATATACATTGGAACTATTTCTGACACAAAAAATTCTGAGATATTACATGCTGGATGGATGGAAATAAAATAATTTTCAGAAATAACAGCCTTTAAAATAAAATTGATAGATCCTTCATAATCTGCTATGGGAGGATTGAACCACCCTCCAGTATTTTTCCAACCTTTTTGTTTCTAAATGAAACCAGAATTTATCTATTCATCCTGGCTTAATTATTTTTTAAGAGTTGTCTTGTTTGTAAAATCCGAAATAAATTTTGTATGTATCAATATTCAATATTTTTGTATTGATTTTTCATGTCCACCTCAAAAAGCTTAAATTAATGAGCAAAAAGTCTTCCAATTCTCGTAAGCGTTTACAAAAGACGACCGGGTTTCTTTCTAACAATTTTTACAATCAAACAAAAAGCTCTGAGCAGCTTATGTATTATTCTCTGCTATTATTATTTATACTTGATTGATACTTATCGGTATAGAAAAATGTCAGAGCTAAACATTTTTAATTTTATCCACTGACAATTAGAAACACAAATGATGCTTATTTCTTTTGAAGTCTGCCAAAACCAAAAAGGAATAGCATGAAAAGAGCAAAAATAATTATTTTTAACTCTTTGACTTTCAGATTTCTGCACAACACCTTCCTTAAAAATATTTGTGCTAAAAATGAAGTATAGCAAAAAAATAGAGAGTCACTATTTTTAGACGATGACAACGATTCCACTCCAAAAAATAAAAATATCAGCGCAACATGTTACCTTATAAAGAAGGCAGCCGCCTTTTAAGGGTGGAAAAAGCCCAGCTGAGTGGCAGGAGTCTAAATCAGGCGCTCGGAAAATTACAGTCACCTGTCTTGCTTATCCTCTCTCGGAGGAAAAAAGTGGCCGTCGCCTCAGATTTGGGGCAGGTGGACAGGCTGACGGTCAAATCTGGATGGCGGCCGAGTGGCGAGTGATAAAGTGATGACAAGCTGACTGACGACACTCGGCCCTACACAATTCCCAATGCCTTATCTCGCTCAACATTTACGTCTATACGTGTTCCGCAAATCGCAGGATTGCCCAACAACGCAATGTGCATCATCCGGTAGATTTTGAGCGCTTTATCTAAAAACAGCTTAATAAATACCCGCCTGTCCCGTTTGACATTGTTTGCGACCGAATTAATATCACAATAAAAAGATTAAATAATAATTTTTTCTTCTTTGCTCTGCGAATTGCCTCACTTTAATCAGCAATTAATTGCTTTCTGACTACTTTAAAGAGAAGTGCTATTTTATTACTCTCTCCATTAAATTAAAAATCTTGTTATAACAAATAATGTTAGAGAAGTGTTGAATCTGGTGGAATATATCATTGAATAAAAGAGCTACATTTTTCAAAACGCTCAGAATAGCACATGTTGCGATTTTATTTTGTTTAGGGAAATTAAAATTTTTAAATCATAGAGTTATATAAATTTCAATTAATATAAAATTATATAACATCAAATGCCTCTATACATTTTTTGAGATAATGCATAATTTATTATCTTGTTCGATCTTGTTAACTCCCTATCATATATTTTATGTTCTACGATGGTCTATGAATCATTGGTGATTTTAGGTGCCTGATTACGAGTAATTTAACTTAAATATAATAGAACAGGAAAAAGCACTGAAGATACTATTTTATTTTATAATCCTCTTTAGGGTAAAAATAAAATTATATCACAGTAGAAAAATTTCACCAATTTATATATATTATTTATTTTAATAACATTATTGTTAAAAGTTATCTGCTATTATTTCCCATATAATCGCAGTATAATCGTTATTTTAAAGATTATAAAACAGCACAATGTTTCGTTTTAATTTAGAAACAATATTTTCATCATTCATAAAAAAGTTTTTATTTTCCGTACTTCTTTTTCCCCAGTGCTTGAGTTCCATATAAAAATTATAGTTTTTATTTGTTGCAAAAAACATAATAATCTATACAATACAGACATTTTTTGTATACCTTGACACTGTATAAATAATAATAATCACTTTTAATGACAAAAGACTGCACAATACATTTCTTTATCTTTTTCCTTGAAGGAGCTTTGGATAGAATTGATATTATATTGATTGCGAGTGATCTGGAATGGAACATATCATTGGTTTCCCAGGTGATTTCTTAATAAAATTACTTCTTGCTATTAAAGTTAATTAAATTTGAATCAGATCAAGGCACCTGATACCTAACTTTTTTCAAATTACGTCATAGCAAGATTTTCAAATAATATATTAGGGGCTATTCTATCCAGTAGTCCTCCCAGAATATGGTTTTTTTTAATATGGCTCCTGGGAGGAATACTGAATAGAATTGTCCCCATTATGTTATAACTATGTGATTGAAAGAAAATTAAATTTAAACTTAATTGTGCATGTTTAATTTTTCATTTATTTTTGCATCATCCAAAGAGCGAGCTAATCACTTCAGTCCTGTTTTCCTCAACCTTGCCTTTCTTCTTTTTCTTCTTCTTCTTGTGCTCGGAATCAAGCTTCCTCTGAGGCACCTCGAAGCCTTCTCTCGGTTCTATTTTTTGCTTTTTCTCCAGTTTATGAAGTTTTTCGCTTCTTTCGAGACTCAACTGGAAGTGTGTCGCCTCCTTCTTGGCCTGCGAAATTTCTGTCCTCACTCTCTGTCGATGCACTGCCCTCTCGTATGCCAATCGTTCACTCAGATGCGCCCATTTAAACCTGTAAAAAAAATTTACTATTAAAATAAAGTTAAAAACTGTTACTCACAGGCTCAAAATTGTGAATAAATTTACATTTATTGTAGGTTAATTTGCAAACATGCCCAGAAATTTTGTTTCTTTTAATTTTAAAAGTTTTCGGCATTTCTTTTTTTATCTAAATAGCAATTTCGAACCTTGGAAGGTACTTAAGACTCCACATGTAGTCATAAAATTTGCTTTTCTTTCTGTCACACATTCTTTGGTTGTTGAGCATCTCTGCTGTCATTTTTGCTTTCCGTTTGCTTTTGAACTCGACCCAGCCTTCGGAAAAACGCCGAACTTTTTTAAATCTTGCAACTGAAAGACACACAAGTGATTATGCATTGGTTCAATTTAATATAAATTATCAAAAAATATGTAAAATACCTGCTCGCTCGTCTTCCTGCAGGTACACCCTGCCAATTTCTCCAAACTGGCCAAGCATTTCTCTAAGGATTGTGACGGTCATGTACGGAGGAATGGTGGGCATGAAGAGGATCCCCGTTTTATTCTTCTTCTCCGTGGCTTCTTCGGTTTCTTCAGAATCTTCCATTTCCTGGTCCTCGATGTCTTCCTCTTTAGAGGTTCCTTCGAGCGCAGTGCCTTCCTCCAATGGGCTCATTTTAAATTATTGTTGTGGTTTTTTTTCTAGAAGAGAAAAATTGATTTATAATCAATCTCAGTGTAAATGGTAAAATATTTTCTCAAAATGAATTTTTGCTAAATTTGAGAGAAACAAACGGAATTCATTCATTTATTTATAAAAACAGGTCAGGGAATAATTTAACTATTTTTACCTCTTAATTTAAGTAATAACTTTTCTTAAATTGTTACGTAGCTCACAATATTATATAACACAAAATTTAAAGCCCGATCAAAAAGAAATTAATCACACTGTTCTGTATTCGCAATAAAATTCCAGCAGAACAAAACTTTTAAAACTCCATGTGACTTTGTTTTGATTTTCTCTTTGCTCGCCTCTTTTTTTTTGCTGGCAGTTTTAGCAAAACACTGCAGGTGGCAGCACAATACATTGTACGCATTATTGGCCAGTTAGCAAAGTGTGCGGCCTGTGTGCGGCTGTCGGATTTTATAATTTTTCTTAGAAAATGATTTTTAATTCTTTTTTAAAATTTCACGTTTAATTTCAAATAATACTAGAGATTTTTTTTAAAATAATTGAAGAATAATAAATTTGTTTATATTTTTTAGTATAATTTTTTAATTTAATTTTTTTTTTGCAAATAAATTTAAATTGTATATTTAACATTAACTGACATCAGTTATTTGCATTATTGAGATCTTAAAAATAAAATTTGTTTTCTGATTAGTCAAAGGTTGATGTTGACTGAATAAATATGATTTTATGTAGTGACAAATTTTCAAGAAATCATTTTGAATCCGTTGCAAATAATATTTTTTGTAATAACATTTGCAGAGGCAATCACTGCCTCTTAAGAGATATATCTGAAAGAATTTCAATGTGAATACAATTTAATTTCATGGAGAGGGAAAAAAGAAAATTACAGATTATTACAATAAAACGGTGCTAGGCAAATGTAGGGAAATTACAAAATTGTAACTATACTTGCAAAACAACCGATTAAAAATTTAGACGTCCTGATAATCCCAACACCCCGTTTTTCTTTTTTTGCTCTTATTCCTGGAAAACTGCAGCTCTCTTGTTAGGTGTCAGAGCAGACTCTGTTTTCGCCTTTTAATGATGTAATTATTTACGATTATTACTACCATATATTAAGGAAATACCACAATCACCACATTTGAAAACTAAAAAGAGGTGGCCGTTTGCAATATAATGAAAAAAGAATTATTAAATTATTATTTTATTATGTATAGTTATATTTCTTTCAGATAACGAAATTTTTAATTAAAATTAAGAATACCGTCTCCATTCTTTTTATCATTGCTAATTTAAGTAAATTTTATGAGATGTTATCCTTTATGTTCAATTTAAATCAGAAGAAAAGATTTCGTATTTAATTAATTTGAATAATTTTATTCACTTGGCACCATATCAAAAAGCAGTTTTTGACACTCCCTGAACGACCTTTGCGAGCATGCAAAGAAGGAAGGAAGCAAAAACATCGCATGCGCTCAATTAAAACGATTAAATTATTTTGCGGGGACTGTAAATTGGAGGTAGCTAAAAAAAACAGCGATGCACTATATTTGCAGGTGGCGTACGTGGACACACCTTCGATCGAAGTGTAAAAGATAAGCTCGGGAGGGTCAACAAATTGTTTGAAGGATAATTTCGCACTCCAGAAAGCGAGAGAAGGTCAAATTGATACACTCGGCATCGCTTTTTTTAATCAGCATCTCGCTCCTCGCCACACACCATGCGTCAGCAGCGTGCAGATCAAAGAGAAATTCTGCTCAAATCGGCTCCATGCTCATCGTAGATCAAATAGTCAAATTGAAAGATAGTTGAGGCGCACCCAGTCCAACTCACTAGACCGTTTTTTTATCAATGTAATATTTAATATTATATGCATGCTACAAAAATTACACGTGCCAAAAGCTTCATTCTTTTTATTTCATTTCTTGAAATTCCAGAAATTTTTGGACTTAATAATTTTCACCATTTGTATGGAATTTGAATTTAATGGAAAATAAATGAAAATAAAATAGCGTTAGGTTCAAGGCTAGAAAACTCCCCACTCACAATCAGGCACAAATGTTAACTCAATTTATACTCTCTGCTCTCATGTCTGAGCAGTTACAATTAGACTTATTACTGGAATCTTGGTTAAAATCAAGTACATATATATCATATATATTTAATTTTTTTTACTTAATTTTATTGTTCCGACTTTAATCTAACGCGCTCGCCAAACCGAGACAAAAACGAAATCTGGAATCTTTGTGAAATTCAAAATTTTATTTTTTTTTATTTATTCCCAATTTTATTAAAATTGGTCTTTGTCAATATTTCTAAAAAATTAGCTTTCTCCAATGTTACTACAATTGGCTTATACTAATTGGAGAGGGCTTATTTTTATTAATAAAACTTCTTTTGTAGTAAAACTTCTTGTCTGATTTTGTAAATTTGATCAGCTGACGGTGCATCACCATGCTTCCTTATAAGGAGCGAGAACAATGAATGGGGAGTCTCTTGATCTCTTTCCAGCGTGCTGCATTGTCACGTGGCGGCTGCGGCACCGCACTTATCCCCACTGTAAGTTTCCGGCCGCCGAGAGGCTCGTTCGCCGCGGCCGTTGGCTGACGTAACTCTCAACATTTTTACTGTCAAGTCCGCTGAGCTGCTTTTTTATTAGCCCCGTGTGCATCCACACCACGATGCAGCGTGAAAGGTGTGAACACGTGACTGAAGGCACGTCTGTCTCGGTTGCGGGCCGAGGACTCCCCACGTGAGCTCACTAGACTTGCACCATCGTTTCCCAGAATGAAACCACGAGAAGCGGCTCGTGTAACCGCGTCCGCGAGAAGAAAGAGGCGACTAATTGCCATCCGTCATTCATCTTGCCCCGTCGTCGCTGCCCCACCGCGTCATTGTCCTGATTTGCAACTAAATTCGCGCTCCCTCGCTCTTGACCATTGCAAATAATAGGGAGGTTCATATCAGGCAAATGAGTCATCTGCTTTAAGATTGCTAACAGGAAGATTTATTTAAATAAATTTTAACATAATATGAGACAACAAAATTGGCAGATAGTATTGTGGCAGTTTCATTAAACATAATAATATAGAATTTGAAAATTTAAAATATAAAAAACGAAAGTAAAAAAATATAATTATATAAATATAATATAATGATGTGTGGAAAGAATAAATTTTTAACATACGTTATAAAACTGTTGATAAAAACATTATAAAAATTTAATTTTTATAAAAAATAAAAGTGATAAAATATTTGAATAAAAATTATAAAAAATGAAATTTATAAAAAAACTTTAAATTTATATATTTATCAGATATTAACTGTGTTTACATGTCAAAAAGGTTTTTTGTACGTAGATTAAAAATGTGCTTTATAAATTTAAATAAATATAATTTAATTTGAGTACTTCAATTATCTCGAGAATAAATTTGAAACTAAAAGTAATAATTCATCATAATAATTTAAATGTAAATTATTCTTTCTAAAAGAATCTTCACCATGACTCATTTTTCAAATGCCGTCAAAAAATTGTATTTATCATCTTCAAGACTCGTGGACAAACCGAACCACCTGGACAGTGTCCAACTGCTCGAATCACGCGCTAGGGCTCTCCGTTTATATAACGCTCGGTCATGTGCTTGCGTTCCTCTCACACATCATCGCATGCAGCCTCAATTTAGTTTTGGAAACACCCCTATGGTATCTCGCCTTAATAAGGATTCACTCATTCTAACAGGTGGTGCGCATTTCGAAACGCGATCTGATCAAAAAAGGAATCAATTGTGTAGTTTACGATACTTAAATTAGAATTTCTCTTTCCAATCATATATGCAATAGAAGTGCAGAAGGCAGGCCTTTCCTTGGTAATAAACTTTCGAACCTTGGAAAATTTACGAGCACGTGTGTAGTGCATGGAACGACGAGATTGTGATATTTAAACAATTTTTAAAATAATGAGTAAATTAATTAAGGGACCAATATGGCCAGAACAAAATTAGTCTTTTCTTCACTGGACGAAAATACACCTGCAGACACTCCAACCTAGACTTGATTTTAAACACCTTGTTTTCTAGTAAATGTCCGTTAGTTTGAAATTTTATAATTCTTAATTTATAATATTTATTGATCTTACCGAACATTACCGAAAGATATTTTTCTTGTTGGAATCTTTTTCCCCTGCGACTTTTTAATACTTGCACGTTTTTTGCCTACATTATTATAATTTTTTTATTTTTAATTGTACAAATTTTAGTCTTTAGATTCGCCAGAGGAAAAATATATTGTAAGAAGTCTACTTGCGGGTAAAAATGTGTCTGAATGATGATTCTGCAGGTTTTGTGTGTTTCGGCTATACAGACATAGCGATCCATTTATTTTTCTTTCAAACTCGAAGCCAGACAGTAAAATGCATTTAGGTCGTTGACTTACTTTGCTGTTTAAGCACGTCTGGAGAGCGACAGTAATTAACAGCGATAACAATAATGTCCATTTGGGTGGGTCAGTTTACTCAGTTTGCAGCGAAGTGGATTAGTGATGTAGAGAGGCGCACATTGAAGTGATCGGTAAAAAGTTGCCTCCGTTTTCCTTTGGTTTTGCCCTGCGACTTTTCACGTTTTCTTCGTTGACGTCTTTAGATATGCGCGTCTTCTTGTTTAAATTTTGTGATTAATTTCAGCACGTACACACCTTTTAAATTTCCCCATAGCCTCGTGCTGTCCTGTCGTGCAAGTTCAGCGACAAGGAAAGTCCTGCGATAATTGCGACCGCTTCTGGGAATTTCGTTCCTTGCATCTCGAATTACAATTAATCGATTTGTATGCACTGCCTCTAGTATGAACAATGCAAACGGTTCAAAGAAAATCATTTAGAATCAATTGCATTGGTGTCATATATGCACTTGTATATCATCTTTCCTGTCAAAGGAGGATTGTATATGTTTTGCATTTCAATTCATTTTGCTAGAAAAAAATCACCAGTGAAGTAGATTTCTCTATAGTAATATTATTTAAATCTAGGCTATTCCAACTGTTCATGACACACTTACAATTAGTGCCTAACAATAATTTTTTTCGTTATTTTAATTAAATAAAATAATATTAATTGAAAGTATGAAATTACAATTAAAACTTTGATGTATCTCAAGGATTTAGCTTTAATATAATCGGCCGAGAACAACAAGCAGCCGAGAAGGCATTTTTTTAAAGTGGAATTTTTGGTTGGCGCCTCTCCTGCAATCCGGCCGATCACGTAGACCAGGCAGCCCTTGCTCCCTTGATGCGAGATAGACGCGGCTACGAGAATTATCTGCATGAATGTGTGTGAGAAGTACGTGCGTGCATCAAAAGCGATTTGAATTAATGTAGGTTGAAGAAGACACGACCATTGTACAAATTAGATAAGAGCTTTACGAGCACACTCAGCACACGCATTGAGATCGAGAGCGCCTTTTTGCGAACTAAGAGGATGAGCAAAAAAAAAAAAAATGGAAAGAAAAAAATTATCAACCCAAGCGATCTAATATTTTTTCATGTGGCTCACAGGTACCTTGAAGCTAACTTCAAATTAATTGCATTTGGAAGAGAAGATCACAAAATTAAAAGATGATTGTAAATAAAAATTTTGTATGACACACATAATTGCCAAAGTGGTTTGAATCATTATTTTTCAGGGTGAAGTGCCATTTTACTGGTCCCTCGATTCCCAGTATTGTCCGTGAACATCTTAACTCGTAAAAAGGTCTGTGAGATTGTGTTGCGCAAAAAGAGTCCCCTCGTGTTAACATAGTTACTGTTGCCGAAACATTTTTCTTGATTGATTGTCAGCTAAGAGCAGAGACCCTTCAATAAAAACCAACGAGACCCCGGCGTGAGTTTCATGGTGGAGCGAGCGACTACTTATCAATTAAGCTATCAGAGACGCACCGAGTGTAAAATGCGCGTAAAATCACATCTCGACAGCGATAATTCGTTATATACAGTTTGATTTATTAATTATTAATATTCAACAGGCACTTGCACGTATCAGACACTTGATTAAAAAATGGTGCTTTTTGTTTGCATTTCATTAAAATAATCACTGAAAATTTCCACATGCGCTATCCCTCTCATTATAATAATCAGCATGTTGTGTTGTAACCTTTTTGTATCTTCCATTCCATTTACTTGTTGGCGCTTTGATTTATAGAGAAAGTGCTTTATGCAATTTCTTATTTTTACCTCTCAAACGATTTATTAATTTTCTTACTTTAGAAAAACGGAGTAAAATTAGGAAATATTTTATTACGAATGCAAAATTATTTTGCCAGCACGCTTCAATTTTTCTTGGGCTTCACACTATCTTAATTTAACAAATTCATCATGGCTTTATAATTTAAAATTGAATGCACTTATTTTTTCTGCTTATGATTAAAATCATTATTATGTGTGAAAAAGGGTCTGAAGGATTTTTTTAATCCCTCATTGGGATGAGTTAAAAGAATTGATTATTGGGGAATCCCGACTCGGTATCCGAAAAAAGTAACACCGAAACGTGCTTTCTAGTCATTGTCCCTCTGAGCAAGAGTGATTTCAAAACCTCAGCGTGTACGTGGTGCTTTAACAATAAGCGCCGGCGATTAAGTTCCTCGTTTGATTTCTTCATTCGAAGAGCAAGACTATAATATCCATTACAAGTTCAGGTCAGAAATTGGGTCAGTCGGCTGTGAAAATGGCTAATTAGTAAAAGCACTTGCCGATCGATCTCGCGTGTACAAAAAAAACGAACTTTAAGGACAAGGCGCACAAAAAAGCAGTCTGCATTGTGAGGAGTAGTCGGGCGGGCCGTGGCACGTCGGACGAGAGAGGGGGCGCTTATAAAAGTAAGTGTCCTCGCGCTCTGCAGGAACAGTATTCAGCGAGTGGTCCTCCACTTCTGCGAACGTTGCCCGCAATTACTAATTTTTATTGCAATACAAAATGTGCGCCCGCACCATGCTAGAGAAACTGTCCGAGGACAAGGTGGCCGAGCTGACGCAAGTGCCACCTGAGCTGACCACCCCGGCGCCGCAGTTGCCGCCGCCGGGGAAACGTCCCAAGCGAACCCTGGACATCGCCAAGGTGATGGCCTCCGTGCCACGGGACACCAACCTGCCACCCGACTCCATTGCCCAGATGACGGCCTACACGAAGAAGTGCGTCGACGTCGCCTACACCTTGGCCGCCAAAGCTCAGAAGTCAAATTTCTATGTGTGAGCATAACCTTTATTAATTGACCTTTATATTATTCCTAAGTATTTACTTTCAGTAAAAATTAAAAAAAAAATATAAATTTTTAGATTAATTTATGGCTGGCGATGAAAAAAATTAATAGTTTATTTATTTAAAAAAAGTGTATTCCATCCTCATATAATTATTCTGAATTATTTTGTCTTATATTTTGATTGTATTCAAAATTGTGCTTTTAAAAAGGCAAAAATAAACTAGGAAAAACTAAAGCACTTACTTTTTATATTTTACAAAATAACTTAATTTAATTTGCAAATGATTAAATGATCAGACTACTATCAATTTGAAAAATTAGTCTCATCCACTCAGAATGTACTGTGCCTATAATCATGAGACATACTTTTCTCGTCCCTTAGCAACAATAGCGGAATGCAAAGAATGAGGCAATCGAGAAGTAGCTAAGGTCCGACAAATAATGCCGGCAGCGTCTTTTAATCCTACAATAAATCTGTCGGATTACTGCATTTTGGTTATTAAACGTTTTCCCTGCTATTAAAAAAAAATAGCTTAGCTTTTGCTAGAATATTTAAATGTGAAAATTCTGAAGAAAAACTAGTTAATTAAAATAATAATTTTATTTGATCCAAAAAATATAATAATTTGTTTGTGCATTCCAAATTTGTGCTGATTTTTATTTTATTCAGATCCAACCGAGCGCCAATCACGTTTTCAATCTTAAGAGAAAATCTCGTTTAATTGGTCTGGGTAAGGTTAATAAATATCCATGTGTCTGATTACAGAGTTTTAACTCGCACCACGCAACCAGCACACGCTATCCTGTTCTCCGCAGTGCTACTGGTGGCCTCGAGTCTCGCGCCCAGTCATCAGGGCACTTCCTCTAAGTCAACCTCATCAGCCCTTCTCTACTTAGCGTGCTTCGCTGCTCACTTTGGAGCGCAGCTCTGGATGACCTTTGTCTCTGGTGATTTCTTCCGCGCTATTATCGCTAACGGCACACTTATCATATGCGTTGCCACATTCGCAGGTCTTTCTCTCTACTTCTCGCTGCCCAGGCACAATTTTGGCGCCGTGCAGCGCGTTCTTTTCCCCCGATACTTCTCCCTCAACGCCGTGCTCAGCATGGGCACCCTGCTCGGGTTTGTCCGTCAACACCCATCCAGCAGTTGGAGCACCGTCCATAGCATACAGGTAAGTTCAGTAAAAAGTAAATTGGCGGAAGCATGTCGGAAAATTTCTTGATGGAAAAGATTAAAATTACAACAATTTCATTTTCATTGCTTTTCATAAATTTCAATTTACACATTATGAGGAAATTTGAAAATTCTACAAAAAAAAAAACTTAACATCTCTGCGCCTGTCTGTTAAATTTATATTAATCATTCTGAGCTTTAAAAACTTCATATTTATAATTTGTGAAAATTTAAAAAAAAAAATCCACTTGCATCAAAATATGACGATATATTCTAAAATAAGTTTATTAATTTCAGGGAGTTGTGCTTTCAGCCTGCTTTCTGGGTGAGCTGGCAGTGCGCCTGTACCTGACGGGGCCGCTCGTCTCTCTCATTTCTGCAAAAGAGGAGATCGAAAGCCGAGCCGGCCTTGGTTCAGAAGTTGGCCACCAAGCAATGGGCGGTCTGGTGCATTGCCCGCACTACATCCGCCTGCACAAGAGTTTCCGCAAGGTGCACTGCACCATTGCGATTGCCAACATGGCCTGCCTAGCCTCTTCTGCCTTCCACTTGCACTTCATTGCTCAGCAATTGGCCGCAGCCGTTTCGTGACACCCAACAACCCCTAGTTAAAAAATGAACCTGCATTTGCTTGGCCAAAGATTTGTGTTTGATCTTTGATTTGTTGCCACAAGTCTGGATATGAAGAGTCTGATTCATAGTTCTCTGCCCTCAGGGACTGATAAGCAAGATTATACCTGTAACCGCTAAGGTTTTCTTACTTTCTTAGGTCAGGTGATGCAAGCAATTGATGAACGTGTGGTTTGCTTGGATGAAAAAAGGAGTTTGTTTTTATTGTTCAGTAATTATTCCAACTCTGCGCTACTCTGTGTTACTTAAATTGTAGTCGATTGATTATTACACTAAGTATTTATTAAACAGGTTTTCGTTCTACCGAAAACATAAGGAAAAAAAGACTTGCAGTTTTAATTTACAACAAATCATCGCCTACACTCCTTCTCTCGAAAATATAATTACACGTTAAGAAGTATCCCACGGTTGTAGCAGTCGATTAGGTAGAAATGAGTGGCGGTTTCAATTTTGCAATTTTACCTTGATTAAGCACGAAAGTCTGATTGATGTTAAATCATCACTTCAGCACTAATGCACTCCACGCTGGATGGTGAGGTGGTGGGTTTTTCAGCTCAGATCCATCATGGTTGGCGAGTCCTGGCCTCCGGAGGCCATGGAGGAGTCTTTCTGAATTGACTCGAAGATTGTTAGCAGTTCAGGAGTTGTCTTTATAATAGTCACAAATTCTGCGAGATGAGGATTTTTGTCTGAAGCAAAAGAAAATTAGATTCATGCCAACGCACTTTCAAAATAAATGTACCTGCTGTGGGAATTGACAACAAGGCTGCAACGGCTCTCATGGCAGACCTCTTGAGCTCATCCTGCTTTTCGAATTCCTGTTTCACCGAATTGGCCTTCACTTTGGTTGTGCAAGTCTTTTTTAGGGGCTCGACCAAGTGCACAAGTCCTTATAAACAATAAATTTGGTAAAATTTGAATCATTTGAAATGGAAAGGATGGAGCTTACGTTGAAGAACAGCCGAGGGGCAGAGCTGAGACAACCTGGCGACCATGAGGTAGGTCAGCATTTTGATGTCATAATGATCTTTGAGTCCGTTCTGCACATGGTCGAGGAAGGCAAAAACGTCCAGTCTGTCCATGCACGAGTCCAGCAGCGTGTACATGCACTCAAAGGCAGCTTTGCGTATGTCCAGCCCATCGTCGACAGTGTGTTTAAAAGGACCCATCTCAACCTCACGAATGAGCTCTTTCTGCAGAATAAAGAGCATGATTTAATTTTTTTAATTTTAAATTTTCGACCGAACATGCCTTGACTTTGGTTTCTTCATAAAGTTGAGGGAGGGTCTCGTCAAGCAGATCTCTTACAAGTGAAGGTTTATTGTGTGCGGCAGAGTTAAAAGCTACAAGAGCCACTCTTCTCACATTCGGGTCCAGGTCCTTGAGCGCAGCCAGAAATTGGCCCATGTGTTGACGCAAAAGAGGGTCAATGGCTTGAGGCTGGAGAGGCATACAAAGATAAATTAGCAACAATTTGCGAGCCTTGGATGCCTTGGTTCATGTTACGTAATGTCGGGCGATACCAAGGACAATAAAATCTAAACTTAATTAAAATTTTCTTTCATCTGACAAAAAAAAAATTAAATAACAAAATTTATTTAAAAAAAAAAATTATTGCATTAAAACTTTTCAATATTCTTCAAATCAAAAATAGATATTTAATAATTATTTTAATATAATGAAAAAAAAGATACTATTTACTGGTTAAATTGCAAATATTTTGCTAACCTGGTCAGAAATGGTGAACTTGATAGCTGTGACGGCAATGGTTCTCATGTGAGCAGATTCGGAGGCCAACGACTCCCTCAGATGTGGCATCAGCGTGTCGGGATCTATGAGCGTGAGTTTGCCAAGACACTCGGCCACCACGTTCCTGGTTCCCTCCTCTGCGCACTCTCTGTATTCGTAGAGATACTGCCAGATGGTGGGCACATGAGGCTGCAGGGCCAGTCGGCCAGCCGCTGTGCTTGCCTGGTAGCTGATCATCTCCTTGAGAGAGTGCAGAAGCAGGTACTCCTTCCTAGGCTTGGCTTTCATTTCGTTCATGATTGTGCCCAAATAGTGATTCAAGTTGCCCGAGGCCACACTGCCCAGAGAGTAAGCAGCCACCGACTTTACTTCTTCCGTAACTGACGAAAAGGCAGAAAGGAGTGCTTCTGACACCTGTGGAATGCCACTCAAGTCCCTAAGGAAAATTATAAATGGTTTTTAATTCCATCTATTGCAATTGACTTTTTAAGTTCAAAAATTAATTTTAGAAGATTTAACAATAATTTCTTACAAAAATTCAAACTCTCTTTTGCTCTGTTCAAGTTAAAAAAGAATAACTGCATTAAAAAATCTAAAAATGGGTTGCAATTACCAGAAATTAATTTAAAAAAGTCCTTACTTGTGTCTTCCAATTTCTCCAATGGTATACATGTTGAAAATCCTCTCTTGGTTGGTGCCACCCAATTTCGTGTCGGAGGCCAACTGCATCGGGACATTCTGAGCTTCACCAGGTACAATCAAAGCTATGGCCGCAACACACTTTGCAAGAGAATGCAATGCCTGGTAATGCAAATTTTCGAATAAAAAATGTATCAAAGCATTTTAAAATTATCAAACCTGTTTGTGAAGGGAGGATGCCATCTGATCAGTCAAGACAGGCTGCCTGAGCAGCATGACCAGCTCGCAGAATCCTAAGCCGGGCAGGTTAGCCTGGACCAAGGCCTGGAAGAAGTCAAGCATGGAAGCGAGGGCAGCGCCTTGCAGAAGAGGACTCTTGACCAAGACCAAAATTTCAGGCAGAATTTCGCTGCCTATGTTGCCAAGTGCCAGAGGCAGGGTCTGTGCCACAGAGGTCAACAGGGTCAAAGTCAGCTGGGCAATGTGCAGATCAGACTCGCTGAGAAGTGGAGGCAGTTCAACAATCACAGCGGTCAGTTGACTCTGGTGCATGACTTTGTTGTAGCTTCGGACGAGAACGTCCAACAGGGTTAGGGTGGCCAATTTAAGGGCGCGCTGATTTTTGCGAAGGAATGAGCCGAGAATAGGCATGGCATCAACGAGCACAGGCTGCAGGTTAATGTGCAGAGGAGAACCAGCAACTTTTGTCAAAGCCTGAAAATGAAAAGAAAATTTCTGATTACACACAAGAAATTATTAAAATCAATCCAGATAGAAACAATTAACGAAAATTTTCATAATTATGCTCGGTTGAAATTTAAACTCTTAACAATGCTTATTGTTTAGTCCATAGCTTTCCAATCATGATTGATTTCCTTATTTATTGAATAATTACCTTCACAGTGGTGAGTCGTGTAATTTCGTTGCGCAGTCTGTCCAAGATAATAGGCAAGCAAGTGGGCAGCTCAGCTTGCAGGTAGTCGCCCAAGTTGCAAATAATCTGGCCCATGCAAGAGATGGCTCGTTCCTTCACCTCCTGATCTATGTCAGCAGCTCGTAGGCGTTGCAAGGTGCACTCATAGAGTTCAGCAGTAAATGGCTTGAAGTCGAAGTTGCAGTGACGGTCCATTGGTCGAACCACCTGCACCAACTGCTGCAGCACTAGCAGAGCCTCGGCGGTGATTTTGTAAAACCCATCTCGCACGGCAGCAATCACTGGGGGCAGCAAGGCAGGAATGTGCTGGTGGAACACGGTTGGCTCGTGCGAGGCCACCAGGCAGCTGATGAAGGATAGAGTGTCGATTTTCATGTTGCTGCTTGAGTTCTTGTCACTGCAAATAGAATTAATTAGCAAGTAAGCCCAATGCACTTTGAGATAACTTATTTGTAAACTAAACAGTTTTTTAAAGTTTAATACACACCCCAAAGAAAATAAAATTCCAGGAACAAGGGCAGGGATGTGAGAAGCAAGACAACCAGGCAAAACGACTACCAATTCTCTAAGCAAGGTCAGACAGTCCTGTCTCGTCTTGATGCTCTTTTCTCTCATTTGCTTGTGAACAGCTTTCACAATGGTTGGTACCTAATTTTAAAATTTAATTATGCTTTGATTCAGAATTCCAGTAACAAACTTGATTTTGGAGCAGAGTGATAGGGCCTTCCTCGGCATCCATGCCGTCTGGTTCAACGGTGACACTCTGAATTCTTCGGGTCTGGCGAAGAAGTGCCATGTAAGCATGGAAAATGTCGGACTTGACATTTTCTTCCCTCTCTAAAAATGCCAAATAAGTATTAAAAAAAATCCAAAAGAGAATAAGGTTTCAACAATGGAAAATAAAATAGTTGAAGTCACCTTTGAATCGGCTAATTAGAGCAGGTGACACGTCTGTGTATAAATCAGGCAACAATTCTCTTTTGGTGCTGATGACCGCTTCCAAGCACTTGGCAGCAGCACGGCGAACCTTCCAGCTCATGTCGTCGTCGTCCGAGTATTCCTCCTCTCCATCCTCGTCTCCACCATCTTCGTCTTCAGTCTCCATCGCACTGTCATCATAATCTGGCTCTTCCTCATAATTGTAATTTGGATCATATGTGATGTACTCCAAACACAAGGTTACAATCTGGAAATTTAAAAATGTAATAAATAAAAAGAGTTCAATAAAAATCTAAGTTAAATTTAAATGATTTTGAAGTTTTTCTCCATGAAAAACTTAATCAAGTCATTTTGAATTTAAATACAAGATTTTCAAGATTAGATGCATAATATCAATTAAATAGAATTTTCATTGTTTAATTTGGTTTAATTATAATGCTCCAGGTTAGGGGTATTACCGTTGGGATGTGAGGGCTGACTTCCTTCGGACACCTCTGGACAAAGGCTTCAAATGCCTGCAGACAGTACTCGCGCAACTCGTCGTCATCCTCTCTGCTATATTTCACAATCAAGGGCACCATTTGCTCTACGTATTCTCCAAATCGGTGTCCAGCTTGTCGACTAATAATTTTTTTTATAAAATTAGTAATGGCAAAAAAAGTATATTGAAGACTAACCAGATGGCGGCCACACACTGGATGTATGTTCTAGTGGTGCTGATTGAAGTGTTTTTGTCCAACTCCTCTTGCATCACCATCATCAGTTTTGTATACAGTGTAGGGTGGCATGACATAACTAGCAGGCCCAGAGCCACAATTGTTCTAAAAATTTCCATTATAATGAGCTATAGTATAACCTTTACACAAGCTAACAAACCTTTTGCGAACGGCTTGTCTAGGAGAAGCCAACTGAGGAAGTAGATTTTCCAAAATTGTGGAGTGGAAGTTCACTAGAAGAGCTCCAAACCTTGACAGTAGATCAGCCAAAATGTCTAGGGCCTCTAACTGGACAGAAACATCCTCTTGCTGTAGTAACGGAGAAAAATACATTTATTATTTGACCAAAATAAACTTAAAAAACACTTTACTTTGGCAATGGCTGTGCTAAGTCTGCCTGTGATTCTTTTGCAGACATTTCCAGCGAGTTGACTTGAGGCGAGTGGCAGTTCACTGATGACAGTCTTAAGGCCAATGCTAGAAATATCCCTGAGCTGCTCCTTATCCGACACCATGTTGGTGCAAAGACTGTCCACAATTGTCTCCACTTGATACTCTTTCACTTTATTGACCAGCGGCCCTAAGCTATATTTCAAAGTAACAATTAGTAAATTTTCAAAATTTACAATTGGACAAACCATTTGACCGCCAGATTCTGGACTTCTCCGTTCTTATCTTCAAGGAGGCGGAGCAGCATCTTGACAACTTTCCGCTCAGAGTCGTCGTCCAACTTGATGCTGTCCTTCTGCAGCTCGGTCATCAGGTCATTGGTGGCCATGAAGCGGAAGTCCTTGTCGCTGGACATCATCTGCAAAGCCGAAATTCAACGTGAGCGCGTTTTAAATGCATTTGGCGAGAGAGTGTGCGGCGGGCGAAAGCCGGCATCATGCTCTCGAGGAGAAAAGAAAAGACTCACCTTCTCCAAAAGATTGGAGATCTGGTACGAGACGCTCGCCATTTTTGCGCAGACCGATCTCGGTTAACTTCAAGAAGCCGGGCAAGAGTCTTGCTCCTCGGGAAATGAGTGGAAAATCTAATCAAATGCAGTCCAGCCGATTGTGTTTGGGAAATCAACTTGACAATGCACAAGCAGGCTGCGCCACTTACTGCGCATGTCTGAAACAAAGCGACATTATTTTGCGGCGAGTTTGAACTTTCACTGGCGGGAAAAAATGGAATTGGAGCTCGGCCTTATAAAATTCATAAAATTTTGTAAATTTTGGAGTGAAAATTTTTGTTAATTAAAAAGTTAAATGGACAGAATTATTAGGAAAATTAAGGCATTTGTTAATTTTATTGTAAGTAGTATTATTTCAAAAAAATGCGCTAGCATATAAAACGGTATAAAATAAAATTTAAAAAGAAAATAAATTTGTGCTTTTGGAATACTAATAATGTTATAATTATTAATTATTATGGTAAAATTAAATGAGACTAAACTTAGCCAAAAGTGTGAAGCAGGCCAGAAATTCGGAACTCACAAAAGGTCTTGTGGTCGTCACTTCATCCATGTTCCATGATGTGATTGTACTGATTGTTAAATGTGAGGATGTGAGGAACATATATAAGTATTCAATTTCATTGAATTAATTTCATATAATTTTATTGATTCACATCGATGCATGTTAAAATTTAAATTTTTTTAGATATGACGAAAAATGTATAATTGGCACTAAAAAATAGTTTAATAGGTTTAATATACCATTCAATAATAAAATTATTATTATCATTATTAATTCTATTAATCTATTTGAATTTCTTTAAAATTTTGTTTTAAAAAAGATTTTAATTGAGAGAAATTTTACAGAGCATTATGTATTATTTAAAAAAAACATATTATAATAACGCACTCACTTGAAAGCGAGAAATAAAAACTAGAGATTAGAGCTAAAACCTATGAATCATTATTTCAGTGAAAAGTGCTCTGGTGGGCACTGATATTAATTTATTTTTATATAATATCATACAAAAAAAGAAAAAAAGGATTTTTTAATTTATATTAACATTTATGCATCAATATAAAGTAAGCCCGCGCGCATCATGTTTATAAAAATATCTCATCAATTTCTCTATTAAAGAATTAGAAATAATCCAGTAAATTTTGATGAAAGGCATAAAATTTAAAAATTAAAAATAACCAAATATTAAAATATGAAAAATGAAAAAAACTGAACTCAAAATATTAAATGATTATTTAATAATTATATTATTTAAATTATTTTTTTATAACAATCATAACGCCGCTCATCGTTTCATAATAATAATGCTCTCAAAATACATAGAGGTGGTGGGGAGGGTCGATATCCCACCCAGCTGTTCAGTTTTGTGTGCAAATTTTTCGTCCAATGAGGGCGTATTCACGTGGCCTAATCGTTCTTCTGGACGCTCTCTACTTGTAAACAGCCTTGGAATTGGAGACTCGAAAATCCAGTCTTGGGTCTTGGGTTTAATACTCGCCATTCGCCATTCGGTCTCCAGCGGCCTCAAAACCTTTGGAAAGCGTCGTCAAAGTTGGAACTTTAAAATGAAACGAACCGGTGTGTTGCTGCTAATTATGGGTTTGGTTGGCCTGTCCAGCCAGCAGGGCCGAGTGGCCCCAGGGGTTCCTCCTCAACAATATAACCCACAGGTAAAAAAATAAATGAAGAAGTCCGTCCTACTTTTTATAGCAAAACCAACGCTCGTTCCGTGTATTTTTATTGTAGAAATATGAGCTAGAAATTTCAGGGAACTTCCATCTGTTTTCTTTCTGTTTGTTATGATTGATTTGGATTGTTTAAATAATTTATTTTTTAATTTCAGCACCACCAGCACATGAACAATCATCAACAGCAGGTGCCCATGCAGCATCACCAGCAAGTACCTGTGCAACATCAACAACAAGTTCCGGTGCAACATCACCAACAAGTTCCGGTGCAACATCACCAACAGCACCACCAACAAGTACCTGTCCAGCAACACCAGCAAGTTCCAGTGCCGCAGGTGCCAGTGCAACACCAAGTTCCTCAACAGCAGCACCAATATGGACAGCCCCAGGTGCCAGTCCATCACGCGGCTCCACCCCAACAAATCCTCAACGTAGCAAACATGGCGCAGGAAAAAGAGTAATTTATTTTTAGAATTAACAAATAACGTATAAATTTATATTTTTAATTTTTTTTTCTGAAATCTTAATAATGTTAAAATTTTAATTAATAATTTTTATCACGTCACTGTTTAACAATATTCCAATTCTATAAGGTGCTTTTGTTAGATTAGATAAGACTTTTTATGAATTATGAGCAAGAGAAACAAACAACTTTTACTGTTATGATTAAAATTTCAAATTTTCTCCAAACGATTAAATATTTCAATTCTCTCATTTTCGTTTACAATTTTTGTTAATGACTATAATGAAAAACTGATTGATAATTTTTTACAGCCACCTGAAAGAGCATTTGCATGTTCCTGTAGACACGAGCTCCATGAGTGACCAGGAGCTACAGTTCCACTATTTCAAGATGCATGACGCTGACAACAATAACAAGCTCGACGGTTCTGAGCTCATCAAGTCTTTGATTCATTGGCATGGTAAAGTTTTTCATAAAAATTCACTTTTTTGTGCTTCAAGTTCCTGAGTGTCTGCTTAAATGTTTTAAGTGTTTTCTACCTCTACTTACGTTTTCTACTTGATATTCCAAATTTCATAATCTGAAATCAAAAGCATGCAAAAAAAATTTAGGAGTTTAATCATTTTACTAACTGTTAAACAATTGATCAGGTAACACCCCTATGAGTTTAGTGAACAAGGAAGGTAAAGACATTTTTCTAATCTTATGATTAGGTAGTCCTTTTTTCTTTTGTTTTCCTAGATTGATTCTGGGTTTTTTTTGTACAATGATTAATTAAGTTTAGTGTTTGATTTTTTTTTAAATTTCAGGTTTGACTTTTTACAAAGATTAATTAAGTGTTTGGATTTTTTTTTTAAATTTTTGTTTGACTGCGTTTGCTTTTTGTGACGTCTCGTTTTGTCCTGCAGAGCAAGGCCATCACCATGATACTCCAGGAGCACCTCCACCACCTCCAACTGAGCAACAGCAGAAGATTTTCGATGACCAAGAACTAGTGAACTTGATAGACCCAATCTTGTCCATGGACGATGTCAACCGTGACGGATATATTGATTATCCCGAGTTTGTGCAGGCACAGCATAAGGCATCTGCCACACCTCAAGTCAAGGCTTAAATACTGTGTTTTTCGAACGCAAGGACTTTGTTGTACATTGTGAACGTTTTAGCGTACTTATTTGTCTGCAAACAACTCTCTTGTTTTGTGTAAGGATGTTGAAGCATGAGATTTTTAAAACTTTGTTACGAAGATAGATTGAGGGTAGCGGTTTAGTTAATATTATGATGGTTTAAGTCCAGCACAATGTTGAGACTGACCTTTAATTTGGCAAAAATTTGGGGCTCTGATCATTGTATGTATGAATAATTGTGCTGTTTTATAGTTGAAATGTCTCAGATTGAATCTTTCCCACTTTTACCTTTTTGTTGAATGTTCACAGAAAATCTCATTAGAAAAGATCGTGTACGCATTTATTCTCATTATATACAAATATAGACTAAAAATGTGCATCGCAACTTGGCGGTTTCAGTTGATCACGCGGATGAACATGTAAATGCAAGGACAAGCTTCACAGACCAGGAGCTAGTTGAAGCACTAGATTTAATGCTGACACGTTCAGACAAGGATGATGATGGCTACCTGACCTATGCCGAATACACAAGAAGTTTAGATGCAAATGCATAAAGCTCATCTTGTACAATATAAAAATTGAGAGCTTCCCAATTTCCCCTTATAGTATTACTGGGCTTTTTGTTTTTAAATAAAATGACACGATTTACATTCCAATTTGTGCGTTGAGGAAGTTTCATGATTTGTATAAATGATATTATCAAGGAAATAAAAATTGTTTTGTTACGAAAAATGGATGTTTAATCATTTACATTCCTGATTAATTGAGAAAGTGTTTGTATTTTAAAGTAGATAAATGATTATTTTGAATAAAAAAATGCACTTAAAACTGCTTGGAACTGAAATATTTAAATTAAATTTTAAGATTATAAGGTTAAGGATGAGTGTTGATTTAACTGGCGAACTTATTCCGTTGACTTGTAGTGGTCATCATCGATTGTTGTGTACAGCTGACCCTCGTTACAGAGGTCCATGATTATTTCCCTAATAAAGAGCAAAAGCAGTAATATATAAAGACTGAAATGACATTCAATATATCCTTACTCAATCTGCCTCGCAGAAAACTGTCCTGCGAAGTGGCGCACAATGAGATCCTTGCCAACTCCAGCATCCTCATTAGCACCCATCTCCTGAAATGTTGTTCATATTAAATGTTTCATTTATTAAAATAGGTGTTAAACTTGTACAGTAACAAATTGGTGGACAACTCTGTTGGGACTTCCCCCGGCATTGCCATTGCCAACACCATTCACCACATTAGAGGCTGCAGGAGCTCCGTTCGGCTGATGCTCCTTCGAACTCCTTATCTGTGCCTTCAGCTTCATGTGAGCTATTGAAAGGAGGTGTGTCGTAAGCTCATTGGCATTCTCCACCACGTCTATGTGCAAAACAAGCAGATTTTTTCTTTCTTCCACAGTGCGAATTGTACCAACAATTGCACAAAGGGTGTTTTCAACCACATTTAGCTTCTTGGATCTATCATCACCAGCATCCTGCAAAATCAATAAGTTCAATTTAAATTCATCCATTGAAAATCTAATAAAGTACCCCATCTCTCCAGGATACTCCAAGGATCGTTCCGGTGTCATCCTCCAGCAGATATTCAGTTTTCACAGAAGTGTCATTTATGCCCTTCACTCTGGCAAAAACTTTGACCTGTCGGCAAAGCATTATTAGCTCTGATGATTTGAATAAAATCATAAAAGTTGGATAAATAAAGATTGATTGGATAATTTTGAAGTTTATATCAAAACTCACCAAATTGATTTCACTTCCAGCAAAAACGATAGTATCTCCAGCACACTCAACGATTTGCTTGATAGTGACATTGCCAATCGTCTGCTGCTTTCGAGGCGCCTAAAATTAATAACCATTTTCAAGAAGACTGTCAAATGAAACTAAAACCGAAAATCCTCACATCTCTCTTTTTGTCAACGTTGGGAGAAAACGTGGAATCATTGAAAAATCCTCCCTCAGCATTTTGGCTGTCTGCAAAAATATGAATGTATCAAAAATGAATTCGACAACAAAGTGGGCGAATGGGGAGAAATCAATTAATAGAGTTTAGAGTTATGTGTCCTCTTGTAAAAAATCACTGTTACAAAAATTACGATATATTAATTAAGCACATATGATTTATTATAAAATACGAAATTAAAAATTCATCAACAAAATTATTCGAAATGATTCGAACAAGTGAATTTCCAGAGGGGTACACGTATGTATGATGTGAACTGCATTGTTATGTACATATTGTGTGCCTCGATTTTGAAAACGTTGCACGGTTTTCTTTGATGAATAATAAATTACCTGGTTGATTAAACATTGCGAATTCTTCTAAGACTGCAGGAAAGGTTAAACTCACAAATTTTTATACGCTATTTTGTCTGGAAAAAATGAAATTGCAGTGCCGGCAGTCGAATCGGCGGGAAAGGTACAATGGATTCTCAAGGCCAGAATGAGTGCGACAACAAAACGGAGAAAAATACCTGTAGCCATGTCGCTATTTAATAGTTTAAATTGATTTTTCCAAGAAAAAAATTATTATATAATTTACAATTTAAAAAATATCCTCTAAAATAACATCTGTTATAGATTTGAGAAACTCTCAGCTTGAAGAACCTGAGTAAATAAAATTTATTTTGTTGGTAATTCTTTGTTTTGTTTGTTGTTGTTCGCTGCCATCGCTGGCTCCGGCAATGCTAAATAAATTGAAAAACTCTATGGCAAAAGTTAATTGTTAAAATTTTCTTGAAAATCTGTTGCGAAAGGTAACAAAATAAATAAAATATTTATTTTAATCTCTGAAATTTCGTAATTATAGTAGTAAAATGGCCGCCACCGCCGCCACTGTGAACGAATTTGGTCCCGACTCTGGAGGTCGCATCAAAGGGGTGACCATTGTGAAACCGATCGTGTACGGAAATTTTGCACGATGGTTCGGTAAAAAGCGTGAAGAGGATGGTCATACGCATCAGTGGACGGTCTATGTTAAGCCATTCACGAACGAGGACATGTCCAAGTTCATCAAAAAGGTTCACTTCAAACTGCACGAGAGCTACCCAAACCCAAGTCGAGTGGTCGTGAGGCCACCGTACGAGGTCACTGAGACGGGTTGGGGAGAGTTCGAGATCACCATCAAGATACACTTCCATGACCCTAACGAAAGGCCTGTCACACTCTACCACATATTGAAACTATTCCAATCAGGACCCGAGTCCTTGGTGGCCAAAAAGACTTTGGTTTCCGAATTTTACGAAGAAATAGTTTTTCAAGTGAGACATCTTTTAGTTGCTATTTTAGTAATATAAACTTTTCTTTAAAAGGATCCAACTGCCCTGATGCAGACCTTGCTGAGCACACCCCACCAATTGACCATGGGAGCGTGGAAACATGACACAGACTTTGAAGAGAAAAAGGAGAGAGCTCTGCAGAATATTATTAAAGCAAAGGCTGAAATTAAAAAAGAAATCAACAGTATGAAGGAGAAGGTTAAAATCTACAAAGACGTGATTGCCAAGTACAAAACAGAAGTTGCTAATTTCCAGCAATCACCGTCGTCGTCGACACTAGCAATGTGAGTGTTTATTTGTATGCTTAAAATAATCTCAAAATTAAGGACTTTTTATATAAATATGCAAGTTTTATTTATGAAAATATCAAATAACATTTTCTACTGCAAGTTGTAAGGGAAATTCTCGTTGATCGCCACAAAATATTCCGTATTTGTGTAATCTTGGGCAATGGAGGACGTTGAGTTGATAACCAAGTAAACGTCATTGCTTGGCGTCCACGCAGGCCAAGTGGGAATTCCCTCAACTGGGTTGGAGGAGGGAGTGGGGTTTCTGCAAATGACAGAGATGTTTTTGAACCGTGTGATGAGATCAATAACACCTTTGGAAAATCACAATGCAAGTGATATCAATAAAAATTTATCTTAAGTGGTCAAACAACGTACCCAAAGGCAACGAAATTGGCCCAGAGGCTGACAATTTGGTTTGAAATAATTTTGTCCTCAGCATTCATCGTAAATGTAGGCATCGCGAACTGCAAAATGAGCTCGTTTGCATGGCACACACCTATTTTTGGATGTTTTAACTTAAATTTGAGGATTAAAGCCAATAAATTTACCTCCTCGAATGGGCGAGTTAGGAGCGTAAAAGGGGAACAAAGTCCTCGATCCGTCAAAGTGGAAGGCGTACAAATAACTTGGCGCGCCCTTAGCTGTGTTGTATAGAGCGTTTCCATAAACGGGCCCTTTGATAAACATGTTTGAGGTAAACTAAAAGTAATTGAAATCAATCAATTGATTATTATTAATTTCTTTAAATATAAAATCAATTACGTCCACAACGCCAGGAGTCATAGCTGCAAAATCTCCCATATTTTGTGCGCCATAGAAAGTTTTTTCTACAGAAATGGCCAAAGTATCGCCCTGGTCCATAACATCTGTTTTTGAGAGAAAACTGAGTTTGAAAAAGTTTTAATAGTATAAGTTTTTTTACCAAAGAAGTTAAGAAAAGTTCTAGTGATTCCGCGTTTCATGTACTCGGTGTCATTTACTAGTCCGTTAGGTTCCAAAAAACCTTTGTATAAGACTGGAAAAACGTAAAAGTTTCAAAACTAGAATTTTAACATTCAAATTCCAGTCTTACAGTGATAAACCAAAGTTCCCTCATGTTTTGTTGCGCCAAACATGCCTGGCTTAGCATTGTATTCACCAGAGTTGACAATGGCAGTCGGAGACCTCTCCAAAAACCTCACAGCTCCTGCTTTTTGCACTACTGGAGAACAGCCTGCGAACCCGGAACGACCCACACTTTGTTCCATAGCCTTATATCGAAATATTAAAAGAAGTTTTTTCGTCTAAAAAAAAAAAACAATACTGCAAAAGTTGCGTGGGCCTCGTTGAGAGTGGTGACGTCAATTGTTTGAAGACAAGCCGTCAGTGCGTTGATTTCAGTGCTGGGGCAGCCCGCGATCGTTCCTATTTCAGAGGCGGCGCGGATCGGGTCCAAATCAAGGCCCCAATTGGCGATCGCTGAACCGCTTTGAGAAATGTACTGTTGGAACAAATCTAAAAAGAATTTTTTTTATTCTGAAAATAATTTAATTTTGAAAAAAAATACTGGTCGAAAGGGGACTGAGGTTCAGCATCGACGAGCTGACACCTCCTGCGCTCTCTCCCATCACGGTAACTTTATTGGGATTTCCTCCAAAGTAAGAAATGTAATTCTGGACCCATTTCAAAGCTTCAACTTGATCCAACATTCCAGCGTTTCCGGGGATCTCGTCCGTGTGAAGGGAAAGGAAGCCTGAATTAAAAAATTTTGGCTTTTAAATTTTTGATTGCAAAGAATAAAAATTTACCAAGAGGGCCAAGTCGGTAATGAGGGACAACAAGGACAACGTCGTGATCCAAAAATTTGCTTCCGCCGTAAAGTCGGGACGATCCTGTTGCGAAAGCTCCGCCGTGGAAGAAAACCAAAACGGGCAAATTTGCAGACGGATCCAACTTAAATTAAGAAAATTTTCCAATTTTCAATTAATTTTTTAAAAATTTTAATTTTACATTGGGCGAGTAAACTTGCAGGAAGAGGCAATCCTCCTTGGTTTCGTTTTCAGCCCTGCCAAAAATGTTATCCTCCACTTTGGTCATCCACGAGTCCCACATTGCGTCTCTACCAGCAACGCCAATCTGCGGACAACGGCCACCAAAACTGCTGTGCGCGTCCAAAATTCCATCCCACGATTGGACTGGCTGGGGGGCCTGAGCAAAATTTCAGTTAAAAACGATTATTTTTCACGACGCGTTATCCTACTTTGAATCTCAATGCGTCGACTGGCGGTTGTGCGAAGGGAACTCCTCGGAAGTGGAAATAAGGTCGATCGCTAATGTAAGCTTTGCCCGTGTAGCCCTCGAGTGTGCCCAGACCAGGCAGGGTGACCTGCGGGTTCTGGCCTTGGGACACATTGACATTGACCAGGATCAAAATCAACACGGCGAAAACTAAAACGAAAAGATATTTGAAAAGTTTCCGTAGTCTGAGACACAATAGCAGAGAATCTAATTCTGGGCCGATCATACTTTTGACGATTTCATAACTATTTTCATCAAACGACAGAGATAATTGAAAAATATAAAATAGACCAAAGTTGGCTTACTCAAGTCTCTCATGTTGACCGAGCTGATTGATTGCCTGGTTTAGAGTGAGGTGGACACAGTCGTTTGCCCCTATTTGTGCCACCTGTGCAGTTATCATTTATCATCGATGAGTTTTTACAAGGACAACTTTACCAAAGATTATCCTATTGTACCAAATTGTAAATCGAGATTTTTTGCTCTTTGACTTTTATCTCTAATTATTGTTGCTGAGGTGAAGTTATTTTTCACCTGTCAAGTTATATCATTATTTAACATCATCACCACTATGTTATCAAAGTTTTCAATTAGATAAAAATTATTTATTAAACAACAACACTTTAACAAAGGAGGCCGTGATTGTCATAATAATGTAATCTCTTGTTAAACAATATATGCCCAGATTGCAAAAAAAAAAAATAATAAATGAAAAATTAAATAATTTTCATAGTAAATGAAAGATGATAAAAAAATTCAGATCAAACCAGCCAGAACGATACTTAAATTTAACTGAAACACTCATTTTTTTTTTGTACACGTCAAAATAATTATCAGATAAATAGAAAAATTAGTTAAATTTTTATTTAAATCTCGTCATTTCAAATGTGAAATTTAATTTTACATGCAATGCTAGTTATAGATTTAGAGGAAAATTCTCATTAATCGAGACAAAATAATCGTTTTGGGGATAGTCTTGCATGATTTTAGACGTCTCGTCAATGACCATGTAGTGTTGATCGCTTCCCGCCCAAGTAGGCCAAGTAGGAACACCTTCAATCGGGTTTTCAGGAGGAGTTGGATTTCTAATTTTACATCGAAATTTACAAAAAATATCATAAATTAGAAGATTTAGCGCCCAAAGTAATTACCCATATTTGACAAAGTTAACCCACAGATTCAGGAATTTGTTGGACATTATTTTGTCCCTCTCGTCTAGAGGAAAGTCTGATGGTGCAAATTGCAAAATCATCTCGTCACCGTGAGAAATTCCTAAAATTGAAAATTGCGTAAAAATCTTTATAAAATAAAACAAAAATTTTTTAAATAGGATAATCTAGAGAATTTTAAATATTACCTCCGGGGATTGGCGAAGAAGGTGCAAAGTTATTGAAAAGGGTATTGGATCCGTTGAAATGAAATGAGTACAGATAAGAAGGGGCGCCCTTGGCAGCGTTGTACTCAACGGTGGCGTGCGTGGGTCCTTTCATAAGCAAGCCAGCCAGAAGCTAAAATTTTATTTCCAAAATATTTCTCATTTGAATAATTTTTTGATTTGCCCACATCGATTAATCCCGGCGTCATGGCTCTCAAATCACCCATATTTTCCTTTCCTAGATAAGTGTTTTCGACTGCTATGCCTAGAGTGTTTCCTTGATCTTGAATGCCTGCGCTTGCAAATTTATTGCAATCAATTATATTTATTAATTGTTCCTTTTTTAATTCTCACCCAAGTAGTCAACAAGGAGAAATTTTGTGAAATCATTTTTGAGAAAGTCCGTGTTGTTCACAAAACCATTGGGTAACAAAATATTATTGTAATATGCTGAAGAAAAAAATATAAACATTAACGAAACTGAATTTTGAATAGCATTAAAAAAATACATTGATATAAAAGAGTTCCCTCGTGCTTGTTAGCCCCAAAAATCGAAGGCTTTGCATTATATTCGCCTGATTTGTAAATTTCCACCGGCGCTTTTTCCAAAAAGCGAACCGCTCCTGCCATTTGCAGCGATGGGGCCATTCCTCCCAATCCCGTTCGACCCGCTTGTTGTTCTTGAAGCTTAATTTGTTCAATTAAAATTCCAAATTATTGGTTAAAAATTATAACCACCAAGAAAATTACAGCTGCCAACGACAGCACTATAGGATCGACGGTTTTTAGACACTGGGTTTGCGCGTTAATTTCCGTGTCAGTGCAACCAGCAATGACTCCGATTACTTGAGCAGCTCTAGCAGGATCGTTTTCTATCATCCACGGCGACGCTGCAGCCCCACTCTGACCAATCATTTGATTAAACAGATCTGTCATAAGCAATAAAAAAATTATGAAAATAAAAGATATGAAAAAAAAATCTAACTCGTTGAGAGAGGGCTGAGGTTGAGCAGGGTGGTGCTCACCGAGCCTGCACTCTCCCCCATAACAGTCACTCTTTTCGGGTCGCCTCCAAAGAAGGTGATATAATTTTGAACCCATTTTAACGCCTCGACTTGGTCCAATAAACCGGCGTTGCCAGGAATATCGTCAGTTTGCAAGTTGAGAAAACCTAACAAAATTAATATTTATTATTTTTCATAAAAAGTTGGAGCTGTTATAGCGTTACCAATTGGCCCCACCCGATAATGAGGGATAACTAAAATGACATCATGATCCATGAATTTGTCACCAGCAAACGTTCGCGACGATCCTGACGCAAAACTTCCGCCGTGGATGAAAACGATAACTGGCAATTTGGCCGATGGGTCGAGCTTAAAAAACAAGTTGTTTAAAAGATAAACAAATATTTTCTTTGTATTACTGTTGGCGTATAAAGTTGGAGAAAGAGGCAATTTTCGCTTGTGTCGTTTTCTGCTTTAATCGAAGAAGTCGTTTCTTTTGAAACGAACAAGCCCAAATCTCCTAATTGGGGACACCTGAAGCCAAAGCTAGTGTGCGCGTCTAATATTCCCGTCCAAGGCTCAACTGGCTCCGGGGCCTTTGTAAAAATTAATAGATTAGGTTTGAAATCGAAGAGGTGATAAATTATTTGTACCTTAAACCTGAGATCACCAAGCGGAGGTTTGGCAAAAGGAACTCCTCGGAAGCGATTGAAAAGCCTTCCATTGATGAAAGAACTACCGGTATAACCCTCAATGGTGCCCAAGCCAGGCAATGTTACCTGCGGGTTTTGACCCATTGTCACAGGGGTCATCACCAAAACAAGCAACAACCAACCTATTTAAATAAATATTTTACTTCCAAATAAAAGTAGCAGTAATAATAATATAAGTTGATAGTCAATGTAGGAATGCCAATTTTACTCACATAATAATTCTGTCATGATTTTGATAATCCTTTAAAATAGTCTAAGAACATGTAAAGTATATTGAGATTGAAAGTCGATTGAAACTTCGTTACAAATCCTCTCTTAAAGATATTGTCAGCTTATCGTATTTATCACTTCAAATTAATAACAAATAATAAGGATTATTTTGATTCTGACTTATCATTACCTATCGCTGATTTGATAAGATCACAAAAGACGGATATTTTCACTTTTTTTTTTATTGCTTAAAAAAATCAACAGGATTACAAAAAATAACACCCCAATTAAAATAACAGAATAAGAAATCCAAAGTTGCTTTTTTTTGCTGGTTAATCAAATCAAACGAAACTCAAAGGAAAGTTTTCATTTATAGAGACGAAATAATCAGAAGCAGTGAAATCTTGAGCTACGGTGCTTGTTGCATTGATGATTAAGTACGACCCATCAATGTTGGTCCAAGCTGGCCAAGAAGGAATTCCCTCGATTGGCGTTGATCCCACCGCTGTGGGGTCTCTGAAAATCAATGAAATTTGAAATTTTTTTATTTTGTCGGTTAATAATTACACAATTCATTTAAAAAAAAAATTGTGCTCACCCATAAGTAGCAAAGTTAGCCCAGAGGCTCACAATTTTATTTGCCACTGTATCGTCCAGAACATTGGTTGTCAAATTAGGGAAAGAAAATTGAAGAATCAACTCGTCAGCATGGCAAACGCCTGGAATTAAATTAGAAGAAAAAATTTTCACATTGCTTTTCACATTGAGGTAATATTTTAATTACCTCCAGGTATGGGAGAGTTTGGTGCAAAAACGGGATACATCGTGTTCGAGCCTTGATAATGAAAAGAGTATAAATAGGTTGGAGCGCCCTTGGCAGCATTGAATTCAGCAGTTCCAAAGGCAGGGCCTTTCATGTACATATTAGATAGATACTGAAAGATTTTAACAATTTCTCTTAATTATGCCATTTAAAATATAATAATTTACATCAATGAGTCTGGGTGTCATGGCAGTAAGGTTGCCCATGTTTTCAGCTCCAAAATACGTTTTCTCAACAGCAATTGCGAGAGTGTCGCCTTGGTCTTGGATGTCTGTTGTTAAAATTAATTTTAATTTCCATTAAGCAATACTTTTTCTTGGAAAAATACCAAAATAACTCAAGACATGTCTTGTTAAGCCTCGCTTAAAATATTCCGTGTCATTCAGTAAACCATTATTCTCCAAGTGGGTCTTGTATATGACTGGGAAAATTTTTATTCAATTATTATTTCTTTTAAAATTGAATAAGATTATTTACGATTGTAGAAAATTGTGCCCTCGTGCTTGTTTGCTCCGATTATGGCTGGCTTGGCATTATACTCTCCAGATTTGTAAATTTCAGCCGGAAATTTCTCTATAAATCGAACAGCTCCAGCTTTTTGCACCACCGGTGTGATTCCACCCAAGCCCGATCGTCCTTCCTTTAGCTCAATCGCCTTAAAAGAAACGGACTAAATTTTATAACTCTTTTTACGGAGGGTTTTAATTACTGCATGCGCCAAATACGCCAGGCTCAAAGTCTGCGCGTCGACGGTTTTCAAGCACTCGGTGAACGCATTAATTTCCGTGTCATTGCACCCAGCAAAAGCGCCAATTTGAAAAGCGGACCGGACTGGGTCTAGATCGGTGGCCCAGTATGCCAGCGCCGAGCCACTCTGAGAGATGAACTGGTTGAACAGATCTTAAAAAATAATTTTAAAATATCACGAATAAAATTTAAATAATTTTGTTTATTTATACTTGACGACAAAGGACTTAGGTTCAAAAAGGTGGTGCTGACAGCTCCAGCGCTTTCACCCATGACTGTGACTTGGCTAGGGTTGCCGCCGAAAAATCTGATATATCTCTGCACCCATTTCAAAGCCTCGACTTGATCCAGCAGTCCCGCATTTCCCGGAATTTCGTCAGTTTGAAGCGAAAGGAATCCTTAATTATCAAAAGAAATGTTTTTTATGGAAATGATATTTAAGACTTTTTATACTTTACCAAGCGGTCCGAGTCTGTAATGTGGAACAACAAGCACGACGTCATGGTCCATGAATTTGTCGCCTCCGTAAAGACGAGAAGAGCCGGTCGTGAATCCACCACCGTGAATGAAAACAATTACGGGCAGATTTGCAGTTGTTTCGAGCTACAAATTAATTTAATTTTTTTTACTTATGCTATAAAAACATTGCAAATAGTGCTAATTGTTACTCAAATTTCACTATGTTTAAATACCTTAGGCTTGCTAATAAAATAATTTCCATTAACGTGGAATTTTTAAATAAAAAAACCATTTAAAAAAAATGCTAAATTTTGAGATACAAAAAATTGTAAATAATTAAATATTATTTATTCTTGTCGGTAAAAAAGAAAATTTAAAAATACATTAAAATGAGAATTATTATTAAATTACTATTTTTTTCCCTAAAAAAAAGAGATTATTTTATTTACCGCTCTTACAAAAAAAGAATTCGAAGAACACTTGCTTATTCTATGTTCAAGCAGAAATCAAAGAGCGAACTGTGTTGTTCATACCGTTGGTGTGTAAACTTGGAGAAAAAGACAGTCTTCAGAATCATCCTCAACCGGTTGCGAAGTTATGCCCTCCAAATCAAAATTCGGCGTGGATTCATCTCTGCCCAGAGGTCTGAATTGCGAACATCTGCTCCCGAAACTGGTTTGTGCATCGAGGATTCCGACCCAGGGCTGAACAGTTTGTGGCGCCTTGATTCAATAGGTTTTTTTTTTAAGTAACAATGAATACCCTTATAAGATTTAACCTGGAATCTCAAGTCACCAATGGGAGGCTGTGCAAACGGCACTCCTCTGAAGTGATAAAAAAGCCGCTGGTTAATGTACGAATTTTCTGTGTAGCCCTCCATTGTGCCCAAACAGGGCAAAGTCACTTGCGGAATCTGACCACAGGCCAAATTGACCAGAAGAAGTATGGAATATACTGAAATAAAATCTTTTTAGCCTTGAGAGCGTCCAAAAGTGCTGTGCAAACTGACCTGTGCATTGCATTTCGTACGTGCAGCGCTTGCAGTCCATGAAGTTTGGCACTGCCGATCACTCTAAAATTGGCGCAGCACGTCTCGCCAGTCACCTTCAATTCAATTATCACGTGCACGCTACTTATCTGCTTTTAATACCCCATGTGCAGTTGTGAGTGCAATAACTTCTTAGAAATAAAGTTGACGAGTAATTTAGGCTTTAAAAAGTTAAGGCAAGTGATAAAAACACCGAAAAACACGACTAAGCGTTGCGAAACATAAAATAATAAAATTCCAAAGGCGAAAATTGCACTTTTCTAGAATACAGTTTATTTTTCCTCCTTTCATAATTTACAAATACTGTTAGGTTGAATGGACACATTTTTTTTCTGAGAAATACTTACAAGCGCACAAACCAATTGCGCTTTCTAATCTTAAGTAGCAACATTATTTTTTGTCTTTCCATGCTCTCGAAAGTTTTTTTTTCCACAAGCAGAGGTAGATAAAGACTGCAGCAGTGGCATTTCAAAGTTAGGGGACCGTTTTTGCATGTTAAACAAACCCCTGACGTAACTAGGGTCCGTGGATCCTTCCCCTGAACACCCTTATTGCCACCACCGGCGGTAAGCCAAAGCACTTGCAATGATGATCGCGGCAAAGTCTGACACAGAAAATTCGGAAAATTCAATAATACACAAAATACTGAACAAAGAAGAAACAAGACGAGTTTGGGAATTGTTGAAAAAAAAAAAAAAATTTATCATTGAAAATAAAATCCCCAAAAGGAGACATTTTAAAAGTACAAATATTTAAAATTATTTTAATTTGTTCGCCTGCAACTATATAGAAAACAAGAGAGCAGATCAAGTATAGAAATTGGAATTTTTGAGCTAAATCCACTTATTAATTAAGTATCCAATTAAGACGTATACAATAATTAATTGCTAATTAAACAATGCACTCCTGCACTCGAACCAGCCATCTCTGCAACTCTCTCATTTCCATGAAGTTTGGCACTGCCGATCTCTTTAAAATTGGCGCAGCACGTCTTGCCAGTCACCTTCAATTCAATTATCACGTGCACGCTACTTATCTGCTTTTTATACCCCATGTGCAGTTATGAGTGCAATAACTTCTTAAAAATAAAGTTGACGAGTAATCTAGGCCTTAAAAAGTTAAGGCAGGTGATAAAAACACGACAAGCGTTGCGAAACATAAAATAATAAAGTTCCAAAGGCGAAAATTGCACTTTTCTAGAATACAGTTTATTTTTCCTCCTCTCATAATTTACAAATACTGTTAGGTTGAATGGACACATTTTTTTTCTGACAAATACTTAAATACTTACAAGCGCACAAACCAATTGCGCTTTCTAATCTTAAGTAGCAACATTATTTTTTGTCTTTCCATGCTCTCGAAATTTTTTTTCCACAAGCAGAGGTAGATAAAGACAGCAGCAGTGGCATTTCAGAGTTAGGGGACCATTTTTGCATGTTAACTCCTGACATAGCTAGGGTCCGTGGATCCTTCCCCTGAACACCCTTATTGCCACCACCGGCGGTAAGCCAAAGCACTTGCAATGATGATCGCGGCAAAGTCTGACACAGAAAATTCAATAATACACAAAATACTGAACAAAGAAGAAACAAGACGAGTTTGGGAATTGTTGAAAAAAAAAATTAAAATTTATCATTGAAAATAAAATCCCCAAAAGGAGACATTTTAAAAGTACAAATATTTAAAATTATTTTAATTTGTTCGCCTGCAACTATATAGAAAACAAGAGAGCAGATCAAGTATAGAAATTGGAATTTTTGAGCTAAATCCACTTATTAATTAAGTATCCAATGAAGACGTATACAATAATTAATTGCTAATTAAACAATGCACTCCTGCACTCGAACCAGCAATCTCTGCAACTCTCTCATTTCCATGAAGTTTGGCACTGCCGATCTCTCTAAAATTGGCGCAGCACGTCATGCCAGTCACCTTCAATTGAATTATCACGTGCACGCTACTTATCTGCTTTTTATACCCCATGTGCAGTTGTGAGTGCAATAACTTCTTAGAAATAAAGTTGACGAGTAATTTAGGCCTTAAAAAGTTAAGGCAAGTGATAAAAACACGACAAGCGTTGCGAAACATAAAATAATAAAGTTCCAAAGGCGAAAATTGCACTTTTCTAGAATACAGTTTATTTTTCCTCCTTTCATAATTTACAAATACTGTTAGGTTGAATGGACACATTTTTTTTCTGACAAATACTTACAAGCGCACAAACCAATTGCGCTTTCTAATCTTAAGTAGCAACATTAATTTTTTGTCTTTCCATGCTCTCGAAATTTTTTTCCACAAGCAGAGGTAGATAAAGACTGCAGCAGCGGCATTTCAGAATTAGGGGACCGTTTTTGCATGTTAAACAAACCCCTGACGTAGCTAGGGTCCGTGGATCCTTCCCCTGAACACCCTTATTGCCACCACCGGCGGCAAGCCAAAGCACTTGCAATGATGATCGCGGCAAAGTCTGACACAGAAAATTCAATAATACACAAAATACTGAACAAAGAAGAAACAAGAGTTTGGGAATTGTTGAAAAAAAAATTAAAATTTATCATTGAAAATAAAATCCCCAAAAGGAGACATTTTAAAAGTACAAATATTTAAAATTATTTTAATTTGTTCGCCTGCAACTATATAGAAAACAAGAGAGCAGATCAAGTATAGAAATTGGAATTTTTGAGCTAAATCCACTTATTAATTAAGTATCCAATTAAGACGTATACAATAATTAATTGCTAATTAAACAATGCACTCCTGCACTCAAACCAGCCATCTCTGCAACTATCTCATTTCTTGTGAAACTCATCCATGCACAAAGTACAGCTCCACGTCCCTTCTGGAGGAGACGTCAGCGGTGGATTCAAACAGTACATGTGGTACCCTCGGTCGCAGTCGTCGCAAAACAACAGTTGATCCTGCAAGCAGTGCACAATTCTCATCTTAATTTTCTGTCAAGTTAACCACCAAAATTTAAAGAGTTTTGCTCTCGGAGGGATAAATTACTTTAAATAAAATTTTGTGGTTAAGAATTTTTAATTAAATTAGAGTGAAAAAACCCCTTTTATTTAATGTGACCAAAATTGTTCTTGTCAGAAATCAACTTAAGTAGGACTGATCATTAGAGAAAAAAAAACAGTAATTACATCATTATCAGAGGTTCCGCAGACAGAGCAGCACTTGCACTCGATGCACTGCCATCGGTACTTCCGAACCGATATGATCATGTTTGCAGTGAACTGGAGACACGACGGATGTCCTGAAAATGTACCTTTTTAGAATGTGTGACATGGGCCTCTTCAGCTGTAGACTTTTCCTCTTAGTGCAATATTCCCAGCAGAACATAGTAACTTCTCCAAACTTATCAAAAAACTTGAAACTAATTGTAAGCTCTAGTCTGCGTTAAAAGATGCTTCCAAGAAATACCTAACAATTTGCAAAAAAAAAAAGCATATTAGATTCGATTCATAAAATAAAAATGAAGTATTTATAAAGAAAAGCTAATTTGCTTCTAAACAAAAGCTTCTCGATAGTGAATGCATGAATTTCTAGTAAGTAAAAAGGGTTTTGAATGCAGGGCCGAGGACCAGTGAGCCAGTGTGTTAGCCAAAATATCGCGTGCCTTTGGTTCAAGAAAGAGAGTGTGTTGTGACATGTCCTGCAGCCCACCGCACTAACAGAGCTTAGCTTTCACTGCTCCTCAGCCGCCGCGCGTGAAATAAAAAATGCCACCTGTTGTCAGCAAGGGCTGCTCTCGATTTAATTTTCATCAGATAAGAGAGATACATCATGTTGGTAGATAATTATTATAATCATAATAACTGATGGATATGTCTCAAGCACTGCATGTGTGTATTGTTCACATCATTAGCCATGTTATTTACAACATGAGGGCAACGAACGGAGTAAAAAGAGACAGGAAGTAGTGTGGTGGAGCAGCAGGGAGAGAAAGACATGTCCCTTCCAACTATTGGGGGTGAATAGAGAAAAGGCACGCGACATTAGGAGTTCATTTATTATTTTTGTATCCAGCTCACTTAAAAACGCTTTCGTTCGGTCAGTTTATCATCACTGGTGATCACTTTCCTTGGCTTCGGGTCACAAATGTTTTACTTTGCAACAACCGAGTTAACAACAAATAATGTCGTGTAGTTTTTTTTCTTTTACTTCTCTTACTTTCTTTTGTTAGTCATCCTACGCAAGCATCTTCATGAAACATAACAAGACTAGTTTTTTTAACCTCTGTTAACTCTAGACTGGGCAGGAATAACATACATACGGTCCTTGCGTCCCAGTAATTCTAGTTTCAAAGTTTTAGAATATTTTTTTTAAACCATGATTAATCACACTAATAATGTGCTGGGAATGTTCACAAATAAAGGCTAAAGCAAACCGAAGAGTTTCAAACAAACACATAAAAAGAGAAATAAGCTAAAGGAATGATTATAAGTTGCAGACAAAAGGTGAGTGATTTCTTCGTTCACAAATAAAAATCCCGAATAAACAAAAAGTAATCACACGTTCGACTTAACTAGTGATATAATAGGAATTGAAAAGAAAACTAACATTGGAAACTTATAAACCCAGCGCACAATTTTTCAAAATTCCGTTACTTTGCCCCATCAGATTTCAGTTAGGACTTGAATTTTTAAATATAGGCATTGCTGCAATCACATCAGAATTGTAGATCCCATCTCTATTATTTCACATACAACAAATAGTTGTTGTTGATTAGAAAAACTGCTACTTTAGTCACAAAGAGCTAAAACAGCTTCCTGTGAATTGAAGTTTTACTCTACCAATTTCAATTGGTCCTAACAAGAGCACCTGTCCTAATCTTTGAGAAGACTCTATTTATCTTTAATTAGTTTGCTCCTTCAAGGGAAGGAACGCACACTACGCGTCCAAAATTACAAAGTGGCATGGTAAAAAGAGTTTGATAATTTTTTTTAAAAGATTTTGACAAAAGATTCGCAGCTATAGCCCCCGTTTTGTAAAAAATTTCCAACCAGAATTTTGATTGTGCTCTATTCCAATGACTAGTTCTTTCGTCTGCTACTCGAAGGGCTCCAAGTTTCGTCGTCGTCGTCGTCAGCCGCTTTTTTGCGGATCTTCTTGGGGCGGCCTCGGCCATTCTTACCTGAGCGGCCGCAGTCGGAGCACGAAACCAGCTCTTCCGAGGTGCCCGTCTTCTTGTTCTCGTTGGCGTCACCCAGGCAGAAGTCGCAATACGGCGACGGATTGGCCCGGTTGTGCTCATCCTTGACCACGCCCCCTTCGGCAGGGGTCAGGTTAGGAGGTTTGCGCCTCTCGTTGACCACGGTTGGTGTCAGCGGCTCTTCAGGAATGAGATTCGGCATGCCGGAAGCACTCAGATTTTGACGACCGCGCCTAGGAGTTCCTGAAAGATGAATATCAAATATAGGACGGCGTTTAAGCAGCAATCGGCATCTGAACCACATGGATCTCAATAAAAAGTTTGTGCTGCCAAATTTTAATGGCAGAAAAATGAATTAAAGATTTAATGCAAATAATCTTTCATGCTTCAAAAAAATCTTAAGTGACTAAAAGATTTCTTGTTAGTGAAGAATGACTAAAAATGCTTATATTTGGCATCACAATGCAAATCATCATATCATGTAGTTCAGTGACCAATTGTTGCAGTTTTGTGAGTCCTCCAATCCTGAAATCTAGATAAAAAGTAGTGTAGTGTGTTTATCTACAAAGTGATGTCAAATCAAATCAATGTGAAAAATTAAATCCCATGCTGATCAAGAACGAAAAATAGGATGAAAATAACAAACGATAACCGAATGCATATCATACAAACAACACAAAAAAGCAGCAACTTGTGTGAAATTGGAAGGAATCTCTGTCGGAGAGGCTCTTGCAAGTCAAAAGCTCCCAATGGACCAAAGGTGGTTCCAGAAAATTAAAAAAAAATAACAAAGAGCACACAAAAACTTAAAGACGTGGTCCGAAATTTGAATCACTAATGAGTGGGGGTTTTGTTCGTATCGGTCTGTGCTTCGCCTCATGCAAAATCAAGGCGTAAGGATTTTTCCAACCTGGTGAGGCGTTCGGACCGGCCGTTTCTGGCGCCGGCACCGACGGAGGCGCCGCGGTTGGCGGACCCGGAGTTCCGGGCGCACCGCTGGCCGCGCCTCCAGGCGGAGCAGAGGCCGCGGGTGGCGTCGGCTTTGGCGAGGCCGCACTGCCGCCCCCAGAGGTGGCGGGCAGGGAGGCCGAACCGCTGTCGTCGTCATCTTCCTCCTTGTCCTTGTGCGAGTGGGTGTAGTGGTAGGTCAGGCCTGGCCGGGTCTTATAGCGGGCGCCACACACTGCAACAGACAGACAGAGGCCTCCAGTTTGAGTGTCTCCCACCCACCCAGGCAACAGCCCCTCTAGCTCTCTCATGGACCACACGTAACAGACAAGAGGAAGAGTGAAAGGAGAGATGACCAGTTCACCCAGGTGGAACAATGGAAAGTACAGTGGCACAAGAGCCTCTCTCTTGGAGTGAAAACTCAAAGGCATGCGTCCCTCTCATGCACAGGAAATTCTTTACTTTTATACTCTTTCAGGCATAAATGATTGTACTCATTTGCGAATAAATGATTAATGTGGTGCCAGACAAGATCATTCGCTGTGCAGCTGAGGGAGGGAGAGGCAACACATGCACTATACAGATTACGGCAGCACTCACGTTCGCACGAGAATGGTTTGTCCGCGTCTCCTGTCACAGCGTCGTAGTTCGGAGTGATTTTTCTCCGCCCTCGACCTGCAGGCTGCGAATTCTAAAATGAAAATCCATAAATAAAGGTTAATACTTAATTATGGGCAGTGAATTCTTACCCTCGTAGGCGTTTTTGCATTTCTCCTCCTCTTATTTCTCTTATAAGACTCTTCGTAGTCATAATCAGAATCTGCATCCGGCTCATCAAAGTTGTCTATGTCATTTATATCTAGATCATCATAGAACCAGGCATCTTGTGAAAGCTGCAAGAAATTACAATTAAATCAAATAAGCCACATAACACAATTTTGGTGGAAAAATTTAGAGATTAAATCGGTTATAGAAAGACCAAATGAACCACCTTGGTAGCCTCATCTTTCAGCATGCTGTCCTTGCTGTCTTCGTTGATGGCCGCTGGATTTTCAACAGTACTTATTGTGTGCAGGTCAATTTCGTTTTCAATTTCCTTTCTGCGCGGCTGCATCCAGTTCATCAAGTACTGCCTACGTTTCTTTCGCCACCTCTTGGAAGGGTACGAGTATATTTGACCCTCGCATACCCCCGGCAGTCTTTGTCTTGAACTCATGAAGAGGTTTGAGTGATTCTGTGCAACTCCTGATAAAAAAATTCACGGAAATTAGAAAATAATATACTTAAACAAAATTTCATGAGAAATTACCAGTTTGAGAGTCCAAAAAGGGCATCCGTAGGCGCCGTTCGATACATAGTCGCGTGTTATAAGTTGCCGAGTTCTCAATGGCTTCTTTGTAAGCCGGGTCTTTCAGGAAGCTGCAAAATTATACATAATTTATTATTTATTGTTGAAAAAATATGGCTTAAATTAAAATTAATTGTGTATTTAGAGAATTAAGAGCAATTTCAAACAAATCAAAAAGTATCTAACCAATAGATAGTAAAGCTGTAAAGCTTAAAAAGACAACAATATTATTTAATTATTTTTCTGTGTGATTTTACTTTTCAAAATTAATCGATTGTCATGTAAGAATTATGGAAATATTTTTATGTAGACAGTAAATTATTTTCATATGTAAATACTGAAGCTTTGTATCACAATATTAATTAAAAAAGCAAGAAAATGTAGAGTTGGCTGGCAGCGACTGCGCCGTCCTTTCACGACTGCGATATTATTGAATTTTAGGGAGCGCCTCGCTCAGCATCGCTTTTCGCTGGCACAAGCACCGTAATGCAGCGAATGGGAGAGAATAAAAGATTTTTGATGCTACTTTACTGCGAGAAAACCTGACGGAAAGCGCGAATTTTTCTAAAATAAACAAGAAATGATAATTGAAGAAAAGAGTTTCACTAAAATTTTCGCATATACAATCGAGATTACCTCTCTAATTTGCTGACAGCTTCAGGATTTATTTGGAGAGCGTCAATAGACGCCATTGTTGTAGCGGCTCCTGCGCGAATTTTGCTACTGCGCATGCTCAATTAAATGGTCGAAATCATTGTTGCCAGCATCTTGGCCAGCATGAGCAAGTAAAAAATAATTAGTCATTTGACTCGTTTCTGTTGGCAACATTGGTAACACCTGGGCTGGACACTGGACACATCAACAAAAGCAAAAATAAGAGACTGCACCGAAATACTTGATTTTTTTTTAACCGAATTAAATTTTTTTACCCGCTTTGATGTAGAGTGGACTTTTGAAAATGTTTTAATAGGTTTGTACTTTTCCTATTTTTTTTTTTTAAATCCTGTGTTACATGCAAATTTAAGAATTTTTACAAGTATATATATTTTAAAATTTTTTTTCCTGTGCAGATTCTAAATTTCATTTTTGCACACAAAAAATAATTGTATAATGCTTTGAAAATTTAAAACATTGATTAAATAATTTTCAATTAAATTTCTCAGTGTTTTCTGCTTTGATATTGACTTGACGAAGAGTTATGGAGCAACTGTCCTCGACGTTCCACTTTCCTGGCGGCCCTGTCAGGACCACGGGTGACGGCAGGGAGAACCCCGACGGTGCCGAAGACCCTGTGATGTTGGCGAAAAGACTGAGCGCCGTGTGTATCAAGCCTTTGCTTCCTCCTCCGGAAGACCTCTCGAAACTGTCCTTCTCCCCCGTCAAACCTGTCGGCGAAATCGTCCACCTGACGCCTCACCTGGCTCGAGTGCCTGCTCGGCAAAACTCGGACGCTTCGTTCAAGAGTCTGCAGGGCCGAGAACCAAAGTTTGTTCCGTACGAGCCGTACAAGGGCGCTGTCCATCCGATGGTGATGCGGAAGTCGCAGAAGAAGCTCAAGCGACAAGCCAGCACCGAGAGTGTGAGCACCACGACAAGTCTGGACCCGAAGGAAAATTTCCCCCAAGAATCTCCGATTGTATTGAGCAGAGGCGAGACTGAGCTCAGGGCCCAGTTGGCCAGGGCGGGGGACGAGATCCAAAGTCTGGAAGCGCAGCTGCGATTCCAGGAGCAGGTCAACTCGGAACTGAAAAGAATGTTGGTCGCTGCCGTGGGCGAGGACGTCGAGGTCAAAGTGCAACACCTTACTGAGGACAAACTGCACCTGGCCAGAGCCTTAGTTAATAATTCCGAGAGTATTTCTTCCCACCAAGAGAAACTTGAGTACGTGACTGGCCAGTGCGAGGTTTGGAGGAGCAAGTTTTTGGCAAGCAGGTTAGCCTAAAAATTTTGTATTTTTAATTAAAATTAAATAAAATTTATTTTAGTCTGATGGTGGACGAGTTGGCCAGGTGGAAAACGGAAATGGTAAATTTTACTGAGCAACTGAAGGACACCCTTGGTGTAATTTTGAAGGAGAATGGAAGTGCCAAAGAAGCAATGAAGGTCACCTGCAGGTTTGCTGTTTTAAATAATATGTTAATTTTATATAAAAAAAATATAATTTTTTCTCTTATTGATTTTATTCTACATTTGCAGAAATTTACAGCTCTTAAGGGAAAACTTTGACCCAGCTTCAGGAATTCGAATGGGCTCTCCGAACCGAAAGATGAGCACCTCCCACTTGCCAAGTACCTGCAGTCTGACGGACATCGCTACTGCCAACCAAAAACTCAGCGAAACCCTCGGCCACCGACTTCTCGGCTACATTCCCAATCAGCCGCACGACTGCAAATGGGACGGTCTTCAAAGCTTCTCCTCGGCAGAGCTGAGAGCAATAAAGGTGTGATAGGAATTGAACCTGATTCCGAAATGTAAAAATTTTATTTTTAATTTCCAATTCCAGCTTCTTCAAAACTGCGCTGCCAACAAATTTGGGCTGGGTCCGGATGAGGCATGCAGTGCTGTTGTTGGGGCAGCCGCAGCGGCCGGTAGCCAGTTGTTTCCACATGTGAGTTGCACACCCACGGCCTGCTGTGGTCAATGTCAGGGAGAAATACACCAACTGTGAATTATTTTATTCCAAAATCCGGCAAAAGAAATTTTGACCAAGCTAAAATAATCCATCAGGGATATCAATGCATCTGTAATTTTTTTATCCGCACTTGTTGATACAAGCTGAACTTTACTGTTCATAAAAATAAATATTTATTATATTCTCAAAGCATTTTGAGTTTTGTATTGATTAAAATATCACGTTTCCTTATATTTCATTATATCTGGATTTAAAGAGGAACAATATTATTAGAAAAAAAGTATGCAACCTGCTTTACCCAAGAGAAAAGCATGTTGCATATCTTAATTTTTTCCAGTTAATTCTTGATGATAATTTTTAATGTAATATCATTAAATCTTGAATTTGCATTATAATATAGAGAACAAATGGTAATAAAACAATTTTTTTTTTTATAATTTGTTGAAGAATTTATTATGTATTCGAGTATGATAACATGTTAAATAATTTGCAATATTGCTCTGGAAATTTTTTATTATAATACTGAAAGAGGCAGAGAAGTTTCAAAAGTACCACATTCCCAAACATAACAATTAAATAACCGATTATTACAACACGTCCAAGACTTTCAGCGATTCCCTTTCTAAAAAAAATTACATTTTGTTGAAAAAACGAGATTTTGATTAAGAGAATGATGCAAATTTTACACATATGGACTTAAATCTACTGAATATGAAACAACTGCGGAGACTTTGCCACCTATCACTTAAGAATAAATTAAAAGCACCAGAAAATTGGGATAAAGTCACTGCGCAACATTGTATGTACAAAAGAAGAGCAAAGTAAAAATTTATATTGCTTTTCTTTAAAAAAATTTCAGCGCACATTATGCGGAAATTGGATTTTGAAAAAGCTTTCTTCTTTCGTTACAACAACAAACTTGGTCCCCGTAAATAAAAATCATCAAAGTGGATATTTCCAGCAAATGAAAAATTAAACGCTTTATCATAATAATTGATTATGCATCTATGAGCGAGAGTACAATTTATTTTTCTGCTTACATCAGAGGATGCAATAATTATTGCTCGTCTTCTATTTCTTGATTAAAATCTATACAAAACGCCTGTCTAATTGGACTTCTAGCTGTAAAACAACAAGAGGAGGGACACAATTATTTATATATTTTTTCCACAAGTACATAATACGAATTTTGAGCACAAATTACGAGGCGGCCTGCGTCTCTTCGGGCGCCTCGAGTTTCAACTTCTTGAGCTCCAGTTCGGCGGCGCCGGGGTCCACGATGGCGCCGCCGTTGCTGATTTCGTTGCCGTTGATTTCGCCCTTGCGTTTGCGCAGGGTCAGCGAGATGGCCTCGTTCTGCTCGTCCTCCGAGCGGTGATCGTCCTCCTCCTCCTTCAACTGCTTCTTGTCCAGCATCATCTCCTCGCCGACGTGCACGAATTGGTGATTCTCCAGCTCGGCGCGGAAGAAGAAGCGCAGGTGGCACTTGGAGCAGTCGTACGGCTTGTTGCTGGCGCCGTGGCTGTTCATGTGGCGCTGCAGCCCGGTGGCGGCCGTGAACACGGCGCCGCACAGGTAGCACGCAAAGGTCGGACACCCGACAAAGGTGTGCTCGATCAGGTGCACCTGCAGCCGCAGGGGCGTGTCGAACGACTCCTGGCACAGCCGGCACCGCTGCCCACTGTCGGGCGCGTGCGCCACCTCCACGTGGTTGCGCACCTCGGCCTCTGTGTGGAAGCTGAGCTGACACGAGATGCACTCGAACGAGTTCTTGCGCAGGTGGTACTTGGAAAAGTGCGACTCGAGTTCGTTGACCGAGTCGAAGCGTCCGGAGCACTCCTTGCACTCGAGCTGCTCCTTCGGATACACCCCACCTGCGGAGGGGTGGTTGTTCTGCTGCTGCTTCTGCTGCAGGTGGAACTTGGCGTGCAGCTGCACCTCGTGCTCCGAGGTGACGGTCTGTCTGCAGATGATGCAGGCCGTGGGCAAGCCGATGTCGGCCGAGCCGCTGCCCGGACAGTGCTTCTGCATGTGGCTGAGGAAGTGTTCCTCGCCGCCGATGCTGGCCTTGCACACGCTGCACGTGTCGCCGTGCAGCACCTTGCAGTGCGTGGCCAGTTTGTGTTCGGCCAGCAGCGCCGGGGTCACGCACACCATGTCGCAAATGTTGCACTTGTGGCGTCCCAAGGGCACGCCGTTGGTTCCGTTGGTCGAGGGCCGCGTCTGGTGGTGCGTCTTCATGTGCGCCTCGAGGTCGGCGCGCGACTTGCACGACTCCTGGCAATACGCGCACACCAGGCTGACCTGCACCGGCGACTTGAGCTGCTGCTTCGGCGGCGACTTCTTGCCCGTCTCCTCCTTGTGCTTGTGCTCCAGGTGCTTGTCCAGCTGGAACTCGACGTGGAACGCGTCGTCGCAGAACTTGCACCGGTACAGCTTCTGGTGGAAGTTGGCCGCGTGGTACTGCAGCTCGGCCTCCGACTTGAAGAACTCGTTGCAGTACAAACAGCGCAACGGCGTCTGCTGCTTCTCCATCAGCGACAGGTGGTGGATCTTGACGTGCAGGCTGAACTCGATCTCCGAACGGAACTTGGCCGAGTTTTCTCCGCAGGCGACGCAGCGCAGGACGCGACTCTCGGTGCTGTGCTTGACGGCGAAGTGCACCTGGGCGGCGACGCGCGAGTCGAAGATTTCGCGGCACAGGGCGCACCGGAACAGTTGATGCGAGTGCGAGTCCATCAGGTGCTTCTGCAGCTCGTCGGGTCGTTGGAAGGACTTGAGGCAGCTCTGGCAGGAGAACTCGGTGGTGGTGGTGAGGAAGTGGCCCAGGCAGTGCACCTCGAGCAGATTCTCATTGGGGAAGCCTTCGGAGCATTCCGGACACTGGAAAAGCGGCGTCGGCGGCGCCGCGTGGTTCGGCTGCCGCGGCGCTTTGGGCGGGCTGCTCTTGCCGTGCTCGGCGTCCAGGTGCGTCCGTTGGTGCGACCGGAAGGACTCAAAGTCCGGACAGTGGGCGTTGCACTGGTTGCAGAGGTACGTGCTCTGCGACAGGGTGTCGTTGGGGCGCGCCGGCGACTTGCCGTTGCTTTTTCCGTTGATGCTCAGGTCGGTCGGCTTGAGCTGCTCGGCGACGTCGGCGCCAAAAGCGGTGGCAGGGGACATAGCATGAACGGCCAGGGTGTGCTTGTGCAGGCTCTGCACGTGGTCGAACTTCATCGTGCAGAAGTCGCACGTGTATGGCTGGCTGGGACTCACGGGCGGCTGCCGGGCGCTGCTCAGGTGATGCCCTGGGGACGGCGGCTGATATTCGCGTTCGCCGTTCAGAATTGAACCTAGAAATGAAAACAAAAATTTATTATTAATGTCTGATTCAATTAAACATATAAATTAATAATATACTGTAATCAGATTTTCTTCTTCGGGCATATATTATAGTTGTGTTTGGAAAAGATAAACATTAAATTTAGGCGTAATTGGAAATTAAATAAATACAGTCGATTTTAGTTAAAAAATTCAAATATGTACATAATCATGTTGCATGTGTTAATTGTATATTGTAATTAATTTTCTAGTCAATATCTGACTTTTGACAAGATATAAAATCATTTTATTTCCTGAAGACATGATTAAAGATAATAAAATTAATTTTTCTCATAATGATTTTTAAAAAGCGAAAAATAGGAAATATTTTGTGAAAATGGTGGTGGTCATTATTTAATTTAAATACCTAATTTCACTTTAAAGTAGCAGATTGGTAGAGGTTTTTTTCTAGCATTATAGATTACTTAATGGAAATTGATGTAAACAACTATTCATTAATTTTAAATCTAATCAATTTTATAATCAATAATGAATTCCAAATTAGACTGAATTTTGTTTTTGCTCGACACACTCCAATATCCGCGACTGTGGTCAATTTGTCCTAATTAATATTAATCAGGGCCGTAAAAATGGAAATAATATTCCTCTCAAAGCGGCTGCCGCTGATGAAGCAATAAAAAGCAACCAGTGTAAATCTGCTGACTGCCTATTTTACGAGCGTGTGTATTATTTATGAATGAGCGACTTCTCTCGCGGAGATGCCGCTGTGTTTATGGAAATGAATTGCCTGTTGATGGCATAATAAACGCCCGTGACACGCAGAGCGCTTCTTTCCGCGAGGCTCTTTGCCGCCGCGGCCGGAATTATTATTGACTTCTCATTTCCAGTAAACACTCGATCCGAGCTTTATTGCTCCAGTTTATCGCGCGTCGTCGAGATAAAGTAGCGATCGGCCGCAGGAACAAACAAATAATATGCGCGAACTGGTTGGTGTTTATCGCATGCATCGGAAACAAGATTGCAACGAGTGATATTTCCAACTTTGATTTTCAACTCCTTCCATCGAACATGGCTGTGAGCCAAAGAAGATCAATGGAAAAAATCACCTTGCTAAAAAAAATAAGAAAAATAAATAACAAAAGAAGTTTTGTTTCTAATTATATGCGTGCATAAAAAAAAAATGGAAAAATATTTAATTAAACCCTAAAAGTTTTTAAAAATAAATTTTTTGAAATTTATGTAGCAAGTCAAATGGATTGAACTTGGCTAAAAGCAAAGTCTGCTCGGATCAGAATTTATTTTAATTATTCTTACCATGCATGGCCTGGACGTGGAGCTGCAGTTGTTCCATGCTGGTGAAGCCGTCCTTGGTGCAGTAAATACAAGCGAGGGTGGGCGTCGGGAACTGGAGGCCCGCCGAGTGGGCCAGCGCGGCCGCGGCCATGGCCGCCGCGTTCAGGGCGCTCCTGGCGCTTCCCGGCGGCGAGCTGGCCTCGTGCTGCAACACCTGCAACATGCCATTGTCGTCGTGAGATTACACGGCACACACAGTCGCCCAGCCCGGCAGAAATGCATCAATGGCGTTATTGTCTCGGCGGACGCTCAAAAGGGCCGACCGAGGAATTTCGTGTCGCAATTTGTAGCGACGGAATTTACAAGGCTGTGCGATTCCAGAGCCGCAACCAGGTATAATGTGATACTTGAAAGATTATAAATTATATTCTATGAAAGTCTCATTTATCACTGTCAATGAGGGATAAAAAAAGAAAAAGAAAATTTGAATCCCAATGGATGAAAATATTATTTGATTTCTTTAAATTAACATTGTGATTTAAATAACAGAAGAGATATTTTGGTGGTTTTTTGAATTTTGTTACTTATTAATGTTTCATTATATTGTTGCAATGTTTGGCATTTGTTAATCTTGCTTTTCAAAGACTTTTTATAAAATAAAAAATGTACGATCAATATTTTAAAGCGAGTAAATTTATTAAATAATGGCTAATCAAATAAAAACCATTACGGAAATTCAAATTATGATTATAAAAAATTTCCTCTTCAGAAGAAAAATTATTAATATTTTATAATTTTAACAATTGTAACGAATAATTATAAAAAAATTAACTTTGTACACGTATTCTCACATTACCCAATAAAATAACATTAATTTTTTTCAACTAACAACCGGAATTTTTCATTCAATTTTTTTTGGAAATTAAATCTCACATTGACAAGTCAATCTTAGCGCCTTAATGATAGCAAATAGGCAACATCTATTCCTAGAAGACGCGCAGGTTGCATAGCTTTGCTTGGCTCATGACTTGCGAATGAAAATTATATATTTTTTAAAATAAATTCCGTTCTCACCTGCTGCAGCTCCCTGTTGAAGAGCACGGCGGCCGCAGCTGCGGCCGCAGGGTGCGCGGCCCTGAGCAGGTCGTGCGGGTGGTGGGTGGGCGTGAGGTTGCGCGGAAACGCGGGGGCGGCCGGACTTGGGGCCGGAGTGACCCTTCGAGGGGGCGCCGAGGGCGGACTCTGCCTTGGGCTGTTGCGAGGAGGCAGCGAGGCGGGCAGCGACGGCGGCCGCTTGTGCGTCTGCGAGTGCGACGTGAGCGCGGCCGCCGTGTTGTAGCCGCGGTTGCACGCCGAGCACTGGAACGGCTTTTGCGTGTCGTGCGTCTTCATGTGGATCTTCAGATGATCACTGAAGATTAAGAACGGCAAGCAAAATAGTTAAAATTGGAGGTATTTTTTTTTACAGAAAAATGTTATTATTTTGATGATACATTTGCTACTAATTTTAGCAGTTTTTATTTATTATAATTCAACTGTCTAGAAACACAGAAAGGAAAATTTTAATTAGAACTTGCTATTTTTAATAATGAACTCTAACGTTAATTAGATTATTTTATTTGCTAATAAACAAATATTTAATAAAAAAACGAGTTATATTTCAAAGAGTCATTTAAATAATTTATAAAAATGTATTAATTTACACAAAATTAGTATTTCATTAGGTCTTTTATTAAAGAAAATTGTAAAACATACTAAATTAAAATTTTGTATTTTATAAATATTTTCTATATGAATAATAACAAAAATTAATTATTATTTACGAATTGATTCAGAAAATATTTTTTGTAAATTATTTATTGTCATAAATTTGTTTTTAAGTAAATAATATTAAATTAAGTATTATTTCAAAACTAAATAAATTTCATTAAAAAAGTTAAAAACTGATGTTATTAATTAAATTTTCTATTCAACAACAAACTTTTTTTTACCTTCTGGAAAATGCGGCCTCGCACTGGTTGCACCGATACTTGCGGTCTCCGGTGTGCAGCTTGACGTGGCGGTCCCTGCTCCGCTTGTGCTTGAAGAGGCGCGAGCAGAATTCGCACCTGAACGGCATGTGTTCGGCGTGGCTCTGCAATTGGAAAAACGAAATCGGCTTAATTATTTCAATCGACTGCTCATTACAAAACTGTCGGCGAGGGTATAATTTACGACACGTGAGAGCTTTAAACATATTATTGGCCGCGTATTACGTGCCCATTCAAATGACCAGCAGCAAATAATAACAAACAACGACTTGCGTTATTTATTGCTTCATTTACTGCAAATTGTGCTCGGCGGCTGTAAAATCGGCAGAAATCAGACCTCCTGAGGCGAAGAAGAGTTTCTTTGCGCAATCAGTATAGTTTTTGTCCAATCGGTTTGCAAGAAGCGTGTAATTTCGGTTGGTGCGAATGACTGTGTTTATTCCGATAATTCCATTCAGCCTTGAGGTGCGTCAAGTGTTAAATTATGTATTGGGCCGATCACTTAATTACTGTGCCACGTGTCAACATATTATGTTGGAAATTTCAATTTATCGCCAATTGATTTATGATCGTTCGCAGTAATTGAGTTATTGGAAGCGTGCGGTAGTAAAATGTATTAGAAATTATATTATTTAAGTTCTAATTAAATTACTGTGTTTATGAGAAATGTGCAAGATATGCGATTAAATTGGAGCATTTGAAAAAATAAAAGCTTGAAAACCCGTGACATATTATAAAATATTTTCTTGCTTCTGATGATTATTACTTTTGATTTTACGATCGCCGTTGCATTACGACTTTTCCATCAAGTTCAAAAACGTCGTTAAAAAGATTTACACTAGAAATAAAATTTTCAGTTCAGTGAAATTTCCCATAATTACAGGAGAATTTCATTTTACAGTACTTTATATTTCAATTCTGAGAATTTCTTTCTGGAATGCAAATTTGGTCTTTCGCTTTTGACGCTCCTAATGCTTCATTAATCTCTCGGCGGTTTCCGCGTCCAGCCGTCCAATTAAAGGGACTCTCCGTCTCGTAATTCAATATTTATCCAGTCATACGCGGATGAATAATTGCAGCTGATAATGTATCGCACACGCACGTACTCGCGATAATTCAGGCTGGATAATGTGCGGGTACATCCGAGATATATAACGAATATAAAAAACGGTTATTGCCTATCGTGTTATAAGACCAATTAAAGGGAATTTATTTTGTGCTCGGATGTTGTAAATTGCTCGGCAGCAAAGCCATCAAAATTCCTGCAACCTCCTTCTCGTCTGCTCCTTTGAATATATACGTTGCTTGTTTATTGAGTAATGCCGCAGTTTGTGCAACGAGATGGTCAGCCCAGCATCTCGGAGACCAACGAGAGGCGACGATCATGGGGGCTGCTGAATTATTGAGATTGTCAGCGGGAGTTTTCCTCTCCCGACGAGTGCAGCCAGTTCTGTGGAATGTCAAAGTGCAATCCCAGTTCAAATGTAATGTCTTTTCAGAAATCATTTAGGACTCTCCTATCACAATCCAACCGAAAACTTTTGAATCATCAGCATCAGCAATAAAAATAAATTACAAAAGTTTTGAATTAATAATTGATCTGAAAGTTCTACAATCAAACTAAAAAAATTAAAAAAAAAGAATAATAATAGATGATAGGAATAAGATGAAAAATTAAAAATCAGAAAGATGATAATAATAATAAACAGAAAGAACATATATTATTCTTAAATTTGAGTTGAGAGCAAAATGGAATAAATTCAATATTTTTGTGTTTATTAAATTGGAACTTGTACTAAAAAATTAATTTTTTTAGCAACACAAGCCAAACATTGGTGTACTTTTTTACCTTTGACACTTTTAGTTTATTCCAATTTATATAAAAAAATATTTCCTGCAAATTGAAAGTCAAAAAAATTGATAAGGAGCTACGATTATTGTTATTATTTAGATTTCAAAATCAAACTGCAACAAATAATAAATTCTCGTCGCGAACACCTGTTCGATGCAGCCAGCGGTCAAAACCCTTCGCCGCTGCCCAGCAAAGGAAAGTTTTTGTCGCTTGTTAAATGTGTTGCTGTGAAACATTTTATGCAGCTCGCTCTCTCGCGAGTCCTCCGTAATTGACCTGCCCCAAGCCAAGATAATGAACCTGTGCGCTCTTTTTATTTTTCCAATGAATATCAAGGTCAACCACTTACGCGAGCAGAGACCGCGGCCGCGCCGCCGCCGCGGAATTAATTCATGAAAAATAATGCGTGTGCGCTCCTCTTGAAAAACTGTAAATAATTCGAGCGGTCAGCACAGGTTGCGCGAGAAAAGAAACTCTTTCTTTGTTTTCAGACTTTCAGTCAGAGGATAGAAATTTCGTTCGCCAGAGGAGAACGCGCGCGTGAGAATCGGTTGGCGACCTGAAAGTAGATTTGTCACCGATTCCAGTCGCATTTCACCCTACTTTTGCGCGCTTTACCGAGAAATTTAAGAAAGTAGCAGGTTGACCGACCGCGGAGAAAAGATGACACACTACTTTCTGCGTTGCGGCGAGTGTGTTCGGGTGCGCACGTTAATTTCTTCATCAAACAATTGTTACTAGTTTACCAGCTTTTCTCACGCAATTTGATGAAAGTTTTCTTTTTAATCAATTAAATAGATTTTATTTTTAAAAAGGACTTAGTTAGCAGTTTTACTATTAAATGTATTATTTAACAATGTTAATTTTATTATATTTTTAACTTCAATATTTCTGTATATAACATAAAGAATATTCGTGAACTTTTATTTAAAATTATTTGAGTTTAAAATTTAAATTTTTTCTGCTATTTTAATAATTGCTTGCATATAATTTTAGATAATTTTTAATAAATAATCATATATTTTGAGTGTTTATATTAGTCCAGGCATTCTAATTGGAGACAACATTATGTTATTTGTAGGATCAATTATATTATAGTCTCTTTTTCGACGAATAAATTTACATTACTAAATTTAAAATTATAAAATTAAAAAAAAAATAGAGATTTTGGCCAAAGGCTTGCATTGTAAATTATGGTAAGTCAGAAACTTCCGACGACGCCTATCATATTTTTGCGTTTGTTCTTATTCCTGCCAAATGCCGCAGATCGGACTTAAAATTTCTGTTCATCAGACTTGACTTTTGTCTTAAATTTAATCGAATTTTAGTCTCTCGATCCAACGTTCTTGTGAATAGTCTAATTTAAATAAAATTTTAATTTCATTCATTTAAATTAAAAAGAAAAATCATTTTTCCCATTAATTGTATTGATACTACGCAGAGAAATTATTATGACCACTCAATTCTGATTCAAATTCAAACTCATTTGTAAATTAATTTAAACAGTTTGCAAAGCATTGTTTCACTTTTAATAAAAATATTATTGGATTATTTTTTATTTGTTTAAAAATTTATGTAAGCTAGGCTATAAGTTTGTTTTTATTTTGACCGGACGCGAATGAAGAACAAAGAATAAATGATGACGCATAAGACACGTGAGATTGGTTTTTGAATTAATTATTATTATGTAAGAAAATTAATTAAATAATGAAACATATTAGAATAAATTCATGATTAACTGTCAAATATGATTAGATATTTTTGCTAGAACATAATTTAAACGCATAGCTTCCATTTTGAATCTTAAAACATTTGCCTTTAATAAAACAAACTTAAATTATTGAACCTTACATAAATCATCTAAATAATTATTTACAAGTTACCAGGTTAAATATTACTTTGTGATACCATCAGACTGGAGAAGAATAACAACTCTAATTATTGGCTCTAGACAAAGGGAACAATGAAGAGCCGCGCAAATGTCAACGTCCCGAATTGCCCCTTGCCTGGGACAAAAACAACCTGCAAGCTCCGTTTTCAGCTCGACTTGGAAATAATTTATTGCGAGTGCATTTCGCCGCGCGGCGTGCAGCAGAAAAAGTGCATCAGGTTGTCTAACTGCTGCTGCCTTGTTGACGTCGCATCAAACGAAACGATGAATTTATTCCACTCCCGGCATGGAGCGGCTTTTTCTCTAATAATTTTTATCTGAAACATTTTATTTGAAACCAGTTCTGGCTGCGCACAATAAAACAAAATTGAACTCAGCCTTTTCATATATGAATTCAGCGCGAGTCTCGCGATGTCAACGGGCGATACATATTGAGCGTGACACGATATGACGCTGTCTGCGTGTTCCAGCAGGTCGTCCGTTGCTCTCCGAAGGAGTAATTAATAATTAGCAGATCGCGCAATCGAGAGAAATTAATGAAGAGCAATGTGTCTTTTTGCCGCCAAATATGGACAGGCGGAGGCAATAAATTTCATTTGCGGGGAGAGAGATAAGCGAAAAATAATAATAATAAATACAGGTGGCTGCACTTTTTATCTAACATCGAGAGACCACATCATGCATAAATGATAAATTTGAATAGATTTATATTGCTGATAATTAGAGTGCTTGGTGTTATTAATTTCATACACTCGCTCTCTCGCGACCACTCTGCCTCTCTTCGGGCAAAAAAAAAATCTTCATAACTCATCTTTTGCGCCTCTGCTTCAATCCGCACCGCTTTTTGCCGGCAGCTGCTCCATTGCACATTTTTATATCTCGGATCGTTATAAAAAACCGCAGCATTTCTTTTAAGTATCAGCAATTAACTAATTTAGAGTGTTAAAGTTAAAAATGTAATTATATTTTAATGGCACCAATTTAAGAGAATTTTTTAATATATTTAAGTAAAAGTTCCTTAATTATAAAATATTTAATATTTAGTTTTTAATAAATTATTTTATTCAAGTATTTTGTTTATTAAAAATTGAATGCTGTACATTATACAAAAGTTAAAAAAAAATATTTCTTAATAACTATATATTATAAATTTATTTGGGTGCTGCATTTGCCATTGATCATTCAATAATGAGTAATTAACTCGCAATCTGACTATAGAAGAAGCTATTTGACTTGGAAATATTTTATGATTAAAATTTTTACAAACAATGGAACTTTTTTAGAAGCAAATGTAGAATCTCAAAACCAGGAAAAGAGCTATATTTTTTTATTTATTTTAGTTTAATGAATTCGAAAGTCAT